GTACGATGTACAAAGATGTGTGTGTTTGTGGATGTCTGACCTGTGTGTACGATGTACAAAGACGTGTGGATCTCTGAATGGTGCCTTCCAGCTATGAACAACAGATGGAAGAACAAATGCTCCAACACTGCAACATGTTCAAGAGAACAGCATCTTTGAAAACAATCTTGCGAGCAAGATGCAGAGATAAAAGTGTTCCAAAATGAACTTGCAAATGACACATGTAATTGTTATGTTCTGACACTGGAGGTGTCCAAACCTAGTTTCATTTTACAAATGTGCTATTCTGTACACAATATGCACCAAGGTGAAATGTGCCATGCGCAATCTACAGTCTACAGTCATATATCATTGCTCAATAACTATTATGAAATGTTTTAGTTTCACTGACGTTGGAAGTCAAACCTGACTTGAACATGATGTTGCAGCAACAGTGCTGGCTGCAGTATCCAACTTCGCTCACTCATACATCATATTGTGCATTTGTTTGATCATCACACTAGCTCAAACAAGCAATTACTAACTGTTTTTACTAATTAGTAGTAACTAATTAATACTTGGCTTAATGAGTGTCAGTTACTTCTGCAGTAAGGCCAATAATTAGACTAAATTACTGGTGTTATCTTTTTCCAACAAACATTTCACTTTGTCATATTGACCGGATTTAATAATATATGATGATGTCATCAGAACTGTAATGTCGGACATTTCTGTAACCATGGTAACAGCAACGCTGCATTATGGAAATAATACCTCACAATCAGGACAATGCCACAAGAGAGATGATGACTCACAGATTTCAACAACAGTAACTAAAAATAGTTTTTTAAAAATAAATTAAAATGTCTTCCAAAGCTTGTATGGCAACTTTTGGTGATCATGAAATGACCAATGGTAAACTAATTCTTAACTCTCATTTCAAAGAAATTAGGCGTACCGGAATCTTTGAAATATTGTTCGTGAGACAGATGTGTAATATATCACATGTAGATACGAACACATGATGAAGATATCATATATTCATTGACTTTGATGTGTCGTGTTACTGTCACTGAGGCACATGATGAAGATATCATATATTCATTGACTGATGTGTCATGTTATTGTCACTGAGGCACATGATGAAGATATCATATATTCATTGACTGATGTGTCGTGTTATTGTCACTGAGGCACATGATGAAGATATCATATATTCATTGACTGATGTGTCATGTCATTGTCACCGAGGCACATGATGAAGATATCATATATTCATTGACTGATGTGTCGTGTTATTGTCACTGAGACACATGATGAAGATATCATATATTCATTGACTGATGTGTCGTGTTATTGTCACTGAGGCACATGATGAAGATATCATATATTCATTGACTGATGTGTCATGTTATTGTCACTGAGGCACATGATGAAGATATCATACATTCATTGACTGATGTGTCGTGTTATTGTCACTGAGGCACATGATGAAGATATCATACATTCATTGACCGATGTGTCATGTTATTGTCACTGAGGCACATGATGTGAGTCAAGGACAGGGACAGCAGATCTACAACTTCCTTCCCCTATGGTCCTCAGTCGGAATAGGAAGCTTTATTCCTCACTGAAAGTGATCAAAATCTGAGAGGGAATAACCACAAACTACGACATTCAGGAAGTATACAGGACAAGTCCAAATTCAAGGTATTCCTGTCTTACATGGTCTTATGTGAAATGTAAAGCTCACCAAATCGCCCTTACCAAATTACGCCTTAGCTGCCACAGTAGTCTGTCTTACATGGTCTTATGTGAAATGTAAAGCTCACCAAATCGCCCTTACCAAATTACGTCTTAGCTGCCACAGTAGTCTGTCTTACATGGTCTTATGTGAAATGTAAAGCTCACCAAATCGCCCTTACCAAATTACGCCTTAGCTGCCACAGTAGTCTGTCTTACATGGTCTTATGTGAAATGTAAAGCTCACCAAATCGCCCTTACCAAATTACGCCTTAGCTGCCACAGTCTGGACCCAGCAAAAGGCAGATTGGTGAAGACCAGCGTGTGAAGACCAGTGTGTGAAGACCAGTGTGTGAAGACCAGTGTGTGAAGACCAGTGTGTGAAGACCAGTGTGTGAAGACCAGCGTGTGAAGACCAGTGTGTGAAGACCAGTGTGTGAAGACCAGTGTGTGAAATGGCTGCCTGCCTGCCAGCCCATGGTCAGTGAGCCAAATTAGGGTCGGACTAAGATTCTGAAATGTCCCTAGCCTGATTAGCAACTGAATTCTTTTGTAAGCACACCTCTTAGTTGATCAAAATGAAAGTTCTGCCGTTTCTGTAGATGAATATGACAATCAAAAACCAAAAATCAAATTCATACATGTAAAGAATCAAGGTTGCAAGGTTGCAGGACCAAAGTTCCACCCCTGCAGATTTGAATCATGATTTGCAATTTGGGCTTTCTTTATCATGTTTATTGACATGCAAAATCAAATTTCTAGAAAATTAAGTATCACACATACTTAAGCTAGCAAATTCTGACACTGGCTAGTAGATTTTAAGGCTATCCCCTTGTTAGCAATATTTTGAGACTGTTGACACACTGGTTAAGACACCAGCAGACAGAGACGAGACAAACTTCGCCATCGGAACCAGAGAGGGTGAAGCCCAGATTCATTACACTGTGCAAGGGTTGCTGTACAATATATTCAGCTCAAACAAGTTTTTTCCAATGTAATCAATTCAGAAAACAATAAGATGCTTTCACTTATTCTAAACCCCAGACAATGCCAAGTCCAAACTTATACATACCAAGTTTAATACCAAGATGACATTACATGTCAAATAGCTCCTCCACCTCGTCTGTTCAGTCGCCACTGAATGATGTGCTCTCTTTAGTAGTGTCTTTGTTGTTCGTTATCAGCTATTGTTTGTAACTTACATATCATCATCAGTATGTATACTAGCTGTCTACATATATCATGTATATATGCACAACTGTACATAACATATGTAAGTCTATGTACATACTACTACGAGCATCTATAAACTTTTTTACACTTTTGTTTTAGACATTGTACTCTGCCACACCCATGACAGGCCTCAAAGTTTACATTTTGACCAAGTAGCCACAAGTATTTTTTTTCCAGTTAGCCAGTGGTAAAAATCAAGAAGTCAAGCCAATATTGTAGGCAACCAAAAGCATTTGAAATGATCTTTTATCAAATAACTATTATAAAATGTACAGGTTATAGCACTAGTCCTGGAATTGTATGTTAGTGGAAACTGTACTTGATTTTTGTTACTTGTGACTCAAAAATGACAAACAATGATGCAGTTTATGTTACCAGATTATATAGGTATATCCTTGCTTATCCAATGAGCATTCTCAACTAAAATAAAGTACTAATTACATTAATATCTATGTATTTCAGTTCACTGTCGACTTTAGGAGGAATTATTTGCAAGTAGAATTATTAGCAGACATGTTTTCAAAGATAAGCTGTTATTTATCTTTGTGTCTACAGATGTGTAGCAATAGAATTTAGTCGCCACAAGATATTTTTCAAGGTACTCATTTGGCTACCTCTGAATTTTAGACAGTAGACAAATTGAAATTTAGGTCGCATTGGCTACTGTTTTTGTTGTAACTTTGAGGCCTGCACAAGGTTTTTTTTTGTTCAATAAATTCTTAAGTCTTTATTGTAGAATTTTCTTTTACTTCATTTGTCAAGTTGTCATTTGAATACTGAATAATCGGAGGTGATCAGCTGCTGCCTGAGGGGAGGGGCTTGTGAACATGTTTTTATTCTGCCCACATTGTTTGGTGCGTTTATGACTGCTGTCCATGCACATTGTCACTGCGTAAATAAGATATATATGTTCGCCAAAATATAATTGAGTTAGTGAGTATGACTTTACGCCGCTTTTAGCAATATTCCAGCAATATCACGGCGGGGGACACCAGAAATGGGCTTCACACATTGTACCCATGTCAGGAATCGAACCCGGGTCTTCGTTGTGACGAGCGAACGCTTTAACCACGAGGCTACCCGACCGCCCTCGCCAAAATATAAACATAAATAAACAAAAGAATACAATGAAAAAGAAAAGCAAATGTGAAAACATTCATCAAGACAGAATCGGAGAGAATACAGAACCCAGCCAAAACAGAACCGAAACCTGTGAAAGTATTGTAGCATGAGAATTCATTGCAATGAGAATTTGTTAAATAGATTCTAGGATTTTTTACACAGAGCATTTGTTACAGGTTTAAATGTCATGTATCCTTTCATTCTTCTCCCCTACCCTAAAAAAACACCCAAAACAAACAAAAACAAACCCTAGCCCCCATTTTTTTATACAGCAGCATAATGTTTTTGTCACTCTTTTAAACACTTGATATTTTCAAAAGATTGAACGTATTTGTGTGAATGTTCCTTTAGCCAGGAACACCTTGCAGTGTGATAGGAACCACAGCTTGATGCGATATGCACCTCCGGGGAACAAATGTTGGTAGTGAAAGTTTCCCTGGAATTAATATACACATGGAACCAAATCTTGTGTTCAGCCTCTTAGACTTCCCCAGGACTGCGGCAGGGGCAGGAAATGGTAGACATTATACCTACCACAATAAAACAGGGTACATCAATGTTTTCACCATTTTCATTAGTTTCACTTCAACGCAGGGATTTTGCAGTTTGTCATTACGCATATATATATAACTACAGCCAGGGCCATGTAACTAATAATAATAACAATAAAAAAACTTGCAAAAAAATCGTAGACTTTGGCCTCCTCTGCGAGTTTTTTGGTTACTATTATTAGTTACATGGTACCTGTCTATATATTATATCTACATTCTAAAGAAACTATGTAATATACTTAAAAGCCTTATACCCGAAGTTACAAAGCCCTTAAAATATGGGATCTCATAAAACAATTGACAACAAAAGACATGGTCGTCAAACAAATCCGACACAAAATATCGCCCCCCATATTACCTATTATTACCTACCTGGCGATTATCTGTGTAACCCGTCTAGACAAAACACGACTGTCGACAACACTCCGATTAACTCGTCGCAACAACACGCGGAGCAACAGGTTGTCAGCCGCGTCTCCCAACCTGACACAGTCACACACTACACGCTTTCGAAAACGTGTCTTCACATATAGTCATATCGAGTTCCGTCATTAAACTGAAGTGCTCTCTGACACTTGGGAGCGCCATGTCCCAGAGCTCATTTCATGCGCTCACCTGTGATGATACAAGCGCGTGAGGGAAACTCCGTGCAGACTGAGTGACCTGAGGTCAGCGCCAGAACGAGGCTGTCTCCACGCGCAGGTTATCCCCGTCTGACAATATATGACGACTTATTCATTGCGTGAACTTGAGGAATGCGGTGGAGGTGTGTCTGTGTACATCATAATAAATACATGCAATTTTTGCTGTGACAATGGCCTGTACGCTTAGGACGAATATGTGCACCCGTTGACCTGCATTTCTTAGTGTGCAGTGTAATACTGATATCGAAAGTACAAACTATGTGGGAGGAGCTATAGTGTATTAAAGCAGAGACGATACAAGATATATGGACCCCTGACTGAAGCCTCGTGCAAGGAGGGGTCAGGTTGCGCCGTCTGTAGCGAAGACAGTGCATGCAGTACAGTGAAAATGTTAGTCGAGTATTAGAATACATACATTCCGATAAAAGTTTCGTAAAAACAGCAACATTCAAAACTGTAACAATAGCTTCATTATCAACACGTATTAATTAGTTGTAGAGAAGACGTGTGTCTAGAATATTGAAGAACATATGGAGAAAGTGACATCGATGTCAATATGGGGTCGGTCGTTACTATTGTGACGTCATTGCCTATGACGTGAGCCAAATGTATATTACGTCAACAATGATATTTCCATTATATACCGTAGATCGCGTGTATTATTATTATTATTATTATTATTATTATTATTATTCATGTGTTTCGCAGGGTGTTTTTAAAAGCTGTCTCGTGATCTGGTTCCGCCACGAAGAAATATAATATTAAACTTGTCAAGTCACTCACTCAATGAAAAAGACAGGTTAAAATGATGTTATTGGCAAGAAAGTACAAATATATTCAATTTAGTATCCATATTAATCAAAGAGACTTTGTTAAACCGCCCCTAGGAACAAAATGGCTAATGGGTGGTCGTTCCTGACCACGAGTGCTTTACGTGCGCTTCTGTCACTATCACGAATAATGTCAGTTTATTACTGAGCTCATTCGCCTCCATTCGCATGTTTCCGTGATCCACAACGAGGTCTACATTCGGCTTGTCCCGGAATGGGACAAGTTGGTCACGTATGTTCTGAATGAACTGTCATCGAGGCAAGGGAGTTAACTATCTCTTAAAAGTTGAAACTGGACTTCTACAATCAGTTATCTCCCTTGGAAGATGTGAACTGTTGACTGAGGCCCGCAGTACAAATACATGGATTACACTAACTGGGCGAGTGTTCCATGTAAGGTTACGTGTTGACAGTACATGGTGTATAAACACAGCCACATTCTGCAGAAGGTGGTCATTTTCTGTTGACATTTGTATACAAAATGTATTAATTCATGGACAGGACGTATATTTAGATACAATATACTGATTCCTTAGATCTCTGTAATGTATACAAATGAGAAGAACATGTTATTCGTGCTCAATATTATTACTGTCACAATTCTGCATAATTGGTTCCCAGTGGCATGAAATAGTTTTATAATATAACATCAGATCATAATAACCACATCGCAATTGATATAATGCCATTCTTTTTGTTTTTTATTTACATTGGTCAGATACTTTTCACATTATTATTATTATTATTATTATTATTATTATTATTATTATTATTATTATCCCACATGTGCTTCGCATGGTGTTTTTAAAAGCTCTCTCGTGACCTGACAAAGCTGACATTTTTACTCCTGGTGCCGCCACTAAGAAATATTAAATTTGTCAAGTCACTCAATGAAATAAACATGTCATTTGCAAGAAAATACAAAAATATCTTCAATTTAGTATCCATATTAATCAAAGAGACTGTTAAACCGCCCCTAGATTGAAAACATCCCCAAACAAAATGGCCAATGGGTGATCGTTCCTGACCACGAGTGCTTTACGTGCGCTTCTGTCACTATCACGAATATATCAGTTTATTTCTGAACTCATTCGTCTCCATTCGCATGTTTCCGTGACCCACAACAAGGTCTACATGCAGCTTGTCCCGGAATGGGACAAGTTGGTCACGAATGTTCTGAATGGACGGTCATCGTCCCCAAGCTCCTCACAGCGATAGCCCGTTCGCGGAGCGCTCTATACTAAAACTCCCCACTGTGAAAAGGTGGCCACAACCATGCTTGGAGTTGAACTCGCAACCGAAGGACCGTTATGTTTACAAACAAGTGACGACTGTCTTGACGCCGAATACACTTATCGCTGCTTAATTACTTTCTTCGTTTGTCAATTTGAATTTCTGTTTCATTAAAACTAGCGTGTTATTGATATAGTAGTGTGGTAGATAGTAGTTCTGTATATATTAATCATGTTTTATTAATTAGCTTTTAATTTACTATGTATGTTGTCAATAATGGTATTTTGTATATTTCAGATATTGCAGTAATCAAGAATTATTTATTGTATTTCTCATTTCAGGCTTAGTTGTAAGTCAAGTATTATCATTAAAGCCCTATTCTAATGTCATGTTTTACTTAGTGGGTCAGTCAACTGCTTGGTGGTCAATCAGAGTGTAAGCCCAGGCGTCCTCTGGATTGGCTAGTTTTAAATCTCTGTGTCCCACTTTCAAACCCCTTTGTTTTCACCCTGCACTTTGCATCGATACTTCACTGTGCACTGGACTGGAAGAAAGGATATACTTATATAAAGGTTAGTAGTTAAAGTTATAATTGTATTTTATGCCAGTATAATTATGCAAATCACTTAAGTTTAATACATGTCTATATAGATCCTTAATTATATTTAAACATGTCACATTTACTAGTATTAGTGTGTGCATGGTGAGTGTATGTATACTAGATATATTTCATTTCACTATATGTGTGTCTGTGTTAATTATTGTGTATTAATAAGTTGATAATAGTTTACATGTAATATTCATGTGTGTAGATAAACATACCTTCATGATGTATTTTATATCATGAACAGGTTTTCACGAGGGATTTAATCTATTTACGAGGGATTGTGACCACCCAAATACACCCCAGTGGGATTCACCGGGTATATATATATATGTATACTTATATATTGCTTGCATTGTAACATAATATTATATTTATTGTACCATATTTATCTTAAATGTGTAAATCCATTAAGCTTACATATCTAAGCTTATAATTGTGAAATGTTATAAAGGATATACCATGTATAGCTACAAGTGTAGTAGATTATTATTTAATCTGCTTGTGTTTTGATGTACTAGATATAATTGTATGTTTATTATTGTATTCATTGTTCCAGGGTGTCGGTTTATCACGACAGAAAATAAATAATCAGACCTCACACCCTAGCCTGTGTCATTATGTTATCTGGGACACATATGCACATATAATGGCTACAACAGTAGGAATGTAAGGGAGAAGTTGGTTGATTTTCCGTTAGTCTGCAATCTCGAACCAATCTGATTATTAAAACAACAAAGTAAATTCATCTGGAAAACATGGTCAGTCGTAAACCTTTTCAAAATGAAATATGATGGCATTCCCAAAGATATAAACAAAAGTCTCAACGTTACTACATTTGGGGTTAGAGGGCAAATTTCAAGATTCTTGTAATGGCCGCGCCCACACTGGTGGCAGCGATGTTACCGAGAGTGTAACAAAGGTGTCAAGCGCTGGGAAGGAGCTTGCATCCTCCCGAGGCAAGGGAGTTAACTGTCTCTTAAAAGTTGAAACTGGACTTATACAGTCAGTTATCTCCCTTGCATCGGGAAGGCCCGCAGTACAAATACAAGGATTACACTAACTGGGCGAGTGTTCCATGTAAGGTTACGTGTTGACAGTACATGGTGTATAAACGTAGCCACATTCTGCAGAAGGTGGTCATGTTCTGTTGACATTTGTATACAAAATATAGAATACTAAACGAGCTCCCGTGTAACACCAATTTTATGAAACGAGTGAATAGTTCTGGTATCCGACGAGCGAAAGCGAGTCAGATACCACAACTATTCACGAGTTTCATAAAATTGGTTTTACACAGGAGCGAGTTTAGCATTTTATTTATTACTTGCCATTTACAATGTTTTTAGAATTATACTCTTGAGTGTGAATAGGCTGACACCTCCACGATCCATGGCATAATCCAATTGAGTTTAACAGAATAATTCTTCAAACACGTCAAAAGTTGAAACGTATGAATTTAATATCATACAATGGTCCACCTTTAGAATTCAGGCGTCCGTCCCACAGAATTATCGTAGCGCGAAGGCTATCGCAACTCAAATACTTTAACTTAGACTAACGACTGTCAATGCGCTACAATACGATCGCCCTGTGGAACGGGGCCTTGCACCTCAAAGTTTACAAGCACGTCACAATACCCGATGACGTAATTTGTTGCAAGATCCATCGGCGAAACAATGCCATGTGACGTCAGCCTAGCAACAAGGTTGCTGGGGTCATCGAATGTGCATAATCTCCTCCTAAGCTGGGCATAGGGAGCCGGGAACCAGCTTAAATCTCCTCCCAGTGATCTATCATCTCCACACACAATGTCGTTGAATAAGCCAAGGGATGTTGAGAGCTTTCAATATCATCAATATCATCATCATCATCATCATCATCGCATGGTGTTTTTAAAAGCTCTCTCGTGACCTGACGAAGGTGACCTTTGTACTCCTGGTTCCGCCACTAAGAAATATTTAATTTGTCAAGTCACTCAATGAAATAAACATGTCATTTGCAAGAAAATACAAATATCTTCAACTTAGTATCCATTTTAATGAAAGAGGTTTTTTTTAAAAAACCGCCCCTAGATTGTATAATATCCCCTCAAATGGCCAATGTGTGAGCGAGGTGGTATATGTCTTCAGCAACCCATGCTTGCCGTAAAAGGCGACTATGCTTGTCGTAAGAGGCGACTAACGGGATCGGGTGGTCAGGCTCGCTGACTTGGTTGATGCATGTCATCGTATCCCAATTGGATCGATGCTCATGATGTTAATCACTGGATTGCCTATTCCAGACTCGTTTATTTGCAGACCGTCGTCATACTGCTTAGTGGAATACTGCTTAGTGGAATACTGCTTAGTGTCGTTAAACAACACTGAAACAAACATCATGGCCACGAGTGCTTTACGTGCGCTTCTGTCACTATGTTGAGTTGGTTAAGATCTGTTTATTTCTGAACTGCAGGCGAAACCCGTGGTGCAAGTACAATGATTACCCTGGGCGAGTGTTCCATGTACGGTGGGCGAGTGTTCCATGTAAGGTGGGCGAGTGTTCCATGTAAGGTTACGTGTTGACAGTACATGGCGTATAAACGTAGCCACATTGGTCATGTGGTCATTTTCTGTTGACATTTGTATACAAAATGTATTTATTCATGGACAGGACGTATATTTAGATACAATATAATGATTCCTTAGATCATCTGTAAAGTATACTCCCCGTGAAGATCCGTGGCAGAATAGGTCTCCAGCAACATATGCTTGCCATAAATGACAACTATGCTTGTCGTAAGAGGCGACTAACGGGATCGGGGGGTCATGCTCGCTGACTCGGTTGATGCATGTAATCGATCCCAATTGCGTGGATCGATGCTCATGATGTCAACACAACCCAACATCTAATGTATACAAATGAGGCTGAAAACAATCTCTACATCCTTGTTGCACAATTGATTATAAAGCTGCAACATTCCCAACTCCCTGTCCAATCCACGCATATCCAAGAACCACTTCTTCTTTTACACGCTTTGTGAGCATTTCATGTATACCGCGACACACTGCATGGATTGTTTCACTGTATCTCCATGTTTTTTTATTCTTTCTGTTATTTCCTGCACTCAGACAGTTTGTAAGTGAGATAAAGCACTGCTCCTCGGTTGTGGTCGAGGAAAAAAGATCGAGGCAAGAGGGTCTCGGTCTTCCATTGCCGATACCCTCTTGCCTCTGTCTTACTTCCGGACCACACCCGAGGAGGAGTGCTTCATCCCTCACATATGATGAGATACAGCGTTTTAATGTCAATATGTAGATGGGGTGTCTTCCACATTCCTCTGGTACAATATCACTTGTTGTTTGATTTGCGGATGCCTAGAAAACAATTACGTTCTTGTAACTGAATTTTTATTCGCAAGAATTATACCTTTGATAAACCCAAACATCAGAACCATACACTAGGGTAGACAACCTTGCCTAAAACATTTTAGAGTCAAAGATGTTGAAATATGAGAGATCTTCAAACTTTAATAAACTGCGCTGAACAGTGATGAGATAGTTCGTAGTTTTAGGGTCAGATTGTTTATCGATGCTTGCCCACTGACTCCTAGAAAATAGCAGACCAAGATGTTATACGAGGATGAAATGTTAATTGGGGCAAGTTTGTAAACCACTTTTCGGTTCTAGATAGTTTGCCATTTTTATATACAATGTATAACCATTCTTGTTTTGTCTACATGTACTGGAATGTTTCTCTAAAATATCGATTCGTTTTTGGAGGCCAATTACAGTATCAGAAAACAGAACAACATCAGCATATGGGCACTGCTCCGGGAAATCTGGGAATACCTGAACACCACTTGTACAAGAGGACGTGCCTTCACTAACCAATTAATGAATGAAACATGAGAACAAAAGCGGACCATTGAGAACACAACGCAGTCGGACACCAGAGGGGCATTCCCACACTTCTGTATTTCCATGTGTCGGTGTATAGCTATAGGCACGCGTACAGGCTTTCACAGGTTGGTGCACAGAGATCGCAACACTTTCGCCCCTGTTTTACCAAGGCCATTCTTTTGGAATAAATATCCGGGGAAAGCTTTTCTCTGCTGACAGAATTGAAAGCTTTTGAAAAGTCAATAAAACAGACATACATTTTTGCTGGTGTCGGTTGATAACGTGACTTTATCGTATCGCAAAAAGGACATATAGACACGAAGCATCCCCGTGAAGTTATGAAACATTTTATTGCACCAATTCTGATTTAAATTTACATATTTATTTGCCAGATTCCAGACCAACTGACCAGGATTGTTCATGTCGCGCACATCACGTGGCGGTGTACATGTTCAGTTGCATATCGCGCACATCACGTGGTGGTGTACATGTTCAGTTGCATATCGCACACATCACGTGGTGGTGTACATGTTCAGTTGCATATCGCACACATCACGTGGTGGTGTACATGTTCAGTTGCATATCGCGCACATCACGTGGTGGTGTTCAGTTGCATACCGCGAATATCACGTGGCGATGTTCAGTTGCATACCGCGAATATCACGTGGTGGTGTTCAGTTGCATATCGCGCACATCACGTGGTGGTGTACATGTTCAGTTGCATATCGCGCACATCACGTGGTGGTGTACATGTTCAGTTGCATATCGCACACATCACGTGGTGGTGTACATGTTCAGTTGCATATCGCACACATCACGTGGTGGTGTACATGTTCAGTTGCATATCGCACACATCACGTGGTGGTGTACATGTTCAGTTGCATATCGCACACATCACGTGGTGGTGTACATGTTCAGGTGCATATCGCACACATCACGTGGTGGTGTACATGTTCAGTTGCATATCGCGCACATCACGTGGTGGTGTTCAGTTGCATACCGCGAATATCACGTGGCGATGTTCAGTTGCATACCGCGAATATCACGTGGTGGTGTTCAGTTGCATATCGCGCACATCACGTGGTGGTGTACATGTTCAGTTGCATATCGCGCACATCACGTGGTGGTGTACATGTTCAGTTGCATATCGCGCACATCACGTGGTGGTGTTCAGTTGCATACCGCGAATATCACGTGGCGATGTTCAGTTGCATACCGCGAATATCACGTGGTGGTGTTCAGTTGCATATCGCGCTCATCACGTGGTGGTGTACATGTTCAGTTGCATATCGCGCACATCACGTGGTGGTGTACATGTTCAGTTGCATATCGCACACATCACGTGGTGGTGTACATGTTCAGTTGCATATCGCGCACATCACGTGGTGGTGTTCAGTTGCATACCGCGAATATCACGTGGCGATGTTCAGTTGCATACCGCGAATATCACGTGGTGATGTTCAGTTGCATATCGCGCACATCACGTGGTGGTGTACATGTTCAGTTGCATATCGCGCACATCACGTGGTGGTGTACATGTTCAGTTGCATATCGCACACATCACGTGGTGGTGTACATGTTCAGTTGCATATCGCGCACATCATGTGGTGGTGTTCAGTTGCATACCGCTAATATCACGTGGCGATGTTCAGTTGCATACCGCGAATATCACGTGGTGGTGTTCAGTTGCATATCGCGCACATCACGTGGTGGTGTACATGTTCAGTTGCATATCGCGCACATCACGTGGTGGTGTACATGTTCAGTTGCATATCGCACACATCACATGGTGGTGTACATGTTCAGTTGCATATCGCGCACATCACGTGGTGGTGTTCAGTTGCATACCGCGAATATCACTTGGCGATGTTCAGTTGCATACCGCGAATATCACGTGGTGGTGTTCAGTTGCATATCGCACACATCACGTGGTGGTGTACATGTTCAGTTGCATATCGCGCACATCACGTGGTGGTGTACATGTTCAGTTGCATATCGCACACATCACGTGGTGGTGTACATGTTCAGTTGCATATCGCGCACATCACGTGGTGGTGTTCAGTTGCATACCGCGAATATCACGTGGCGATGTTCAGTTGCATACCGCGAATATCACGTGGTGGTGTTCAGTTGCATATCGCGCACATCACGTGGTGGTGTACATGTTCAGTTGCATATCGCGCACATCAAGTGGTGGTGTTCAGTTGCATACCGCGAATATCACGTGGCGATGTTCAGTTGCATACCGCGAATATCTCGTGGTGGTGTTCAGTTGCATACCGCGAATATCACGTGGTGGTGTTCAGTTGCATACCGCGAATATCACGTGGCGATGTTCAGTTGCATACCGCGAATATCACGTGGTGGTGTTCAGTTGCATATCGCGCACATCACGTGGTGGTGTACATGTTCAGTTGCATATCGCGCACATCAAGTGGTGGTGTTCAGTTGCATACCGCGAATATCACGTGGCGATGTTCAGTTGCATACCGCGAATATCACGTGGTGGTGTTCAGTTGCATACCGCGAATATCACGTGGTGGTGTTCAGTTGCATACCGCGAATATCACGTGGCGATGTTCAGTTGCATACCGCGAATATCACGTGGCGGTGTTCAGTTGCATACCGCGAATATCACGTGGCGATGTTCAGTTGCATACCGCGAATATCACGTGGTGGTGTTCAGATGCATATCGCGCACATCATATGGTGGTGTTCAGATGCATATCGCACACATCACGTGGCGGTGTTCAGTTGCATACCGGGAATATCACGTGGGGTTGTTCAACTGCATACCGCGAATATCACGTGGTGGTGTTCAGTTGCATACCGCGAATATCACGTGGCGATGTTCAGTTGCATACCGCGAATATCACGTGGCGGTGTTCAGTTGCATACCGCGAATATCACGTGGCGATGTTCAGTTGCATACCGCGAATATCACGTGGGGTTGTTCAACTGCATACCGCGAATATCACGTGGCGATGTTCAGTTGCATATCGAGCACATCACGTGGTGGTGTTCAGTTGGATATTGCGCACATCACGTGGCGGTGTTCAGATGCATATCGCACACATCACGTGTAGGTTATCAGTTGCATATCGCGCACATCACGTGGTGGTGTTCAGTTGCATATCGCGCACATCACATGGCGGTGTTCAGTTGCATATCCCGCACATCACGTGGCGGTGTTCAGTTGCATATCCCGCACATCACGTGGTGGTGTTCAGTTGCCTTTCACGCACATCACGTGGCGGTGTTCAGTTGCATATCCCGCACATCACGTGGCGGTGTTCAGTTGCATATCGCGCACATCACGTGGTGGTGTTCAGTTGCATATCCCGCACATCACGTGGCGGTGTTCAGTTGCATATCGCGCACATCACGTGGCGGTGTTCAGTAGCATATCGCGCATATCACGTGGCGGTGTTCAGTTGCATATCGCGCACATCACGTGGTTGTGTTCAGTTGCATATCGCGCACATCACGCGGTGGTGTTCAGTTGCATATCGCACACATTACATAATGGTGTTCAGATGCATATCGCGCACATCACGCGGTGGTGTTCAGTTGCATATCGCACACATTACATAATGGTGTTCAGATGCATATCGCACACGTCACATAATAGTGTTCAGTTGCATATCGCACACGTCACATGATAGTGTTCAGTTGCATAACGCGCACATCACGTGGTTGTATTCAGTTGCATATCGCGCACATTACGCGGCTGTGTTCAGGTGTATATCGCGCACATCACATGGTGGTGACACAGTGACGTTGAATGCTGATTTTGTTTTGCTTCTGGTACGTGTCTTCATGTTACATCATCTAGCGTCTGGCACACATCACCTGGCGTTCATCACCTGGCGTTCATCACCTGGCGTCTGGCGTTCAACACCTGGCGTCGTCCGGTCTCAGGGGGATAAGACCAACACTAGCCAGGGTGTACACACTGTGTCTGGCGGAGGGGGCGGGGTCAGACCAGGAACAGCAACAACAGCAGCACACTCTCCTGAACACCCGGCCGACCGCGGGGATCTTGATGGCGTACACGAGAGGGTTGATGAGGCTGTTGAGGAAGCCGACACCGGCAGTGTAGGTGAGGACGGCGCCGAGGTCAACTCCCGTCTCCTCCACCAGGGGGCGGTCGAGCAGCACCAGGAGGAGGTACGTGCCTGGGAACACAGAACAATTACTCAGAACGAGGCTTCACACAAACAGATCCCCCCTAATAAATGTGGACTAAGGCAAGGAGAACATTTATCTTCTCGATTTTTCAAAGTGATATGAAATCTTCCAGGTTTAAAAAGCAATGCAACGTTACCACATAATATTGAAAAAGAATGTAACTCGAAAAGAAATTCCAAACGTATTACACATCTTAATGATGGCTGATCCATTCTTCAATTCTTTATTTCGTGCAGATGTCGGCCATTGGCCCATGGTACATCATCTAATACAGTATACAGCTCGGTCCAGTTAGACATAAACACTGCGTCGAGCTTGCAGATCATAATACTCTATATAAGTGTCCGAGCATTCATTGCATGACCGGAGTATATCTCGTACCTCAATATTCCATGACGAATGGATTGTCTTAATTGTTGAACGAGTTCTAAGGGATATATTTTTTTAAAAATGGAGAAGTGACAGTTTAGCTAGTTTAGTTCGAAAGGTAATAACTATCAATTTGTGAAGCAACTTCCTTCTCACAGCAAATACGGACTGTGCCCTAAAGCGATGTCTTACCCTATTTTAATATTCATAACTACTGATCATAATCTAATCACGTGTACATCATGTAAATCACCAGCTATTGCCGACGAATTCCATTATACTTTTTGTTGTGAGGTATTCAAAGAAGACAGGAAGACATTTGTACGTACATGAAAGGTACTTGTTGGTAAAAAAATATTATTATTATTATTATTATTATTATTATATGCCTATTTTGTACATCCAATTTGAAAGAAATGCAATCATTATCTAAGTTTATATCAATTATATTATCGAAAATATGATCTACGAAATATGTCAAGTCTATGTGTGAAATATGTAATACATTGGCCTTGTACCACCATGATGATGTTAGCTTACGACAAACTCGGAATTTTCAAGATAATGGTCCTGGCGCCGTGTCTGTCCTAAGACTATGTTAAAGTGTGAGCCAGCTAAGGACGCTTTGTAGACTTTGATCATAATAGTTCGAAAGGCGGCAATGAAGATAATCATATTGTTTTAATTTCGAATCCATGGACTTCACCTAAACTTCGCTACGTACCTACACCTACACTACACGTGGACGCCACCTTGTAATATTGGTGTTCGTCAAGGATGTATTTTAAGTCCGTTTCTCTTTTCTTTCTTCATAAATGAATCAGCAGAGCAGATCAAGGCCAAAAGTATAGATGATATAATGATACATCCCGGAACGGTCAAGTTATTTCTTCTTTTGTTTGCCGATGATAACGTAATGTTTTCAAGCACAATACCTGGGTTACAAAAAATAGATATTTGAACTCGAATCCTATAATGATAAATGGAAACTCTCTGTGAACGTTAACAAGACAAAAGTAGTTTTTAAACGTGGTGGCAGATTATCGCAAAGAGAAAAAAGTCTTTTCAGGGGGCAACTTCTGGAGGTCGTTTTACAAACCTATTCTCATGGTCTGTACATATTAACAAGACTGCTTCACAAGCTGAGAAAATTTGGCATTTCTCAAAATCTTAAGCAACACTTATGTAAATTTTCTTTACGAATGAAGACTAAAATACTCTCACATTTAAATATTGGTCAATGTTCATTTTTCCTTGCCTTGTTTGTTTGTGTGTGGTTTAACGCCACACTCAGCAATATTCCAGCTATATGATGGCGGTCTTTAAATAATCGAGTCTGGACCAGACAATCCAGTGATTGACGTCATGAGCATCGATCTACGCAATTGAGATACGATGATATGCATCAACCAAGTCAGCCGATCACCGATCCCGTAAGTCGCCTCTTACGACCGGCATAGTCGCCTTTAACGGCAAGCATGGCTTGCTGAAGACCTATTCTACCCCGGACCTTCACGGGTGTACATGCAATGATTCTGAGAAAGCATGCACACTCAACGACTTGATTTAATAGTTATCATGGTTAATGATGTTTATTCTATTGTATAAGTGTATCCTCAACAACTTTGTATACATGAACTATAGATCTAGCGCCTTCTCAGTATTAAAGGGGGCACGGGTGGTCCAGTCGTCTTAGGCGCCGCGATTCGATGTGCAGAGTTGCGTCCCTTGGTCACGGCAGAAACCTATGATTGTGGGTTCGAATCCCGGTTCGCCCCTAACCTATGTTTCTAGGTTTGTCAGCACTATACCCGTGCCCGTGGGTTTCACCGAAGTGGTAACTGTCTGAAACCTCAATTACTTCGGGCTTTCCTCCCACAGTAAGCTGACACGCCGTGATATAACTGGAATAATGTTAAAAGCGGCGTTATACCCAACTCAATCACTCACTCTCAGTATTAAGAAATAAAGATTGACTACACCCGGTCGCCGCTGCCTACACCTTGAGTCCACTGGACTCTCCCCACCCCCTGGACTCCCTACCTACCTACACCTGAACTCCCTACCTACCCACACCTGGACCCCCTACCTACACCTGGACTCCCTACCTACACCTGAACTCCCTACCTACACCTGAACTCCCTACCTGCACCTGAACTCCCTACCTACACCTGAACTCCCTACCTATACCTGGACCCCCTACCTACACCTGGACTCCCTACCTACACCTGGAGTCCACCGGGACTCCCTACCTACCTACACCTGGAATCCACCTGGACTCCCTACCTACACCTGGACTCCCTACCTACACCTGAACTCCCTACCTACACCTGAACTCCCTACCTACCTGCACCTGAACTCCCTACCTGCACCTGAACTCCCTACCTACACCTGAACTCCCTACCTACCTGCGACTGAACTCCCTACCTATACCTGGACTCCCTACCTATACCTGGACTCCCTACCTACACCTGGACTCCCTACCTACACCTTGACCCCCTACCTACACCTGGACTACCTACCTACACCTGGACCCCCTACCTACACCTGGCCTCCCTACCCACACCTGGACTCGCTACCCAGACCTGGACTCCCTACCTACACCTGAACTCCCTACCCACACATGGACTACCTACCTGCACCTGGACTCCCTACCCACACCTGGACTCCCTACCCACACCTGGACTGCCTACCCACACCTGGTCTCCCTGCCTACACCTGGACTCCCTACCTACACCTGGACTCCCTACCTACCTACACCTGAACTCCTTACCTACCTGCACCTGAACTCCCTACCTATACCTGGACCCCCTACCTACACCTGGACTCCCTACCTACACCTGAACTCCCTACCTACACCTGAACTCCCTACCTACCTGCACCTGAACTCCCTACCTGCACCTGAACTCCCTACCTTCACCTGAACTCCCTACCTACACCTGGACTCCCTACCCACACATGGACCCCCTACATACACCTGGACTCCCTACCCACACCTGGACTCCCTACCCACACATGGACTCCCTACCTACACGTGGACTCCCTACCCACACCTGGACTCCCTACCTACACCTGGACTCCCTACCCACACCTCGACTCCCTACCCACACCTGGACTCGCTACCCAGACCTGGACTCCCTACCTACACCTGGACTCCCTGCCCACACATGGACTACCTGCCTACACCTGGACTCCCTACCCACACCTGGACTCCCTACCTACACCTGGACTGCCTACCCACACCTGGTCTCCCTGCCTACACCTGGACTCCCTACCTACACCTGTACTCCCTACCCACACATGGACCCCCTACCTACACCTGGACTCCCTACCTACACCTGGAGTCCACCGGGACTCCCTACCTACCTACACCTGGACCCCCTACCTACACCTGGACTCCCTACCTACACCTGGAGTCCACCGGGACTCCCTACGTACCTACACCTGGACCCCCTACCCACACATGGACTCCCTACCTACACCTGAAATCCACCTGGACTCCCTACCTACACCTGGACTCCCTACCTACACCTAGAGTCCACCGGGACTCCCTACCTACCTACACCTGGAATCCACCTGGACTCCCTACCTACACCTGGACTCCCTGCCTACACCTGGACCCCCTACCTACACCTGGACTACCTACCTACACCTGGACCCCCTACCTACACCTGGACTCCCTACCTACACCTGGAGTCCACATGGACTCCCTACCTACACCTGGAGTCCACCGGGACTCCCTACCTACACCTGGAGTCCACCGGGACTCCCTACCTACACCTGGACTCCCTACCTACACCTGGAGTCCACCGGGACTCCCTACCTACACCTGGACTCCCTACCTACACCTGGAGTCCACCGGGACTCCCTACCTACCTACACCTGGAATCCACCTGGACTCCCTACCTACACATGGACCCCCTACCTACACCTGGACTCCCTACCTACACCTGGACTCCCTACCCACACCTGGACTCCCTACCTACACCTGGACTCCCTACCTACACCTGGAGTCCACCGGGACTCCCTACCTACACCTGGACTCCCTACCTACACCTGGAGTCCACCGGGACTCCCTACCTACCTACACCTGGAATCCACCTGGACTCCCTACCTACACCTGGACTCCCTACCTACACCTGGAGTCCACCGGGACTCCCTACCTACCTACACCTGGAATCCACCTGGACTCCCCACCTACACCTGGACTCCCTACCTACACCTGGAGTCCACCGGGACTCCCTACCTACCTACTGGCGCCCAGCACAGGATGTACATGCCGATGATGATGCCCACCGTCTTGGCGAACCTGAGCGTGGACCGGGGTGTGTTGCCAGAATTCGTGCGACACAGCTGGGCGTGGATCGCCATGGCGTGCTTCCTTGCCAGAACGTAGATCTGAGGGTACAGTGTCACTATGGCAACCAGAGGTATCACGAATATGACCACGACAGTCCCGAGATAGCTGGTGGAAAATACCGTGAAGAACTTACATGTCTTCTTCACTTCCTGTGACCGGTTCCAGCCGGCTACAGGCAGTATTGCCACCGTCAGGGATAATACCCACACGGAGGTGTTCAACAAAGTCACTCTCTTCGACGTGAACAGCCGCTTGTGACGGAATGGGTCTTTGATTTTGACATATCTGTCCACGGTGAGCAACATAATGCTTAGTACAGACGCCATGTTCACGCCGATCAGAAGCCCAAACCTGAAGAGACATTCGTGGACGTCTTTCCACTCGAGCATGGTGTACACGCTGTTGTAGATGACGATGAGGCCGGTCAGGGCGTCGGCCATTGCCAAGTTGACGATGAATGAGTTGGAGGCGTCTTCTTGGGAGGAGCGCAACGCCACGAGCACGATCAAGTTCAGAACGAGTTCCGTAATCCCCATGAGAATCAGAAACGGAAGTCCTACAAGGTCAGCGAAGGTTACGGGACTTCCGGTGAAGGCGATGAAAGCGTAGCTGTTGTTCATTCTGTGACTGTTTCAATGAACACAGTTGTATCCTACGGGTTGTGTATGATTAATTCATTCTTAAAAAAACCCCAAAGAATCACCTTTTCACATCCCACTTGAGTGAGCAAGATCATGTTTACAAATACACGAACCACAAGAACTATCGGTACAGACGTTTCATAGAGCGACAGTTATTTCTTGACAACATGCTTTCTCCCGTCCCCCGTGCTGGTACACCTGTCTGTTGTGTCCGTGCTGGTACACCTGTCTGTTGTGTCCGTGCTGGTACACCTGTCTGTTGTGTCCGTGCTGGTACACCTGTCTGTTGTGTCCGTGCTGGTACACCTGTCTGTTGTGTCCGTGCTGGTACACCTGTCTGTTGTGTCCGTGCTGGTACACCTGTCTGTTGTGTCCGTGCTGGTACACCTGTCTGTTGTGTCATCAGCTGAGTGCAAACCTTTAGTCTGTTCCACAAGGTGTGTGTATTTCCTGGTCAGGTGGGCATAAGTAGATATGAGTCACGTGTGTTCCACCGAGAGTGCCACGCCCCCAGGCGGGAAGATACCGATACGGTCGCCTCATGCTAATGCTCCTTGCTTCGGGTGTCTGGAAATATATATAAGTTCGGCATATGAATTTATGTTGAATTTGGCTGATATGTGAGAGGGCTAAATTCAGCAATATTATTCAGTTGATGGATCAGGAAACATCATTCACAAAAAGGACTGGAACATCTCAACTCCAGATGGACAAGGCGGATACTTGTCATTAGTCTTAATAAAATGAGAGAAACCTTTAAGTCATTTGCACGTTGACCTAGTGGATTTCCTATATACCTTGCAAAGAGTTGAAATAAATAGATAAATTAGAAGTATTGGAAATATTTCCAACATTAACTTTCCAAGGTGTATTTAAAGTTCGTATTCTTTTAATTCTGTTCCTAAGAAAAGATATACTTCCCAAATACCCGAAAGCCTCAAATCCTTGTATTGTTTGTTTGTTGTTTAACGCCGCACTCAGCAATATACCACTATATGACGACGGCCTGTAAATAATCGAGTCTGGACCAAACAATCCAGTGGTTGATAACATGAGCATCGACCCACGCAATTGGAATACGATGACATGTACGAACCAAGTCAGCGAGCCTGACCGACCAATCCCGTTAGTCGCCTCTTAAATTGTTATAACAAATTCCGAAAGATGTCTAATAATGCATAGTAAAGTTGATCTGTAAATGATTGAAACGCGTTATCAATAAGGGCGTGTCCTGGGCGATGTCGGAACCGGGTGCCCCTGGGTAGCGACATGAAGGGACTGTGGTTGTGGATGACGTTGTTTAGAAGCGTCGGCCATACAATTCATCGCAGCACCTGTAACTCTTGCCTGTTGTTAGTACAGTGTTACTTAAGTAAGCGTTAATTAAGAGTTGCTTGACCCGAGGCCAGCCTGCGTCAGAGTGGCAGCTTCAGGAACGTCATCCGTCACAGTCCGCCCCAGGCACATCCTTGTAGATTGTGTTTTCAACATAGAGTGTTAAATATCGTTTGACACAGTTCGGAGTTCTGCTTCAAGTGCAAACTGTGACACATTTCCCTTTTTCCTAAAAAGAATACCATATGCTGAAAATTAACCAATCTTTATGCTTACATGTTCTCCGCGGTTGGCAGAACATGTCTATATTCACCACTTCCATGTCAATATTCACCACTTCCATGTCAATATTCACCACTTCCATGTCAATATTCACCACTTCTGTCTATATTCACCACTTCCATGTCAATATTCACCACATGCCATGTCAATATTCACCACTTCCATGTCAATATTCACCACTTCTGTCTATATTCACCACTTCCATGTCAATATTCACCACATTCCATGTCAATATTCACCACTTCCATGTCAATATTCACCACTTCCATGTCAATATTCACCACTTCTGTCTATATTCACCACTTCCATGTCAATATTCACCACTTCTGTCTATATTCACCACTTCCATGTCTATATTCACCACTTCCATGTCAATATTCACCACTTCCATGTCAATATTCACCACTTCTGTCTATATTCACCACTTCCATGTCAATATTCACCACATTCCATGTCAATATTCACCACTTCCATGTCAATATTCACCACTTCTGTCTATATTCACCACTTCCATGTCAATATTCACCACTTCTGTCTATATTCACCACTTCCATGTCAATATTCACCACTTCTGTCTATATTCACCACTTCCATGTCAATATTCACCACTTCTGTCTATATTCACCACTTCCATGTCAATATTCACCACTTCCATGTCTATATTCACCACTTCCATGTCAATATTCACCACTTCCATGTCAATATTCACCACTTCTATGTCAATATTCACCACTTCCATGTCAATATTCACCACTTCCACGTCAATATTCACCACTTCTTTATCAATATTCGCCACTTCTATGTCAATATTCACCACTTCCATGTCAATATTCACCACTTCTATGTCAATATTCACCACTTCCATGTCAATATTCACCACTTCCATGTCAATATTCACCACTTCCATGTCAATATTCACCACTTCTATGTCAATATTCACCACTTCCATGTCAATATTCACCACTTCCATGTCAATATTCACCACTTCCATGTCAATATTCACCACTTCCATGTCAATATTCACCACTTCTATGTCAATATTCACCACTTCCATGTCAATATTCACCACTTCCATGTCAATATTCTCCACATTCCATGTCAATATTCACCACTTCTATGTCAATATTCACCACTTCTGTCTATATTCACCACTTCCATGTCAATATTCACCACTTCCATGTCAATATTCACCACTTCCATGTCAATATTCACCACATTCCATGTCAATATTCACCACTTCCATGTCAATATTCACCACTTCTGTGTCAATATTCACCACTTCCATGTCAATATTCACCACTTCCATGTCAATATTCACCACATTCCATGTCAATATTCACCACTTCCATGTCAATATTCACCACTTCTATGTCAATATTCACCACTTCCATGTCAATATTCACCACTTCCATGTCAATATTCACCACTTCTATGTCAATATTCACCATTTCTGTCTATATTCACCACTTCCATGTCAATATTCACCACATTCCATGTCAATATTCACCACTTCTATGTCAATATTCACCACTTCCATGTCAATATTCACCACTTCTATGTCAATATTCACCACTTCTATGTCAATATTCACCACTTCCATGTCAATATTCACCAATTCTATGTCAATATTCACCACTTCCATGTCAATATTCACCACTTCCACGTCAATATTCACCACTTCCATGTATATATTCACCAATTCAATGTCAATATTCACCACTTCTTTCCATATTCAACTCTTCCATGTCAATATTCACCACTTCTATGTCAATATTCACCACTTCCATGTCAATATTCACCACTTCTATGTCAATATTCACCACCTCTTTGTCTAAATTCACCACTTCCATGTCAATATTCACCACTTCCATGTCAATATTCACCACATCGATGTCACTATTCACCACTTCTTTCTATATTCACCACTTCGATGTCTGTATTCGACACTTCTATGTCAATATTCACCATTTCCACGTCAATATTCACCACTTCTATGTCAATATTTACCACTTTTTTATCAATATTCGCCACTTCTATGTCAGTATTCACCACTTTTATGTCAATATTCACCACTTCCATGTCAATATTCACCACTTCTATGTCAATATTCACCACTTCTATGTCAATATTCACCACTTCCATGTCAATATTCACCACTTCTATGTCAATATTCACCACTTCCATGTCAATATTCACCACTTCCACGTCAATATTCACCACTTCCATGTATATATTCACCAATTCAATGTCAATATTCACCACTTCTTTCCATATTCAACTCTTCCATGTCAATATTCACCACTTCAATGTCAATATTCACCACTTCCATGTCAATATTCACCACTTCTATGTCAATATTCACCACCTCTTTGTCTAAATTCACCACTTCCATGTCAATATTCACCACTTCCATGTCAATATTCACCACATCGATGTCACTATTCACCACTTCTTTCTATATTCACCACTTCGATGTCTGTATTCGACACTTCTATGTCAATATTCACCATTTCCACGTCAATATTCACCACTTCTATGTCAATATTTACCACTTTTTTATCAATATTCGCCACTTCTATGTCAGTATTCACCACTTTTATGTCAATATTTACCACTTTTTTATCAATATTCGCCACTTCTATGTCAATATTCACCACTTCTATGTCAGTATTCACCATTTCCACGTCAATATTCACCACTTCTATGTCAATATTTACCACTTCTTTATCAATATTCGCCACTTCTATGTCAATATTCACCACTACTTTATCAATATTCACCACTTCTATGTCTCTATTCACCACTTCTATGTGTATTCACCACTTCTACCTCTGTATGCACTCACTCACACACTACCTCATCAGTTATTAGGTGAACTTAGATTGAAAAGCCCTTAAGTTCTACCCCACTTCTATCTCTGTATGCACCACTTCTATGTCAATATTCACCACTTCTATGTCAATGTTCGCCACTTCTATGTCAATATTCACCACTTCTATGTCTAAATTCACCACTTCTATGTCTAGATTCACCATTTCCATGTCAATATTGACCACTTCTATGTCAATATTCACCACTTCTATGTCAATATTCACCATTTCCACGTCAATATTCACCACTTCTATGTCAATATTTACCACTTTTTTTATCAATATTCGCCACTTCTATGTCAATATTCACCACTTCTTTATCAATATTCACCACTTCTATGTCTGTATTCACCACTTCTACCTCTGTATGCACTCACTCACACACTACCTCATCAGTTATAAGTTGAACTTAGATTGAAAACCCCTAAAGTTTTACCCCACCTTATCTCTGTATTTACCACTTCCATGTCAATATTGACCACTTCTATGTCAATATTCACCACTTCTATGTCTAAATTCACCACTTCCATGTCAGTATTCACAACTTCTGTCTATATCCACCACTTCTATGTCTATATTCCCCACTTCTGTCTATATTCACCACTTCTATGTCTATATTCCCCACTTCTAAGTCTATATTCCCAACTTCCATGTCAATATTCCCCACTTCTATGTCAATATTCCCCACTTCTAAGTCTATATTCCCCACTTCTGTCTATAACTCTGTTGAATTTTAAGTACATTTAGTGTAAAACTGCATTACTTTTATATACAATCTAAGACAAGTATGCTATATAACATCAAAACAAGCATGATATATCAAAATCGATACAAGTATGCCATATTCACATTAAGACATACCTGACAAACCTAAATCCAAATCACGATCTAACAGCATGTTTTGATTTGTGTAGAGCTTGCTTGCCATTATTGGTATATACGCTGTGATATCTATATCTTATTTTGTAAAATTGTCTCCGCGGTCACGTGGTATAGCGTCTGCCCGGAGAGCGGGAAGTTGGGGTTCGACATACTAAAAGACGTTAAAAGATGGTACTTTTTGTTATCCTGCCTGGCGTGCGGGGCTAAAACAAGGACTGGTCTGCTCGGAGCCAGTATACTGTGTGTCGTTAGAGGCGAGTAACGGGATCGGGTGGTCAGGCTCGCTGACCCAGTTGATGCATGTCATCGTATCCAAATTGTGTAGATCAATGCTTGACTTGATTTTAGAATGTGTAAAAAACATGCTTGTCTTAGACATATTGAACCATATGTAGCTACACACAGTTCAACCCTATGTAGCTCCAAATATATATTCAACCATATGTAGCTACATAGACATATTCAGCCATATGTAGCTAGTAGCTACAAAGACATATTCAACCATATATAGCTACATACAGTTCAACCATATGTAGCTACACAGTTAGTTCAACCATATGTAGCTACATAGACATATTCAGCCATATGTAGCTAGTAGCTACATAGACATATTCAACCATATGTAGCTCGTAGATAGTTCAACCATATGTAGCTACATAGACATATTCAACCATATGTAGCTAGTCAGTTCAACAATATGTAGTTACAGACAGTACAACCATATGTAGCTACAGACAGTTCAACCATTTGTAGCTACATAGACACATTCAACCATATGTAGCTACAGACAGTTCAACCATATGTAGCTACATAGACACATTCAACCATATGTAGCTACAGACAGTTCAACAATATGTAGCTACAGACAGTTCAACCATTTGTAGCTACATAGACACATTCAACCATATATAGCTACATACAGTTCAACCATATGTAGCTACAGACAGTTCAACCATATGTAGCTACATAGACACATTCAACCATATGTAGCTACATAGACACATTCAACCATATGTAGCTAGTCAGTTCAACAATATGTAGTTACAGACAGTTCAATCATATGTAGCTACATAGAAACATTCAACCATATGTAGCTACAGATAGTTCAACAACATGTAGCTACATAGACACATTCAACCATATGTAGCTACAGACAGTTCAATCATATGTAGTTACAGACAGTTCAACCATATGTAGCTACATACAGTTCAATCATATGTAGCTACAGACAGTTCAACCATTTGTAGCTACATAGACATTCAACCATATGTAGCTACTCAGATAGTTCTACCATATGTAGCTGCACAGATATTTTAACCATATGTAGCTAGACAAGTAGTTCAACCATATGTAGCTAGACAGATAGTTCAACCATATGTAGCTAGACAGATAGTTCAACCATATGTAGCTACATAGATACATTCAACCATATGTAGCTAGTCAGTTCAACAATATGGTTACAGACAGTTCAACCATATGTAGCTACATAGAAACATTCAACCATATGTAGCTACAGACAGTTCAACCACATGTAGCTACATAGACACATTCAACCATATGTAGCTACAGACAGTTTAACCATATGTAGCTACATAGACATATTCAACCATATGTAGCTAGTCAGGTCAACAATATGTAGTAACATAGATATATTCAACCATATGTAGTTACATACAGTTCAATCATATGTAGCTACAGACAGTTCAACCATATGTAGCTACATAGACATATTCAACCATATGTAGCTACAGACAGTTCAACCATATATAGCTACATAGACATATTCAACCACATGTAGCTACATACAGTTCAACCATATGTAGCTACAGACAGTTCAACCATATGTAGCTACATAGACATATTCAACCATATGTAGCTAGTCAGTATAACAATAGGTAGTTACATACAGTTCAACCATATGTAGCTACAGACAGTTCAACCATATGTAGCTACACTGACAGTTCAACCATTTGTAGCTACACTGAAAGTTCAACCATATGTAGCTAGACAGATAGTTCAACCATATGTAGCTAGACAGACAGTTCAACCATATGTGGCTACAGACAGTTCAACCATATGTAGCTACACTGAAAGTTCAACCATATGTAGCTACAGATAGTTCAACCATATGTAGCTACAATGATAGTTCAACCATATGTAGCTACAGATATAGTTCAACCATATGTAGCTGCACAGACAGTTCAAAAACCATATGTAGCTACATAGACATATTAAACCACGTGTAGCTACAGACAGTTCAACCATGTGTAGCTACAGAAATTCAACCATTTGTAGCTACATAGACATATTCAACCATATGTAGCTACATAGACATATTCAACCATATGTAGCTACAGACAGTTCAACCATATGTAGCTACACTGACAGTTCAACCATATGTAGCTACAGACAGTTCAACCAAATGTAGCAACACTGACAGTTCAACCATATGTTGCTACAGACAATTCAACCATATGTAGCTACATAGACATATTCAACCATATGTAGCTACTGACAGTTCAACCATGTGTAGCTACTGCCAGTTCAACCATGTGTAGCTACTGACAGTTCAACCATGTGTAGCTACTGACAATTCAACCATGTGTAGCTACTGACAGTTCAACCATGTGTAGCTACTGACAGGTCAACCATGTGTAGCTACATACAGTTCAATCATATGTAGCTACAGACAGTTCAACCATTTGTAGCTACATAGACATTCAACCATATGTAGCTACTCAGATAGTTCTACCATATGTAGCTGCACAGATATTTTAACCATATGTAGCTACAGACAGTTCAACCATATGGAGCTACAGACAGTGTGACCATATGTAGCTACAGACAGCTCAACCATATGTAGCTACACTGACAGTTCAACCATATGTAGCTACAGACAGTTCAACCAAATGTAGCAACACTGACAGTTCAACCATATGTAGCTACTGACAGTTCAACCACATGTAGCTACTGACAGTTCAACCGTGTGTAACTTCTGACAGTTCAACCATGTGACGCTACTGACAGTTCAACCATGTGTAGCTTCTGACAGTTCAACCATGTGACGCTACAGACAGTTCAACCATGTTTAGCTACTGACAGGTCAACCATGTGTAGCTACTGACAGTTCAACCATGTGTAGCTACTGACAGTTCAACCATGTGTAGCTACTGACAGGTCAACCATGTGTAGCTACTGACAGTTCAACCATGTGTAGCTACTGACAGGTCAACCATGTGTAGCTACTGACAGGTCAACCATGTGTAGCTACTGACAGTTCTACCATGTGTAGCTACTGACAGGTCAACCATGTGTAGCTATTGACAGTTCAACCATGTGTAGCTACTGACAGTTCTACACAGACAGTTCCGGGGCCTCAGACGGGTGTTAGTCACTGTTGTGTTCAACACAATGGCAGTCCAAGTTTCGTGTTCCCCTTCGTTAACTCGCTTTACTTGTCCTAGATGTGAGCAATTGTTTGGCTTTGTTTCGCTAGGGAAATACATCAGCAATGAATGAACCATTGTGGTGAACCACAGTACTGAAATTCACATGAAACCACATTTGTTTGTCTGAGAGTATTTGTATTCCTAAGAGGGCTTCTTGAAAGGATGCCAGCTGTACTGAAACGTCGCACTGGAAGAATAAAGAACTTGAAATTCATGTCAACTACTTTCTTTGATACTTTAGCTTTGAAAATGCATATACAATGTAGTTATACCTTAGTCAGTTCCTCGCAACTAAAGCTTACTTAACCAATAATACCTAGTGTACATCATTACGCCCGCCGTCACATAGCTGGGAAATTGCTGAGTGCGGCGTTAACAAAATTGGGCATCAAAAGTTAAAAACATGTTGTACGAATGTGGATATGGTTATATTTGGTTACAGCAACATGGAGATATGCCACAGCATTTCTTCTCCCGTTTGACACAGACTTGAAAAGATATGTACATTCAAAAATGGCATGGTTCTTTGTCCAGTTCTAGAAAAGCAAAATACTACACTACATTTAAGACTACTATTATACTAGAACCTTATCTATTAAGTGTAAATTTACATAAGTTTAGAACAGCTTTTTCTCGATTTCGTTGTGGCTCACATGATCTATTTATTGAAACAGGCAGATATGAAGGTATTGCAAGAGAACATAGACTCTGTAGGATTTGTAAAACCGATTGTATTGAAGATGAATATCACTTTTTATGTGTATGTCCAGTGTATAAAGATTTAAGAGCAAAATATCTAAATAACTATTTCAACCGCAAGTCAAACGGTAACAAATTTTGTGAATTAATGACTTGTGATTGTACAGAGACTATTAGAAATTTATCAATGTTCATTTATCATGCTATGAAACTAAGAAAATGTATGAATTTGTAACACGCCCCAGACAATGTACTATAGGCCTTTGGCCTCATAAGTACCATGAATAAAGATTGATTGATTGATTGAGTGCGGCGTTACACATCAAACATAAAAAAGCACGAGTCATGGCCAGAAAGCCATGGTCACACCAGCAAGATAAAGAAACGAAGAACAGGCTTCTTGCTCACCTTGCATGATCTACACCAGACGCTGTGTGTCCCCTCGCCGTCAGGCGCTGTAATGGCATCAAGTCTAATTATAATCACCCGTCCAAGTGTCCCACTTCAAGTTACCGCATGCATGCATACACAGAAGGAAGCGGCCACTCAGAGCATGAAATAGAACTTTGTGTTCACGCTTACAAAACACCAGCGGACATCAGTGTGCCTTCAGTTCTCACTTCAGGAAGGGCACAGGGTCGAAATAGTCTCACATTTCCTTTTTAGTTACGCAGGATGGCGCAGTAGATCGTTCCGTTCTGTCTACACACACAGCACTCCAACAGGGAAGTTGTTTTGAAAGTTGGTTTGTTGTTTGACGATTCAGTCGCCATTCATTTGAGTTAGTAAGTGAGTGAGTGTTTCACTCCGTCTCTGACACCAAGAATGCGCTTCATTGTACCAGGGGGTCGAAATGGTCTTAAGCGTGAAGAAATTGTTTTCCCTTGAAAAGTTGTAAAAATAGTTTTTGAAAGTTATTTAAGGTGTATCACAAATGCTGAAGTGCTATGTTGTTGAACTATGTGGAGTGCTTCCTCCACTAACAGATAGATCATTGAATAGTTTTAGAGTGAAATGCAAGTAGTTTCTAAATATGATGAGGAAGTCTGCTGAGACCGACATACATTCAACCCTGGCGCGTATCGTCTGTTATATAGTCATTCAACAAAGTTTGTATCGTCTGTTATATGGTCATTCAACAAAGTTTGTATCGTCTGTTATATAGTCATTCAACAAAGTTTGCATCGTCTGTAACATACAGACATTCAACAAAGTTTGTATCGTCTGTTACATACAGACATTCAACAATGGGCGTTTCGTCTGTTATGTACATTTATGCAACACCGGGCTCATCGACTGTTATATACAGTCATTCGACACTAGGCTGGTTCAAAATAAACTAGTTTATGAAATTCAATGCAAAACACATGTATAATACATCCTTAGATATATGTTAAACTTGAAATAATTCGGGAGTATACACACAACGTCAACTTGGTTTAATGATTGTGTTGAATATTTTCATGACTCTTGGAAAAATGGTATGGGGCCTTATGGAATGCGATCTCAGAGAACGGCTTACTGTGCGTGATGTTGCAATAGATGACACTACTGTTCTGCCTGAAAAGCCGCCATGGCTGCTTGAACCGCCATCAGTTTATCTTGATGTCCTGGAGCAGGTAAATAAATGTGAGCCAGCACCTCGAGTTAAAGCTACAGCTGAGGAACATATCCGAAGTTTACAGTGGTTAAATGCCATGCAGATTTACACTGATGGCTCTAAGTGCCCAGTGTCTGGTCGTGTTGGTGCTGATATATTCATCTTTAGTGAAAAGAGAAAACTTTCTATCCGATTGGCTGATCACTTATCAGTATTTTCTGCTGAACTAGGAGCAATCATTGAAGCATTGCGTTGGATTATTTTTTTAAGGCCTGTTTCAGCGGTAATTTTCAGTGACTCTGTCAGTGCATAACAAGCAATTCGGGTAGGTTCTTCCTCGGCGAGGCAGGACTTGATCAACATCATTCCTTTATAATGACTTAAGTAAAGATCTGTAAGATGTTGAATTTTCATGGATCCCTGCTCATGTTGGATCACTTGGAAATGAGAAAGCTGATAAATTGGCAAAAGCTGCATTAGAATTTGATGAATCCGAACAGGATGAAACAATTTAACCTTCTCCTGCAAAGTTAGGCACCGTCAGTATGACCCATGCTAAAACAAAATGGCAGCAGAGATGGGCATCATCCATAAAAGGACGTCATCTCTCTGGCATCGATCCTTTTATCACATAATTACACATGTCTAGCAATAATCGGAGAGAGGAGGTTCTCTTAACCAGACTTCGTCTTGGGCATTGTGGTCTTGGTGCTTATCTAAATGTTATTAATAAAGACATTTCTGCACATTGTACAGTGTGTAATCAGCTTGATAATGTAGCTCAATTTTTATTGTATTGCCAAAAGTATGTTAATCAGCGTAAGGCAATGGTGGAGTCTCTAACAGTTCTCAATACTGACTTCTCATTGTCTGGTACTTTATGTTCTAGGAATATTTTTCACCGTGACGTTCAGAATGTCATTCTCGCTTATATTAAAGCGTGTGGCAGTTTTGATACTTTATAAAATATCTAGGTACTTGGCAAACCTTTATTATGGGCAAGGTATAAATGGGCCTAGTTGCCCGAACACCTATAAAACTTTTTAATGATCAATCAATCAATCAACTTCCTTCTCGCGCTATACATAATGTAATGTAGACATCACTGTTGACATGGTGACGTTTGGATGGGTAGTGACGTCACACTCCAGCACTGCTAACGTCATATGCACATTGTTATCTTGTCCGTCGGCCTCTCTCCACTCAAGAGTTGCTACTCCTGTAGCCTACTCAGGAATTCTCAATAAAGACAATATTACATGTGTGTGTGTGTGTGTGTGTGTTGTGTGTGTGTTGTGTGTTGTGTGTTGTGTGTGTGTGTGTGTGTGTTTTACGGAATCAACGCAAGGAAATATTCCAGGAAAAAGATAGCAATGTACATCCACATCCACCACGTGAAGATTGCGTGAACAATAACACGGACACAAAAACAAAACTAAAACATATATTTATTAATCTTTGAACAGGAAGAATTAACATGAAACGACACGAGTTTTCCGGCGCCACTTTCCCGGCCTTTACAAATAATGTTCGGTTAACAATTTAGTTTGCGAATTTCCACAGGATTCAAATATGAAACACTATTAAGTAAGCTCCAAAAGTATGTTGACATGATCTAACAAAAAAACAAAATATAGAGGTAACAGATTGCATGGGAACGGGAACTACCAACGAAACTCTACCTCTGTGCATCCATCTACGCAAATATCTCATCTCCGGAGAACAGGCTAAATTGCCTCTCTTTGTTCACGTGACATGTTGAACACGGTAACAGAGGTGTACCGGCTAGTCTCGACTTCGCAACCTTTGCCCTTTTGTAAGTCGGCGATGTCTTATTGGTCACGCGACGTGGCTCACCCGGGGTGGCCGGCGCTTGCCCTCTTGGTGTATAAGGAACGACCTGCTCGGCAAAACTTGTGACTGTAACGAAGGAAACTTTAGTTATTACACAGGACGACCTCTGCATGAATTTAAGTTATCAACTAACTCCTATCATACCTGATAAATCAAATGGAGAAGTGCTGGTGCGGCGAGGCCACATGTTGGCTGTATCAGGGTCTACTGCAGACTCATACACTGTCCCTTATTTAAAGCTATGGCTATTGGTAAACTTTTAAACTTGATTTCCGAATTTAATAATTGAAATGTGAAAAAGCAGTGATTATTTTATTCCGCCGACCAGAAATAAGTAAAAACAAATAAAAATGTCTGGCCTCAGAAAGAATAACACTTATATACAGAGGCCCCACAGTGTCTTCTTCACTCTAGAACCGTTCCAGAATTCCATATTTACGCACTCTCATTCATTCTTTTGGGCATACCTGCGTAATTCTTCAAAATGGTTTAGCTGCAATCCTCATGATGTCTTTTTAATAATTCAAACGTTACAGGGGAATGTTTGACTTACATAATTCTATATCAGGCACCTGTCTGCATCCCTGCACCCGGCTTACGTGCAGGTACGTGCACCTGCTGTCAGCACCCAAGCCGCCGCCCCTCTGGGTATAGTAGACTCTTCTTCCCGAGGGACTGGTCGGTGTTGAGGGGACCAGGAGTTCACTCTTATAACCTGAAAAGAAAACATTATCGAAAATAGCAGTAGCATCCAAATTGAATGACATGTATTTGAACACATTGGCTGCGCGACACAGAATTCTGGGAGGGTGGTTTGAGGGATGGGTGCACCTGGGGACCACAAGTAAACACACAACTTCAGTATGTTTCAAAAACAGGTTCACACTCCTCTCCGCCGGCTGGACGTTCAAGTAGCCTAGTGGTTAAAGCTTTCACTCGTCACGCCGAAGATTCGATTCCGCGTGAAGCCCATTTTCTGGTGTCCCCCGCCGTGATATTGCTGGCATATTGCTAAAAGCGACGTAAAACCATACTCACTCACTCTCCGCCAGTTCATTGTCACTGCAGGCAGAAGATGTGGGAGGGAGACGGACAGATACATCAATATAGTAGATAAAATCGGTGTACCAATCAAACTGCAGGAATTGACAACTTATAGATAGATATTATTACTTCAAACTTTTTGTTTTTGGATAGGTCACATATTATTCCCTGTAAGGCTTTAAACCTAGCTTTGTGGGAAAGCGGTGAGTACCAACGCTAGGCGAAGATACTGCTTGACTAGGCTCCGTGTACAATTCCATCAACGTCTATATAAAATGCGACTCCCACCCCAAATTCAATGACATCTTGACATATCTGGAGTAAAAGTTCATATTGATCTGCTATATTTTTGTGGGTTCACCAACTTATGTCGGGGCTGTTTCCCCAGTGTACGTCTGGAACCCTGGCATCAGATGGGTCTGGTCTGGGGCAGCTGGGGGTGGAGGGCACATGCTGGCAGTCAAGGGACTCGCACACTGCGTTCATGGTCTACCTGTGCACAGGGAAAGAAAACTCGGATGTACAAATCGGCACTATGACATCTAGTCAACCATTCAAAACCCCAACATGTTTCTACAAATACCACAACCTAAGTGTTTATCAGTTTAGACATTGATAGTGAATACATACCTCTGAATAACGGATACATGATCAATTGTTATTAATGGGCAATTTTGATCTCACCTGAACCGAAGTTGTGGCGTCATTGTCACCCGTCGTAACATTTAAGGTTTAGCTCTAGATTAACTGTATTTTCGGCATATCCCCTGAAACCGGTATGGACAAAAGAAGCTGACATTTTGTGCAAATGATCTCAGAAATGGTATCTATCAAATTTGCTAGCATAATTTGATCCAATATAGAAATAGCCATAATGAAAATGCCATTGCTTATCCAGCCATTTTGCCTATGAAACTTGAAATGTAGTAGGTATGTGGTATGCATATTATGTCATATGGCATATTTTGATATGTTACTCTACAATGGCCTTTTAATATGAAATATTCATGCTCTTCTGTTTGTTCGAAACCTCTGTTATATTCTGGTTTGCATATTCTTGTTTTCCTGTTTATTACTACTTTCAAGCTTAGATTTGCAAATGTTTCAGAAAAATTTAAGTGAGCTACAAAGTCACCTCAAGTTGTTTTATTTTATTATTGCTGTGATCTAAAAGGTAATATTGAGCATCGGTAGCTTCAGGGGTGTCGGCTTTACAGTTTGAGCAAAGCGTATTTAAGAAGAATTTCGGTATACAGAAATGTACCTTGACCAAAATCAGCATTCAGAATGGTACCTGGAATCCATAACCGAGGACTAGTCTATATTCCTCAAACCGGAACCGATTCATGTTGTACTTCAGTTCGCTAGCTGATTACCTGTGCATGCTATATATATTATCAGAGGACAAGAGTTGGACAGATGACTTTACGAGCACGGTGTAGGCTCGTTTTAAGATAGTGCTCTGGAACAGTATCACTGTTCTGATTTAGATGACAACCCCCCCCCCCCCCCCCCCCCGCGCGCCTCCACTTAGTCACCACTTAGTAGATCTACCAAGTTTGGATGAAAAACTTCCTCGGTTTTCAAGTTATGCTCCGGAAACAAAATTGGCCTTGGGGCGGACAGCTGGACAAACGTACAGACAGACCAGATGATGACAAACAAAATAAATAATACTGTAATCCACCCCACTTGCCGAATTGCTCTTGTCCTTCTCATCTTAATTAAATATACTTACCGAATTATTTATTTCTATAATAATTAATCCTGCAAAAGAAATACTATAATATCTACTTACCGTATTTTTTAAATACTAAATTCACAAAAGAGCCTGCCAAAGAAACAAAGAAAAGAAAATTTCAATTTAATAAATGTGTCGTCGAATTCGCTCAGGTTTGTGTTTAAAAGTTGGGAGTGGCTACGAATTTCTTACAAGGATTGGTGACATTGATTAGACTTCTGATATCTATCCCCCCCCCCCCCCCCCCAAGATCTATGTTCATTTCAATGAAACGCCTAAATATTGATAAGAAACCATATTTTTTGTAAAACATACCCAAATCACCATGTCACTACTGATTAGTGTATTATGTTTACTGTTTGCTTGCCAATCCAATTTCAAATTTATTTTGGTAATAAATAACACGATCTGTTCACAGATGGACATGCCGCTTCCAGGGGCACGCCTATATTCCGATAAGACTGCATGTTAATAATATTAGGTATTAAGTCAATAAAGACCACAACAAAACTCACTTGTAAAATGTCGTGACTTATAGGTCAAGCACATGTTTGAGTTTTCATTGCGGCAATAACAAAAAGTCGTCTGCTTCAAGGCCAATAAGATTGCACGTTACTCCTTGTATCATCGATTGACCAATCATATCGCTCCTACCGAAAAGTTCGTAAGCATTTCCGTTCAAAACAAACATGGAGTCGTGTATTACAAAATTACACTGTTTCTTCATGTAGCTGCCCCTGAGAAATGATAGCATCCTATCTTTTCTAAGACTAGTAACAACAACCAGTGAATGTGTCACAGCAATTAGTGTAAGTATATTTAGGCGATAACAAAGTTATTCCTCAAGAGTACTAATTTTGCCAGTAGACAGATAGGCCTAATCAATCTCCCGAGTAATCAGCTGCTGATGGATCACGGGCGCCCGTATCGTGTCCCTCGATTATCTCGTGTCATATCTCCAGTCAGTTCATAATGGAAAGGAAACATAATAATACACAAATGGAGTGATTGAATAAATGTTGTTTATATCTCAGCAATAGTCAACCCATATCATGGTGTCCTGTAAACTTAGTGTAGGCTACTGACTTTGTCACTGGTCAGGCAAACCAGTGGTGGAGCACCTTTAGAACACAGTACCACAACTTCTCATGAGGACGATCTCTGCCTTGGTCACATGTCTCAGAGAAAAGCAACCAGTTTGTGCAAGAATCAGTCGGACGCGACCTCGTGACCTTCAGATTGTTAGCCAGCTATCCGACTGAGCTACGTCCACACGGTAAAACTTAGTGCAAATTTACCTAGTCATGCCTAAAACGTTATGGAACTGAACGAAAAGAGTCGAATAGGTGACAGACACTTACGAAGGTTACGGGTAGGCATGGTGTCTCATGACTTTAGTCCACGGACACTTACGAATGATCCCGATTGCCATTTGGCACACTCGTCCCATTCTGTAATCTACAAGATATGGACTGGTGAGGAATGAGCTGATATGGCGCGAACTGAAAACGACTCCAGGCGTCAGACGTCAAACTCGCGAGTATGCATGAATGATATGGTATTTAATAATTCATCAGGTGATTTTTGTGACAGAGAAGTGTGGTAGGAAACACTGTAAGGATGATGTGGATAATAGTAAGGAAAGAGGGAGGAATAAGCATAGCTAGTGACAACACAATGCAGCGTTAGAAATTGGCATTAGTCATGTAGTCCTTGCCAAACTCCCCAACAGTTAAGGTATCATAAGGACTAGTAGAAATTTGCCATTTTTAAGGGTTTTGCTATATGTTATCATTATAAGGACCAGTGGACTAAATATGTGAGTTTCTACCCCTGCAAGGGTGAGTTCGCTTTTGAATCAGTATTGAAAAAATGTAGCCGACAAAAGTGGCTTGTGTGAATGTTCCAGGACAGTTTCCAGTATCCAAAATATTTTACACAAAACCATCTCATCCTTTTTACTTGACATTTTTGTGTGAAGAATATTAGGAGCCGCTATATAATCTATAATAGCCACTAAACGGGTACCTAACCCTAATGATCGTAAAAGGGTGATTGATCGTAAAGGGGATCCAAGGGCTAAGGATAGAGTTCGGAGTAACCTACCCTAACACTAACGACATTTGGATGTGTTCAGTGCCAATATACTATCCCTAATAATCTGCATTCTTGTGCATAATAATGAAAATTAATGAACAGAAAAAATAATATATGTATATTAGTTCCAATTTATAACCATTTTATCCACTTGAATTACGAGAAAAACGAAATATAAAATATATAAAAAATATAAGTGTTTTCATAAACTATTGCTTTTTCTAAAATGCGCTTCCACAGGCTATATTTAGTAAACAAATATTCAAAACTCTCAACACCACTGGACGTATTCAGTTACATTGCGTGTAGAGATGATAGATCACTGGGAGGAGCTTATGCACACTAGATGACCCCTGACGTAACAAGGCATTGTTTCGCCGGTGTGACTGGCAACGAAATGCTACAAATTACGTCATAGGGTATTTTCAGGTGTTTGAAAAGTTTGTGGTACTGTATTCTAAAGGTATAAAGGTACCAGTGGTGGTTGATAACGTGAGCAACAACATAAAAATGCTTGTGCCGGCTGGAAAAGGTTTTTAAATACACAAACTCCATGGGACTGCTGAAATTTCTTCGTTATACAAAATGTTTTACAACCATTGTCTGCCATTTTGGATTTCCCCAACTATTCATGTAGCCTGCAACCTCGGGGTATCGCAGTACTTATTATGTACGCTAAGCGGAACAAAATGCACTCACTAACCTTTATGATTATTCGTGTTCTCTATATCAGATGTCATTTATTTTATCTAACAATGCAAATTTTACTGATAAAAGTTCATTATTTACATTAGTAGTGCCGAGTAAAAGCCGGGCCTCGCTCTCAGTTTGCCAAGGGAGAGAACTCTATAGTATCGTGGTACAGGGAAAAGTTGTCCGAATTGGACAAAAACAGGACTTAATTCTACTGACCACTAAGTATGATGATGCCAGTTTTCAGTGATTTGTCCAGACAAGTGCAAAGACAGCACAAGTAAACAATGGTCTAGTAAACAAAAGCTTAGGAAAGTTAGATTGAATATCTATCTGCCATTATTATTGAAAGAATTGAATGTGTAGGGATTCAAATTGAACATGTACAAGAGATTTTGCATGTATCTAGTCCTCAAGTTCACATCAACTAAGTACTTCATTTGTTTTTTTCATAATTAGTTGCCAAATTACTGGTACTTTGACAATCCAAGAAAGAAATATTAGCAGCTGCAGTGACAGAATTCAGGAGAAAGCATGTGAGTAGACTCATGATATATATCATGGAAACTGTTTTTTTGGCCTATGGGTATACAAGATTCTTATGGTTGAGAGAATATGTCCATAATACACTTCAAATTTCAAAACAGCAGAAAACTTCAAAATTCAAACCCCAGAAATTAACTAGTCAAAGTATGGCATTTATAATACATGTATCCATACTCTGGCAACTCAAGTTCGTTTCATGGAGTCAATGGTGGTAATCTGAGTTGTGCTAGCAACCGATCACTTCAAACACGATTTCACCGAAATTAATGTCAACAATATTAAATGAAATTTGCATAAAATTAATAAAACATATTTCAAACATAAGTTCAGATATACAATGAACATGTTTTTGTAACCAGATAGTATAATAATGGGATTGAATTGCATACTTCAGTTCGGATTTGTTTTTCGGACTAGTATTTTCGGTGTTATCTGCTCGCGGTGATCAAGTCATCATGTTTTTTTAGATGGGCAAAAATAACATGTCAGTGTAAAATTTGAGCTTATTAAAAATGTAAGTTTTTGAAACCTTGTGCTACCGCATGCTATGACCAAGTTAGCGCTATATTAAAGGCTACATCGTGTTAGCGCTATATTAAAGGGTACTTCGTGTTGTGAACAATAGTTAAGGCAAGATGCTGAAAACACTGATGGAAAAGAGGAAAAAAACACCTTGTCTTGTTCCTTCACTGATTTTCAGTTTTGATGCATTAATTATGACGATATTGCGTCAGTGATGCAGAAACGCAGCCTAGATCTAACCCTGTTAATCCATGTAAAGTTTCAGCCATCCATGATGAATAACAACTTTCCTACTGTGAAAACCTATTCAACAAAATGGAAGCGGTCTTACAAGCTATATCATGAGAAAGACGGGCTATTTGACAGAGTACAAGGCAAGTTGATGTCTGTGTGTCTGAGCAGCAGTCTGTAATATTCATTATCAACATGTGATTATTGATATAATGTAACAAATCAGGCGTGATACCATGTACACATTAACAAGTTAATTCCATCATATTGGTGAAGTTATTCTTTTTACATTGAGAACTGCAATCGTGGGATGAAAAATTAATTCAGAGTAATTCCTACAAGTCCCATACCTCTATTACATCATTGCCATTGTCCTGTATTTTGTCATCACACCATAAAAATCTTTTAGATTTTCCACAGAAATCTTCTTCATTGTCAGCTGACCTCAATTAGTTGTGTGAGTAATAGTTTTCTTCCACCACTGTGGCAGGCAGGAAAACCTCACTTCGCTCTGGTGTGTGATGGAGTCAGCATCTCAAAATAAAGTCTGAGTATATCTAGCACACTTGGTAGTTTTTCACACCAATAGTTAATCACTGGTAATTTCAATTAACCTCATAAGATTCTAAAGATTATTGAATTTGGGTGATTATGTTAAAGGGGCACTGATCTAAAGCAATTCCCCAGGACTGGTTGTTGCCTTTGTTATTGTTTTTTCCTGTTAGTACCCGGATGATATAGCAGAAACCTAGACTAGTTCGCGACCTCTGCTGCGACATTCGTAAACGCATTTTTCATTTTTATTTATAGTATCAGGGCGTATGGTCACATTGATCAACAAAATGAAATATAGAAATAATAAGGAAATGTAGGTCTCTTTGTGGGTAGCATCGGTAATGGTGACAAAGTCACTTGCTTGGTAATTGTGCGATTTTCATTTCACTATTTTGACTTGCATCACAAAGTAAATATTTCTCCTGAACATTGCTTATTTTATCGTGTTTATATTTTTACAGTCAAAATGTGCAAAATTTTTACTTATTAAATTTATTAAATGCCTGAATATTCAGTTATTTTACAAATTGTCTGAAAAATATATCCATCTGTATTATTATGACAACGAATTCCAAACATTTTTATGTTTAATATCATTAATGAAAAGTACATTTCTATATTGTTTGGCTTCTAATCCTACATAATAATCTATTTTGATGTTTTTAGGCCCTTTTGATCGTCTTAATCAATTTTAGTCACTCTGTAAAAGAAATGGACAGATTTTTCAGTCAAAATGACTGAAATATTTACACATTTTATAAATTGCCTGAGAGAATCACATTCTCAAATTGACTGTATTATAATCACGCTTACAAAGAAAAGACTTGTGAAAACAACGTATATCGCGCATCGAAGGATTTCCCAACCAAGACGTAGAAGAACAAGAATGAATCTGTCCAATGCTACAGCAAATGAAGGAAAACAAAATGCAAATATCATAATTACAACCTACCAAGTTTATGTGTATAATTTTAGGCATCTTCCTTGTTCGAGGAATGTATCCGTGAATATCCACACAAACAATCAATGTGTTTTCTGTTAATCCTTTGATGACTAGTAACGATCCGTTGATTTACAAAAACGTAAATCAACTGATCATTCATCTCTTGCTGGGCTGCCATGTGCATATTACATAACACACATTTCACCTGACTTCAAACTCGTATTTAGATTGCATAATTACCCCAGACACAAGAAATGCCTAATGGGAACCTTTGCCATGTATTCTGAGTGGTGCTACCTCTAATTATACCTGTAATAAATTCATTTACTGAGCATCAAGTGAATGACAACAAATACACAAGTGTAGGGTTATACCAGAAAACATGGATGACAACAACGGAGTCGTAATTGGATTATGACGCAATCCGAAATCCGAAATTCCGAAATCCGAAAATGCTTTCACTGCATGGATACTTTTTTATTATTAAACTATAACAATCAGGGGTATTTCCAAATGATGACATCCGATGAGTTCCGCTGTTCTTTTTGTCTGTTTGTTTAGGCTGAAGAAATTAATTAACATGCGCCCTTTGTCGAAATCTTTATAGATCACGGTTAACCAATCAGTGTTCAAAAATGGGTAAAACAAATATTGCCTCCAAGTATATTTAGCTGTTCTTGCAGACGGTAGCCCAGTCTTTTGTCACGCTCAGTTGCGTTGCGTATCATCCGGGTACTCACGGGGAAAAAACAATAACAAAGGCAACAACCAGTCCCGGGGAATCGCTTTAGATCAGTGCCCCTTTAACAATGAGCATACAATCAACGTATTATCGGTTAACCCTTTGAACAAAGTATGTTGTTTTTACAACGGCACTTCACGCCATGATATGAGTGTATTCCCTTTGCTTTAGGAAACCTACACATGTAAACACTTACTTTTGACATATCCACTGTGCAAGATAACAGTGATTAATTAATCAACATAATTTCGGTTAATCCTTTTATCATGGTGTAACATTTATACTAAGTTATCCTATAATAATTAGATCCACATCAAGTGCTTTTATGAGTTATCATGGTGTAATATTTATACATCATTTCATATAATAGTTTAGCAAGTAATACTTGTCATCAGGTAAAGTGCACATATAAAATATCAGTAGTTTCAGTTATAGCTTTTTAGACAGATGCTAGCCTAAGGTAATGGGAGCGCATCTCCTAGACATACTATTCAATAAAACAAGAGTTACGTCTACATAGTTTAATTGATTTGAAGCATTTAGATAAATGCTAGCCTAAGGTATCAAGATCCCATCTCCCAGACAAAAGATATGTCTACGTAGTCTTATAGATTACCTTGAACTATTTTATTTAAGTAATCTGTCATCACCTATATCAGAATAACATTCAGCAATTACTCCAATTTAGACTCATTAAGGATTAGCCTCCATACAAGCTCGTTTATAGGGCATTAAGGATTAGCCCCCCATACAAGCTCGTCTATAGTGCATGAAGGATTAGCCCCAACACAAGCTCGTCTATAGTGTCACCATAATCTCTTTCAAAACATCCAGTAAATATGTCAACAAGATTAGTGCCAGTCCAACAGGATTAACAGGATTAAGTATTCCCCTCTGTCTAGCCATTCATTTAGCATAGGGCACAACCAATCGTGTATCAACCAATCATATCCCTTTTTATTGTTCAAATTTTTGTTAAATACATACTGTAGCAAAGTTTTAGCAGAGAAGGGGTCAGTCACTCTACCCAAGCAGATCTCTCTCCCACAGCCCAGAGGGTTATACTGACTCTCTGTGGCACCCTCAGTTATTTTTCTAAGATATTGTAACTTGCTCATTGTTAATTGTTCTTGTAAATAAAATTGTGATTAGTCTCCTGTGACCCTCTATGTAGACGTAACTCTTGTTTTATTGAATAGTATGTCTAGGAGATGCGCTCCCATTACCTTAGGCTAGCATCTGTCTAAAAAGCTATAACTGAAACTACTGATATTTTATATGTGCATTTTACCTGATGACAAGTATTACTTGCTTAACTCTTATATGAAATGATGTATAAATATTACACCATGATAACTCATAAAAGCACTTGATGTGGATCTAATTATTATAGGATAACTAAGTATAAATGTTACACCATGATACAGGTACCAGGTCTCATGAGATCTGCAAGTACAGGGTCTCAGGAGACGTGCAAGTACCGGGTCTAAGGAGATCTGCAAGTACCGGGTCTAAGGAGATCTGCAAGTACCGGGTCTAAGGAGATCTGCAAGCACAGGGTCTCATGAGACCTGTATGTACTGGGTCTCATAAGATCTGGAAGTACAGGGTCTTGGGAGACCTGCATGTACAGGGTCTCGGGAGATCTGCAAATACAGGGTCTTGGGAGACCTGCAAGCACAGGGTCTCAGGAGACCTGCAAGTACAGGGTCTCATAAGACCTGCAAGTACAGGGTCTCGGGAGCCCTGCAAGTACAGGGTCCTTGGAGACCTGCAAGGTAAGGGCTCCGGGAGATCTGCAAGTACAGGGTCTCGGGAGCCCTGCAAGTACAGGGTCATGGGAGACCTGCAAGGTAAGGGCTCCGGGAGATCTGCAAGGTAAGGGCTCCGGGAGACCTGCAAGTACAGTTTCATGGGAGACCTGCAAGGTAAGGGCTACGGGAGACCTGCAAGGTAAGGGCTCCGGGAGACCTGCAAGTACTGGGTCCCGGGAGCCCTGCACGCAACCTACTGCAGGTCTAGAAATGCTCTTTGCCCGCTCAATGAGAGATGTCCTATGTGCTCCTCCCTATCTGAGGCTTCGGTTGGCAAGATGGTGGATGCTTTGGAGAAGAAGAAGAAGCTGAAAGGGACATTTGTAGGAATGTTCGGAAAACCATTCAAATAGATGCGTGTTAAGCAATGTGATCATGATTTCCATGTTAATTCTCCATGTTGTTGTGATTGTCTGGGAAATTCCTACGACGGGGAAACACCCCATTTTTCTATCTGCATCACAACTGAGTTCTTTGTCAGATTTAAGTTAACTGTTGTAGCTATGTGTGATCTGCAACATGTATAAGGCAGTTTAAAAATGTATCTTATCTTTGAACATATTTGTTAAAATTAATTCTAGCTAAGAGCATTTCGAAAATCTAGACCCTGGTTTCACGGGTGATACAGAAGAAATCACAACTAAGAATTCCTTTAGGAACCAAGCGGACTTAGACACTATGCTATACCTCCTCTGAACAAAACAGTGGATCATCCGGATAGATTTCTATGTCCTGTACATGCACTAGAACAATTATCTGGCAGCAACAGAGACTCAAGACACAGAAGACTTCCCTTTATTTCCTGCAAAACAGCTTCTGATGAAGACAACAAAAGCTACAGAGGCAGGATGGCTATAGACCATTGTGACTGAAAGTTTCTGTCATGCACAACTTTCCACTCCAGTGTTAGGAGAGCCCATGGAATCCGAGCATTGTCCACCAGCTCAGCACCATGGAAGGCTGTTTCCACAGACCAAGAGGTGTCTAGTTGCCAGTGGAAATCTCACAACACATTCACAAATGTTTACTAAGTGATGTTCCATCGGATTGATGATTGCCCTCAGCAGCCTCAGCTTTGTAAGATGAGTTAACCTTGTGATCATTTGTCTGCTGTGTGTAGGGCAGATCATGGGTTAACGGCTGAAATCACATGATAAAATCTAGAGTGATGATTAAGTCCACTAGAAATGATGTCATAACAGGAAGTGACATCACAAGAACCTGGGTGAAGAAAAATGTTGTTTCAATCTTCAGTCTACCTTTTTCAGGACCCATTGCCGCTGTCATGTGACAGATCATGACGTCACAACCAATTCACACTCCAGCGCGTGTTCTACTGGGAAGATGTGCTTTGTTTTGCTCCTCAAACAAATGTACAAAATATTTAGATTTTGCTAAAATTACAACAGCTGGACAGTAATTCAGTGGAATAATCAAGTATTGGACCGCTCAGAGGTTATGTTCTGATTATATTTCATGGCGGCTTGAGAGTTTATGCTATGATCTCTTTATAACTAAGGATTTGCTGTCATCAGCCCTAGTATAACGAGATGTCAGGACCTACCTGTGCCTACTCCGGCAATAATGTAATAGAGGTAGGGTATTTGCAGGAATTATCAAACAATAGTAACAGGAGTAATCCCAGCCACCTTCCCCAATGATCTACATCTAGTTGGATGCGGGATATCGGGAAAGGAGTGAGACTTCCACCTGTACAGTGGTGGAGGAAACTATTATCCACAACTAATTAAGATCAGCTGACAGGATGATGGCAATGATGTATAAGAAGTAGCTTTTTTCAGAATTATAAACAATGATAACTAATGTTTGATATCTCATATTTCACGTACTTGACTCAACAATTATACAGACAATAATTTTGACAAGAAAGTAAGATTGTTATCCTGTTTGTTGATGTCAGATTCATTATTTGGAGCGCAAGACATTCAGTAGATTACTCGTTTGTCACAGGATTTTCAGTAATGATTCTAGCATGTCACTTTTCAGCAAAAACAAGGAAAGATGCCGGACACAGAGATAACGCAAACAGGTAGAGGAACCATTCAGCAACAACAACAACCGCCAACCGAGTGCGCTTTGAGCCACAAACAAATACCATAACCTATTACACATCATAGTGCTGAATGCATTCAGGTGATAGAGGTTACTGTATACAAACCTGTGAACCCAATCGAGGTGAACCAGTCGTGTTTGTTTGTTTGTTTGTTGTTTAACGCCGCACTCAGCAATATTCCAGCAAATGACGGCGGTCTGTAAATAATTGAGTCTTGACTAGACAATCCACTGATTGACATCATGAGCATCGATCCACGCAATTGGGATATGATGACATGCATCAACCAAGTCAGCGCGCCTGACCACCCGATCCCGTTAGTTGTCTCTTACAACAAACAATGTCACCTTTTACAGCAAGCACTGATCTTCACGGGTCTCACAGGAGTGAAACATTCGGAGCACTTGCAAAGACTTTGACCTTATGGTTGATTGTTGTATGTATTTCGCCTCTTGGAGACTGAACAAAATTCATTCAAGGTCAGAGTTTGCCTGTTTTTGAAAGAATGGTAATCATGTTTTTTAATTTTTTTATTTATATAGCTTGATCGGAAAACAAGCCTGTGGCTTACTTAATTTGCTAATTTGCCTAAGACATGATTGGCTTCCAGTGGAACATTTGAGCACAAACAGTTGGATCTGGAGCAGGTTTGTCGCTTTGGTCAGTAATAATGATGACCCAAACACTTTAAAACCTGGTTCAGCTAAGGGCCACAACTCTGCACAGTGAATTGCTGTACCCAGCTGAATATAATATAATATATAATATAACTAATAAGCTTTCTTTAGTAGCAAAAGCAGTAATTGACTCTTGAGGGTACACAAGATTGTCGGTAGAACATCAGGGGTGAAGCTGTGATGTGCTCGCTGTTTACTTATGGCACAGAGGTCCTTATGTAATACTCAGTCATTGCATGAAACTCGTTCGAATGCTGCTTAATTCAGTAACATGGCTTAATTTATTTTATGACAGGTTTTCTACCGATGTCTGAAATCTGACTTTATCAAAGGGGTGGTATAAAGTAGAATTATTGACTCTTCGGTATCAAGTGTGTAGACATTGCTTTGTATACACTGTAGATGTTGCTTTGTAGACACTGTAGATATTGCTTTGTAAACACTGTAGACATTGCTTTGTAGACACTGTAGACATCACTTTGTGAGACTGTAGATGTTGCTTTGTAGACACTAGATATTGGTTTATAGACACTGTAGACATTGCTTTGTGAGACTGTAGACATTGCTTTGTAGACACTGGAGACATGGCTTTGTAGACACTGTAGACACTGCTTTGTAGACAATGTAGACATTGCTTTGTAGACAATGTAGACATTGCTTTGTAGACACTGTAGACATTGCTTTGTAGACACTGGAGACATTTCTTTGTAGACACTGTAGACATTGCTATGTGACACTGTAGATGTTGCTTTGTAGACACAAAATGTTGCTTTATAGACACTGTAGACATTGCTTTTTAGACACTGTAGACATTGTTTTGTAGACACTGTATACATCACTTTGTAGACACTGTAGAAGTTGCTTTGTAGACACTGTAGACATTGCTTTGTAGACACTGTAGATGTTGCTTTGTAGACACTGTAGACATTGCTTTGTAGACACTGTAGACATTGCTTTTTAGACACTGTAGACATTGTTTTGTAGACACTGTATACATCACTTTGTAGACACTGTAGAAGTTGCTTTGTAGACACTGTAGACATTGCTTTGTAGACACTGTAGATGTTGCTTTGTAGACACTGTAGACATGGCTTTGTAGACACTGTAGACATTGCTATGTGACACTGTAGACATTGCTTTGTAGACACTGTAGACATTGCTTTGTAGACACTGTAGACATCACTTTGTAGACACTGTAGAAGTTGCTTTGTAGACACTGTAGACATTGCTTTGTGAGACTGTAGATATTGCTTTTTTAGACACAAGATATTGCTTTGTAAACACTGGAGACATTGCTTTGTAGACACTGTAGACAATGCTTTGTAGACACTGTAGGCATTGCTTTGTAGACACTGTAGACATTGCTTTGTAGACACTGGAGACATGGCTTTGTAGACACTATAGACATTTCTTTGTAGACACTGTAGACATTGCTATGTGACACTGTAGATGTTGCTTTGTAGACACAAGATGTTGCTTTATAGACACTGTAGACATTGCTTTTTAGACACTGTAGACATTGTTTTGTAGACACTGTATACATCACTTTGTAGACACTGTAGAAGTTGCTTTGTAGACACTGTAGACATTGCTTTGTAGACACTGTAGACATTGCTTTGTAGACACTGTAGACATTGCTTTTTAGACACTGTAGACATTGTTTTGTAGACACTGTATGCATCACTTTGTAGACACTGTAGAAGTTGCTTTGTAGACACTGTAGATGTTGCTTTGTAGACACTGTAGACATTGCTTTGTAGACACTGTAGACATTGCTTTTTAGACACTGTAGACATTGTTTTGTAGACACTGTATACATCACTTTGTAGACACTGTAGAAGTTGCTTTGTAGACACTGTAGACATTGCTTTGTAGACACTGTAGATGTTGCTTTGTAGACACTGTAGACATTGCTTTGTAGACACTGTAGACATTGCTTTGTAGACACTGTAGACATCACTTTGTAGACACTGTAGAAGTTGCTTTGTAGACACTGTAGACATTGCTTTGTGAGACTGTAGATATTGCTTTTTTAGACACAAGATATTGCTTTGTAAACACTGGAGACATTGCTTTGTAGACACTGTAGACAATGCTTTGTAGACACTGTAGACATTGCTTTGTAGACAATGTAGACATTGCTTTGTAGACACTGTAGACATTGCTTTGTAGACACTGTAGACGTTGCTTTGTAGACACTGTAGATGTTGCTTTGTAGACACTGTAGACATTGCTTTGTAGACACTGTAGACATTGCTATGTAAACACTGTAGACATTGCTATGTAGACACTGTAGACATTGCTATGTAGACACTGTAGATGTTGCTATGTAGACACTGTAGACATTGCTTTGTAGACACTGTAGACATCACTTTGTAGACACTGTAGAAGTTGCTTTGTAGACACTGTAGACATTGCTTTGTGAGACTGTAGATATTGCTTTTTTAGACACAAGATATTGCTTTGTAAACACTGGAGACATTGCTTTGTAGACACTGTAGACAATGCTTTGTAGACACTGTAGACATTGCTTTGTAGACAATGTAGACATTGCTTTGTAGACACTGTAGACATTGCTTTGTAGACACTGGAGACATTGCTTTGTAGACACTATAGACATCGCTTTGTAGACACTGTAGACATCGCTTTGTAGACACTGAAGACATCGCTTTGTAGACACTGTAGACATTGCTTTGTAGACACTGTAGACGTTGCTTTGTAGACACTGTAGATGTTGCTTTGTAGACACTGTAGACATTGCTTTGTAGACACTGTAGACATTGCTATGTAGACACTGTAGACATTGCTATGTAGACACTGTAGACATTGCTATGTAGACACTGTAGATGTTGCTATGTAGACACTGTAGATGTTGCTATGTAGACACTGTAGACATTGCTTTGTAGACACTGTAGATGTTGCTATGTAGACACTAGATATTGCTTTGTAGACACTGTAGACATCACTTTGTAGACACTGTAGACATCACTTTGTAGACACTGTAGACATCACTTTGTAGACACTGTAGAAGTTGCTTTGTAGACACTGTAGACATTGCTTTGTAGACACTGTAGACATTGCTTTGTAGACACTCCTTTGTAGACACTGTCGACATTGCTTTGTAGACACTCCCTTGTAGACACTGTCAACATTGCTTTGTAGCCACTGTAGACATTGCTTTGTAGACACTGTAGACATTGCTTTGTAGACACTGTCAACATTGCTTTGTAGCCACTGTAGACAATGCTTTGTAGACACTGTAGACATTGCTTTGTAGACACAAGATGTTGCTTTGTAGACACTGTAGACATTGCTTTGTAGACACTCCTTTGTAGACACTGTCGACATTGCTTTGTAGACACTGTAGACATTGCTTTGTAGACACTGTCAACATTGCTTTGTAGACACTGTAGACATTGCTTTGTAGACACTGTAGATGTTGCTTTGTAGACACTGTAGATGTTCTCAAGAATATGAACTTAAACAATGTTTCTGTTTCAGTGATGCTGCAGAGAAGATTGATGACAAGCAAATCCAGCAACGCCCTGCCTCAAAGAGCTCTGCCACTCGGGTACAATGACTCCACAACTGTTCTGTTTCTCTAGGGAATCTGCTTTGTTTTCTTTTGATGTACTACTTTCCTTCCATCTAAAACATAACTTTCTTCATTGCCTATTGTCAGATTACATATATGACAATAGCATTGGGCAAGTTTTATACATCTGCAATTTGAGAGTAAGCCAGGATGTTTGTCTCATTTACACAATTGTAAGTAATCGTATTGAAGCTAGACACATATATCTTCAACCATGCAATAATGGCTTCAAGTTTTGGACCATTTTTCATTCCAGCAACCTGTTCAGAAGTCACTCAAGAGAATCGCGAAGTTGCAGACCCTTACTCCGTCATCTTCCAGAGCCAGCCCTAGACCTCCCAGCATAAGGTCAAGACCACCCACCACCACTGCCGTCTCGAGACCACCCACCTCCATTGCTGTCTCGAGACCACCCGCCTCCATAGCTGTCTCGAGACCACCCACCACCACGGCTGTCTCGATCCCAACTCACAGCCCACAGAAAGTTCTGTGCACAGAAATGCTGCTCCGATACCGTCCGGAACATGCTGAGAAAGGTGAAGCCATAGGATTCCAGTAGCTCATTGTACAAAGTATTCCATCAGCTCATAGTATGAAGTATTCCAGCAGTTCATTGTACAAAATCTTCCAGCAGCTCATAGTATGAAGTATTCCATCTGCTCATAGTATGAAGTATTCTATCAGCTCATAGTATGAAGTATTCCATTACCTCATAGTATGAAGTATTCCATCAGCTCATAGTATGAAGTATTCCAGCAGCTCATAGTATGAAGTATTCCAGTACCTCATAGTATGAAGTATTCCATCAGCTCATAGTATGAAGTATTCCAGTAGCTCATTGTACAAAGTATTCCATCAGCTCATAGTATGAAGTATTCCAGTACCTCATAGTATGAAGTATTCCAGTAGTTCATTGTACAAAATCTTCCATCAGCTCAAAGTATGAAGTATTCTATCAGCTCATAGTGTGAAGTATTCCAGTACCTCATAGTATGAAGTATTCCATCAGCTCATAGTATGAAGTATTCCATCAGCTCATAGTATGAAGTATTCCATCAGCTCATAGTATGAAGTATTCCAGTACCTCATAGTATGAAGTATTCCAGTACCTCATAGTATGAAGTATTCCAGTAGTTCATTGTACAAAATCTTCCATCAGCTCATAGTATGAAGTATTCTATCAGCTCATAGTATGAAGTATTCCAGTACCTCATAGTATGAAGTATTCCAGTACCTCATAGTATGAAGTATTCCAGCAGCTCATAGTATGAAGTATTCCAGTACCTCATAGTATGAAGTATTCCAGCAGCTCATAGTATGAAGTATTCCAGTACCTCATAGTATGAAGTATTCCAGTAGTTCATTGTACAAAATCTTCCACCAGCTCATAGTATGAAGTATTCTATCAGCTCATAGTATGAAGTATTCCAGCAGCTCATAGTATGAAGTATTCCAGTACCTCATAGTATGAAGTATTCCAGCAGTTCATAGTATGAAGTATTCCAGCAGCTCAAGAAAGTATAAAATCTGCTTGCATCTATTTTTCACTTATGCTGCATTACTCCCTAATGCATTCACTGCTTACCTTACGACAACTAGAAGGACAGCACAACAGCGATGGTCCTGGGTGAAGAAATAAAGTTGTTGTTCTGAAGTCCCTTTTACTGACCACCGCCGCTGTCCTGTGACCTTGATGACACCTAAGGTCACCTTCTTCACATCACTGCTTGTCGCACTACAGCAAGGACGTGTCCCAGCGGAGCTCTCCTTTTGGATTTATTTAGACCTTCAGTTTTCATCTACAATTCTAAATTTGATCTGCGATTGGTGATGTATTCTTTTCATATTACTTTCACCATGCTGTGTAGTTTTATGTGAATTAATTAGGCATAAAAAGACTCTGTCTTTTTCCCTGCCACATATTTGTTGTTCGTCGCCATTTTGAGTTGTGTTACAATTGTTTGCCTGCCAAGGTAGTCAATTCGTTTACAATTCTCAGCTACGTATATATAACATATTCTTGTGTTCTTAAATACTACTGGCTTTGGCGTAACAGTGAGTTGCGTATATATACATTATTGTATACACTTTCAACTCATTAAATATATGTTTGCTGATAAATTAATACCAATTCTATGTCTTTCTTCCAGTCCCACTTCATCAACAATTCTTTAATTGTGTAACTTTGCGTAATGTTTGCGAAGTGTACTAATTATCGTGGAAAAAATCTTACAAAGATTATCATCCACGTTGGTTGGCTTGCACGCAGATGTGCTCGCCAGACTCTTAATGTAAATAGCCTTGGTTTACATTGAGTTGCGTATGTAAAAATATTGTATACACTTTCAACTCGTATTTTTGCCGATAGATTATTGTTCAATCCTATTGCATTCTTCTAGAACCAATTTATCAACAATGGTTTAATTGCATGACTTATGTTTGCGCGTTGTACATATTGTCGTGGAAAAAATCACCCAAAGATCTTTATCCACATTCCTCGGCATGCACGTTGATGTGCTTGCAAATTCTAAATGTAATTTTTGTGTAAATCTCTCTCCAACGAGTTTTACAATATAAGAGCAGGTTACTCACAATCATATTTTGCAGCAATCCCGTCGAGAGACGAGATGAACGTCACAATTGCTGAATAGCGAAGAACATGGTTCAGTCATTACCACCCAACTGTTATCATCAGCGGGTAATATGATGCCCGTACCTGTGACTGCAGAAGTGCACCCTCCACCGAAATCAACAATGCCGGAGGATTTTGTGAGTATCGTAACTGCTCCTAATTTTCATCCAGATCTGCTAAATCTGCAACGCATTATGCCGGCGCCAGCACCAGCGTCTCAAGACGCTTTGATGGGGGTAGCGCAGACGCAGGCCAATGCAGCTTCTGTCTACCAGTCAAGGCCTCAACCAAAGCGCTTACAGTGTACTTGGTTACGCAACCGGCACATGATCAGCTTAGCGATGTTCCAACAACTTTGGTACAAGTTTTAGCGCCTACACCTGCGCCTAACGTATACCAAATGCCTAATGTGCTCTTTGGTACAGCGTACATCGCTGGGCAGCACTTGTATGCCAGCGGGTACGGGCAGGTCATCAAAGCCTTCTGATAGAGGAGGCACTTAGTGCAAGTACCCGATTGGGTAGCAGACCATCTTGTGTCAGTGGCGCCCTCCCCTGGTAACGGGGTAACTTAGAGGGACACCACAAGGTCATTGGAGGAAGACTTCTCCAAACTTACATTTGCTCCGTCATTTAAGCCACCAACATCGGCAATGCTTGCGCTGGATCAGGATCTATCATCAGAGGTTAACCCTATCCGATTAGATCACTTCCAAACTATGGTGTTTTTCCTACAGCGTCAGATTGACCTCAGGAAAATTCATCTTGAGGCCGCCCTGGTGGAGATTACCATCACACGCAGACTTTAGAGTTTTTCCAACTATGACTCTGATTTTAAGGGCAGGCTGCTATGTCAACCTCGGCCATCTACTCCCTTGTTCAATTAACAGATCGCATACATGCACGCCTAGTTCCCAAAATGCTTGGAATGACACTGAGCTCAAGACTCTAGAGCATGTCTCTTTCAGTTTATCCCAGCAGGCTGGCAGAAGCAAGTCTCAAGGATGATTACGTACTCATTGTACTACATCACGGTTTCTGTCTACATGTAGAGGTAACCCTACCGTTGACCACAGTTCGATTTGGAGACATACTGTTGGTGAAAAGTAGCTGTGGAGTTGGATCACAACCCAGTCTTAACACCGGGGTTTCACATCTCACATCTGCCTGGTACCCATGACAAGATGAGAATCATCCACAATCTCTCCATGTTCAACGAACGTTATCTGAAGTGTTCACATTATTGCCGCCTCACCACGTTGAAACCTCTCATAATCAACATCAATACGTTTGATCCTTGATCAGTCTTGACTATCCATCCCAACTGTAGACTCCTCAGGTCCAGTTCAATGGGGTTCACTTCCAATGGGTAGTGTTCCCATTTGGCATTTCAGTGACCCTATGGCTATTTACAGGAGTAATGAAGCCAATAACTGCGTATCTGCACCTGACAAAAACTTGGTTCGAGTCGTAGATAGAAGACTACTGTGTCATCAACACACGCCAACATTAGTACGCTACCAGGAATTCACCAGGCAGACGGCTACTATATCAACTGGGATGGATAATCAACAAGGCGAAGTCAGAGTTATCTCCTTCCTATCGGCTTCAGTTCATAGGAGGCCTGTTCCAGACAGACCAGGATCTCCTATCTGTACCGAGGGACAGATGGTGCAAGCTTCTACGCCTCTTATCATCTGCTCTACACCAACCATGCACGCTTCGCCAAGGGTTGCTAGGGTTACTCCCCTCGGCACAGGACTTAACTAGCATGGGTCGCTCACAACTGCGCCCAATTCAACGTTTCCTGAACCCTTACATCAGGCATCAGGATCCAGTCAAGGCCATCACTCTACCGGCTCAACTATGTCTATTGGTGGACGGTAGAGTTGAATGGAGGAGTCTCTTTATTCGGGTTATCCCCGAATCTACACTTGTTCGTGGATGCCTCCCTTCAGGGGTTGGGTGCTCACTTGCAGGACCAGGCAACCACAGGGCTATGGTCTGGCGCTCAGCGAAAGTGGCACATAAAAAACTTGGAGTTTGAAGCTTTAATTCTGGCCATATCTCATTGTCAGAATCAACTATAGTCAGCCCAGCTCGCAATATCCACAGACAACAGGACTGGTGTGTGGGATCAGGGAACAATGCACTCCCACTCTCTACTTCAACAGACATTCAGATTTTTTCATCTAGTGTATCGGCTGCAACTACAGTTCACAGTTCAGCACATCCCTGGATGTGGAAACATTCTGGCCGATGCTTTATCGCATCCAGACAGGGTGGCCCCCACTGAGTGGAAACTTCACATAGAAGCATTTCAGTTGCTGCTTCAGAAGTTCGGGCAACCAAACATTGACTTGTTTGCTACTTGCCTAGACCACCAACTCATTACGTTTGTCTCCCCATTACCAGATCCCGCAGACTTGGGCGGTGGACACGTTCAGCATCCCTTCTGAAGGGCTAAAAGCGTACGCTTTTCCGCCACAAGTTTTACTTCCCAAGGTGATACAGGGGATCAATGATACAAGGTATCTTGCTCTCACTTTGGTCACGTCCTGGTGGCTGGCGAGAGGGTGGTTTGTCAAGCTCAGAAGGATCTAGTAGAAGACGATCCACTACCCCTCCCACAGTGGTCCAACCTACTCATCCACCCTCACAGCAAATTGCCTCACCCACCCTCAGACAGTTTGCGTCTGCACGCATGGTTTGTCTTTAAAGGCGTTTAAGTGCGAAGGGCTATTTGGCACGGGCAGCAAAGCTATAGCTTCAGTTCATCGTTCCTCTCCCAGAGGACTAAACGATGAGGATCATTTGAGACTTTTTGAGACATGTACTTCAAGGTTTGGGAGGACCCCCTTCGAGCCCCTCTACGCATCCTCATTTTATGACCTCACTGAGGAAACAATCATTTCTCTTGGCATAAGCTATGGCGGCACGGGTGAGCGAACTACATCCGATCGACACCATCCGGGTCCGCTTTGAGCATGGGACACATTGAGGGGTACATCTCGGGTTATGCTGGGATTTTATTGTTATAATCAACTACCAGGCCAACTCGACCGTTCCTTCACCATCCCACCAATATCGACTATTGTGGGAGCTGTAGATGAAGGTGAATTTCTCCTGGGCTTGGTGCGAACAGTTCCAGTTTACATCCGCCACTCCAAGACTAGGCGTTGTTTCAGGATGCGGTTATTTATACCTGTGTATACTACGTCCACGACCACTAAAGTTAGTTGCAATACCATATCCATATGGTTACGCGCAGTCATCCTTCAGGCTTATGAGATCGCAAAACGGAATCCGCCGAGAACGAATTACCCTCATGATTTCAGGGTGTTAGCCTTCACCATGGCTCTACACTGCAATTGATCTATTAGAACAATCACGGAAATATGAGACAGGCAGTGATTTGAAGAAGGTGACTTTAGGTGTCATCAAGGTCACAGGACAGCGGCGGTGGTCAGTAAAAGGGACTTCAGAACAACAACTTTATTTCTTCATCCAGGACCATCGCTGTTGTGCTGTCCTCCTAGTCGTCATAAGGTAAGCAGTGAATGCATTAGGGAGTAATGAAGGATAAGTATACAAATGTAAAAAATATTTAGATTTCACTAACATTCAATGGAAAGATCAATGTAGTTGTGCATTGTAAAGTGATCTGGTGTCCTTATGAAGCTGACTTCAGGTACATCTAGTCGACCTAGTGGTGTTGTGGTACCTTTTGTCATTTCCGCTACGTACTTAATGAAGACCTAACGCACTTAACATTGGAATACACGGTGTGATACATGTCACATTTATTTGCATGTAATCAAAGACATTAATAAATTCATTCATACTCAGTTGTATATACATGGTCAACAATGTGCTATGAAATTTACAATTTTGTCTGCAACACGGGAAATAAATAAATCCTAACATGAACAAACAATACATTGTTTATACTATATACATGTACATCAAGTAACTGTAAGAAACAAGTGTGAGGCCGTGCATGCGCAATGAGCAAGAGAGAGCAATTCAAAATAGTACCACCCCTTGCACAGTCATTTAACACTCTTGCCTCGGGAAGATGGGAAATCATTGTCATTTTAGGCTGAGAAAATCTTTTTAGATTTTCTGTAATTTCCGCTGTTTATCATTCTGCATACAGATTGAATGAGATGCCTTTTCTTGGTGACAGGTGTAGACTATATCCTTCATGTTTCTACAGCGTACTGTAAGAATGACTCATACATCCATGCCTGGCTGCGGGGAGTGGAGGAGGCGACTGTCGGGGAGAGAGAAGGGCAGCACAGCCAAGACAGCGAGTCAAGCATCGAACTGCTCCGGGATACCCAGGTGGAACACACAGGTAGGTATCCCACTGCTCCGGTGGAACACACAGGTAGGTATCCCATTGCTCCGGGATACCCAGGTGGAACACACAGGTAGGTATCCCACTGCTCCGGTGGAACACACAGGTAGGTATCCCATTGCTCCGGGATACCCAGGTGGAACACACAGGTAGGTATCCCACTGCTCCGGTGGAACACACAGGTAGGTATCCCATTGCTCCAGGATACACAGGTGTAACACACAGGTAGGTATCCCATTGCTCCGGTGGAACACACAGGTAGGTATCCCATTGCTCCAGGATACACAGGTGTAACACACAGGTAGGTATCCCATTGCTCCAGGATACCCAGGTGGAACACACAGGTAGGTATCCCATTGCTCCAGGATACACAGGTGTAACACACAGGTAGGTATCCCATTGCTCCGGTGGAACACACAGGTAGGTATCCCATTGCTCCCTGGTGGAACACACAGGTAGGTATCCCATTGCTCCCTGGTGGAACACACAGGTAGGTATCCCATTGCTCCCTGGTGGAACACACAGGTAGGTAACCCATTGCTCCCTGGTTGAACACACAGGTAGGTATCCTATTGCTCCCTGGTGGAACACACAGGTAGGTATCCTATTGCTCTGGCACATAGAGCAATTAATTCTTATGTAGCCAACAGGGCTTGTTGCTTTCAAAAGTAAATGGCCCATCTCCAAACTAACTGGCCTAAAACTAAACGTTGGAGGCCACGGCTGAGGGGCCTCCGACAATGTTAGAACTCCTCACCCCTTTAACGTCTTTTCCTGCATTCTGAGATAAAATCTTGGCTTCTATTTGCCTCAGTTTGTGGCAATTTATGAGCAAATATAGATGTTGTTGTACAGAACATTACAGAATGGGCAGCCAGTTGTGTCATTCTACCAAGATGATCTTTGAGTTAACCATTCACACAACCTCATGCCATCTAAATATTTTCTCATCACAATTACATGATTCACGAGCAGACTAGCCTGACGGGCCATCGACTTTCTGTTTCAGCAAGCCTTTCGTAGTTTTAACTGGCCACAGGCCAACGGGCCAGCAGTTAAATCGACCACTGTGCCCCTATTCAGTGATGTATGTAGACTAGATGTGCCCAGACTGTGGATTTTCGCCTGCCTTTAGAGAAGTACGTAGACAAGATGGTTCCTAGACTGTGGAGGGTCACCTCCTCTTGGAGAAGTACGTTGACTAGATATAGGCCCAGACTGTGGAGGGTCACCTCCTCTTGGAGAAGTACGTTGACTAGATATAGGCCCAGACTGTGGAGGGTCACCTCCTCTTGGAGAAGTACGTTGACTAGATATAGGCCCAGACTGTGGAGGGTCACCTCCTCTTGGAGAAGTACGTTGACTAGATATAGGCCCAGACTGTGGAGGGTCACCTCCTCTTGGGGAAGTATGTTGACTAGATATAGGCCCAGACTGTGGAGGGTCACCTCTTCTTGGAGAAAAACAATGACTAGATATAGGCCCAGACTGTGGAGGGTCACCTCCTCTTGGAGAAATATGTTGACTAGATATAGGCCCAGACTGTGGAGGGTCACCTCCTCTTGGAGAAATACGTTGACTAGATATAGGCCCAGACTGTGGAGGGTCACCTCCTCTTTGAGAAGTAAGTGACTAGATATAGGCCCAGACTGTGGAGGGTCACCTCCTCTTGGAGAAATATGTTGACTAGATATAGGCCCAGGCTGTGGAGGGTCACCTCCTCTTGGAGAAATACGTTGACTAGATATAGGCCCAGACTGTGGAGGGTCACCTCCTCTTTGAGAAGTACGTTGACTAGATATAGGCCCAGACTGTGGAGGGTCACCTCCTCTTGGAGAAGTACGTTGACTAGATGTAGGCCCAGACTGTGGAGGGTCACCTCTTGGAGAAGTACGTTGACTAGATATAGGCCCAGACTGTGGAGCGACATCCCCCTTTTCCTGGATCAGGTGTTCAGTGTGATTGGGCTGTTTCAAGAGGTATGCCTTTGACTATTTGACTTGAGTTCTAAGTGTATCCTCCAGGTGTGTACTGGGACATGTGTTGCAGGTCTGGCCAGGAGGAACTCTGCAGCCAGTCTGTTGAAGGAGATGATGAATGCCTTTAAATCCTCCTCCATGGAGAAAAGCTCTGAGCTGTCAGTTGTCAAGGAGCTGCCATCACTTTCCAAACATCCATCAGCAGCTGAGAAGACAAAAGCAGGTAACAGTCCTACGATATTAGATGCAGCCTCTCCCTTACAGGTCGCCGTGCTGTTTCAGGGAAGGTTATTGATTCTCAGTGACTTACACTGGAAGTGCTGAGCATGTTCCTGCTATTGCAAGGCTGGTTCTCTGTACCCATGAAGTAGTCACAGCTATAACACAGAGTTAAGGTTTCTAAACACAACAAGTCTTTATAGCAGAAATACTGACATGCCACAGGCTGACAGTACACATCTTTGTGGATAGAAGATCAGCAGAAGTCATTTTCAATTGTTTGTCATTTATCTTATCAATTATTAACTTCTTTGCATGAAATATATAAGCTGTTAAGGACTTCAATACATTGCTATTTACCACTCAGGTGTTGATATTTGTGGTACAATGTTTAGTGGCCGGCAAGGTCTCAAAAGACAAAAGGCAGACGCTAAAGAAGTCGAGGATACCAACTCCTGTCAGAAGACTGAGCCACTGCAGTTCTCGATCTGTGGAAGAATCTGGTATGAATAATCTTACACCATGGTGAACATAGTAGGCATTGTGATCCCCAGGAACATAGTAGGCATTGTGATCCCCAAGAACATAGTAGGCACTGTGATCCCCAGGAATATAGTAGGAACTGTGATTCCCAGGAACAAAGTAGGCATTGTGATCCCCAGGAACAAAGTAGGCATTGTGATCCCCAAGAACATAGTAGGCACTGTGATCCCCAGGAATATAGTAGGCACTGTGATTCCCAGGAACATAGTAGGCATTGTGATCCCCAGGGACATAAGGGGCATTGTGATCCCCAGGAATGTAGAAGGCATTGTGATCCCCAGGAATGTAGAAGGCATTGTGATCCCCAGGAACGTAGGAGGCATTGTGATCCCCAGGAACGTAGGGGGCATTGTGATCCCTAGGAACGTAGGAGGTATTGTGATCCCCAGGAACGTAGGAGGCATTGTGTTCCCCAGGAACGTAGGAGGCACTGTGATCCTCAGGAATTGCGGGTTGGTGTCAACCTTACACGTATGCCCCCATTCACAAAGCAATCTTAGCGCTAAGATGATCAGAACTCCCATACTTTAACATAGACTTATGACAGTCATAGCTCTACAATGGCTTTGTGGAATGGGGCCCAGGATTATTGTTGTCATTGTGTCAATTTTACATCAGGAATCAAGCAGGCATTGTGGGTAGCTGTCAGCCTTACACCAGGAATAAAGCAGGCATCGTGGGTAGCTGTCAGTCTTACAGCAGGAATACAGTGTACATTGTGGGTAGCTGTCAGTCTTACACCAGGATTAAAGTGGACATTATTGGTAGCTGCCAATCTTACACCAGGATTAAAGTGGACATTGTGGGTAGCTGTCAGTCTTACACCAGGATTAAAGTGGACATTGTGGGTAGCTGTCAGTCTTACACCAGGATTAAAGTGAACATTGTGGGTAGCTGTCAGTCTTACACCAGGATTAAAGTGGACATTGTGGGTAGCTGTCAGTCTTACACCAGGATTAAAGTGGACATTGTGGGTAGCTGTCAGTCTTACACCAGGATTAAAGTGGACATTGTGGGTAGCTGTCAGTCTTACACCAGGATTAAAGTGGACATTGTGGGTAGCTGTCAGTCTTACACCAGGATTAAAGTGGACATTGTGGGTAGCTGTCAGTCTTACACCAGGATTAAAGTGGACATTGTGGGTAGCTGCCAATCTTACACCAGGATTAAAGTGGACATTGTGGGTAGCTGTCAGTCTTACACCAGGATTAAAGTGGACATTGTGGGTAGCTGCCAATCTTACACCAGGATTAGAGTGGACATTGTGGGTAGCTGTCAGTCTTACACCAGGAATACAGTGTACATTGTGGGTAGCTGTCAGTCTTACACCAGGAATACAGTGTACATTGTGGGTAGCTGTCAGTCTTACAGCAGGAATACAGTGTACATTGTGGGTAGCTGTCAGTCTTACACCAGGAATACAGTGTACATTGTGGGTAGCTGTCAGTCTTACATCAGGAATACAGTGTACATTGTGGGTAGCTGTCAATCTTACACCAGGAATAAAGCAGGCATTGTGGGTAGCTGTCAATCTTACACCAGGAATACAGTGTACATTGTGGGTAGCTGTCAGTCTTACACCAGGAATACAGTGTACATTGTGGGTAGCTGTCAATCTTACAGCAGGAATACAGTGTACATTGTGGGTAGCTGTCAGTCTTACACCAGGAATACAGTGTACATTGTGGGTAGCTGTCAGTCTTACAGCAGGAATACAGTGTACATTGTGGGTAGCTGTCAATCTTACACCAGGAATAAAGCAGGCATTGTGGGTAGCTGTCAATCTTACACCAGGAATACAGTGTACATTGTGGGTAGCTGTCAGTCTTACACCAGGAATACAGTGTACATTGTGGGTAGCTGTCAATCTTACACCAGGAATACAGTGTACATTGTGGGTAGCTGTCAGTCTTACACCAGGAATACAGTGTACATTGTGGGTAGCTGTCAATCTTACACCAGGAATACAGTGTACATTGTGGGTAGCTGTCAATCTTACACCAGGAATAAAGCAGGCATTGTGGGTAGCTGTCAATCTAACACCAGGAATACAGTGTACATTGTGGGTAGCTGTCAATCTTACACCAGGAATAAAGCAGGCATTGTGGGTAGCTGTCAGTCTTACACCAGGAATACAGTGTACATTGTGGGTAGCTGTCAATCTTACACCAGGAATAAAGCAGGCATTGTGGGTAGCTGTCAATCTTACACCAGGAATACAGTGTACATTGTGGGTAGCTGTCAGTCTTACACCAGGAATACAGTGTACATTGTGGGTAGCTGTCAATCTTACACCAGGAATACAGTGTACATTGTGGGTAGCTGTCAGTCTTACACCAGGAATACAGTGTACATTGTGGGTAGCTGTCAGTCTTACAGCAGGAATACAGTGTACATTGTGGGTAGCTGTCAATCTTACACCAGGAATAAAGCAGGCATTGTGGGTAGCTGTCAGTCTTACAGCAGGAATACAGTGTACATTGTGGGTAGCTGTCAATCTTACACCAGGAATAAAGCAGGCATTGTGGGTAGCTGTCAGTCTTACAGCAGGAATACAGTGTCCATTGTGGGTAGCTGTCAATCTTACACCAGGAATACAGTGTACATTGTGGGTAGCTGTCAATCTTACACCAGGAATAAAGCAGGCATTGTGGGTAGCTGTCAATCTTACACCAGGAATACAGTGTACATTGTGGGTAGCTGTCAATCTTACACCAGGAATAAAGCAGGCATTGTGGGTAGCTGTCAGTCTTACAGCAGGAATACAGTGTACATTGTGGGTAGCTGTCAGTCTTACACCAGGAATACAGTGTACATTGTGGGTAGCTGTCAATCTTACACCAGGAATAAAGCAGGCATTGTGGGTAGCTGTCAGTCTTACACCAGGAATACAGTGTACATTGTGGGTAGCTGTCAATCTTACACCAGGAATAAAGCAGGCATTGTGGGTAGCTGTCAGTCTTACAGCAGGATTAAAGTGGACATTGTGGGTAGTACATCTGAAGTACATCTGAAGGTGGTGTTGAGAATCTAGGATAGTATCAGATAACAGTACTTCATGCTTTACTGTCGCCAGGGAGGAGCTCCTATCAAGACATGCTGTTTATTATGATGGAGGGTGTGGTTGATCACGGTGGTCAAAAGTATTTGCTTTTTAACAGTGTTTCAGCCTGCTTATTCTACTCCTACTGTGACAAGAACCGGGGAGAGACTTTTTTCAGCTAAAACCGATGAAGAGAGTAGTCACACCTACACCTACAGATGGACCATGGGATCCCCTACAACACAAGGTATCGATAGTTAATTTTTGTATATTATCCTGCATTAGTACCTTTATGCTCTACTGCTAGTGTTCTGACCTTGGAGATGGAGCTGTGAGAGGTCTGGCTACAGAAGTTGTGCGGCTTCCCTCCTCCCAAAGCAACCACGTGACTGTAAGAGGCGTGGTCATGCACAATCACATCACTGCCAGTCATTGACCTATACAGATATCTGAGAACTAAGCTCCCCAGTTTGAAGAAGCAGATAGCCTTTCCTTTTCTCTATCCTCTGATAATCAATATGTTCTCAATTATGTAGGTTTTTTGTTGTTGCCTGTTCAAACTAGTATGTAACCAAATAAACAGTTGTGTACCATCAACCTGAGAAAGGGCCTCCCTACATAAACAAGCATACAAACTCCTATTGCCGCTTATGCAACATATGCACAAACCTTTATTGCCTACAACTACGACTACCTCTCATGCGTCGTTGGCTCCTTTAGAGGAAGTCACTGCACCTTGTTGGTCTTTTGCTCCTTTAGAGGAAGCCACTGCACCTCGTCCGTCTTTGGCTCCTTTAGGGGAAGTAACTGCACCTCGTAGGTCTTTGGCTCCTTTAGAGGAAGCCACTGCACGTCGTCCGTCTTTGGCTCCTTTAGAGGAAGTCACTGCACCTCGTCGTTCTTTGGCTCCTTTAGAGGAAGTCACTGCACCTCGTCGTTCTTTGGCTCCTTTAGAGGAAGTCACTGCACCTCGTCGTTCTTTGGCTCCTTTAGGGGAAGCCACTGCACGTCGTCCGTCTTTGGCTCCTTTAGAGGAAGCCACTGCACGTCGTCCGTCTTTGGCTCCTTTAGAGGAAGCCTCTGCATCTCGTCCGTCTTTGGCTCCTTTAGAGGAAGCCACTGCACCTCATCCATCTTTGGCTCCTTTAGAGGAAGCCTCTGCACCTCGTCCGTCTTTGGCTCCTTTAGAGGAAGCGACTGAACCTCGTCCGTCTTTGGCTCCCTTAGAGGAAGCCACTGGGCCTCATTGGTCTCACACATGTGGCTCTACCTCTCCCGGGTCTTCCCGTCATACTTCAAATTTCTCTCACTCCAGACGTAGGTTGCGCAGTTGTTACCCGCTTCGTCAGCAATATGGCCATCATTCGGATTCTTTGACTAGCTCAGTCGGCATGTCCTTCGAATTGACCATGTTGGAGTAAGATAGGCACTTAGTTTTGGTTTGGATTGCGTTCCCTTTCCGGGTGCGAATGTTGATCAAAGGGAAACAATTTGGTCTATTCCACCAGACCCTAAACTCACAGATTTAATTTTGGCATTGGATGATGATTTCTCCAAACCGTCCCTCACTCTGGCCTTTAAAGCACCTCATTATAGGATGTTATGTTTTCATGTTTAAAGTCACAGAATATGCTCATACTCTGGACAATTCATTTACATAGCATGACAGGCTCTTCAAGGCCGACAAGTCTTCGTATGCCTGATACCCGGCTTGCTTTTGTTGAAACGGAAATTCGGCGGTCCCTTAAACCCTCACCCGTTTTGGCCTCATCTGCCAGACCCATTGATCAGGATCTTACCAAGGACAATCCTAATCGAGTCAATCATGTACTGACTATGATGTCATTTCAGCAATGTCAAATCGACCACTGACACAATCATCTCCAGGTGGCCTTGGCGGAGTTTAATACCACCAGTCACTTAGGTTATCTTGCTCTTACGGACTGGGATTCCAAGTTTAAAAGACAAGTCCTATGTCAGGAGTCACCCTTGTAGTGCATCCTTAGTTATTCAGTGGTGCTATCTCTGAAACCCATGCACTTGTCTCCAGTTTTGCCAGGGATGAAATGGCACTTAAAACTTTTGAGCACATCTACAATCAGTCTAAACTTAAACCAGCTAAAACAGGCTTTTTCTTTTTCCTTTTGTGGGACTGGTCAAGGTCAAGAACATTCCAAGCCACAAGGCAATCAACCCCCCTGTGGCCAACACAAGTCCAGGGGTGGTGACAACAGAGGCAGGCGCTGATGCCTTGGCGCCCGATGCCTGGGATCTCCCTACCCCAGCCGTCTCAGTCATAGACACACCAAGTAGGTGGGAGATTGGACAGGTTTGGGGCCAATTGGACAATTCTTCAAGATCCATTTGTCACCAACATCCTCCGTCAGGGGTACCGTTTCTCGCTCATAGGAGACCCACCATTAATTTCTTACCACACAGCGGAGACCATTCAACTTGTGGTGCTGGTGATACAGTGGTGCATCCAGGATTATATTCTTCAGTATTCCTTGTGCCCAAGAAGGACTCAACCAAATTTTGGATGATACACAATCGCACCGTCTTCAACAAGTTCCTCAGGTTCTTCTTCCAAGATATCCACTACCAGTGGGTGGTTCTCCCATCTGGCTTGTCCATAGTCCCGGGGTTAAGTACCCGGATTACCAAGCCAATTACCACATACCCAAACCTGAGGACCGTTCCGTTCGAGTCTTACATCGATGACTGCCTACCGAACCATCAGGACATGGAAACCCTTCTACTTCACGCATCGTCTACAACTGGGATGGATTGTCAACGAGCTCAAGTCAGAACTCACCCCGTCATTCAAGCTCCAGTTCATAGGCAGCGTGTTTCATAAAACTACAGCACCATCTTCCTGCCCTTCATTAAGCTCGCTCCATGCATCAATGGCAGGTGTTAATGTGTCTTCTTATGTCAGCTCAGGATCTGACAGCCAGAGGCCGACTACAACTACGTCAGATACAGCAATTTCTGTCCCTGTTTATTCTTCGTCAGAACCCGCGGACTTCCATAGCACTCCCATCTCACCTTCGCCTGTATCTCTTCTGGTGGACAGTGAGATCGAATGTCTGCGACGGCGTGCCCCTTGAGACCGCTCAAGTCTTCTCTCCACCTGTTCGTCTCTGGGCTGTGGTCAAACAATCAACTCCAATGGCACATAAACAAACTAGAACCAGAAGCACTCATCCTGGCCGTGTCTCACTGGCAGTGCCAGCCGTATCCACAGACACCACCACAGTGCTTTTGAACCTCTCCAATCAGCGTCTTTCTTCAATCTAACCAAAAAGATGTTTTTTCTCTTAGCGTTAGCTACAGCGGCTTGATTCAGTGAATTACATGCCCTTGACTACTCCTGAGTATGGTTCAAGTGTAGAGCGCAGGTGCTGTCCATCTGGGGCTGTGCAAGGATATCATCGGTAAAAATCTACTACCAGCCGGACAGATCCGTCGAGGATGAACTTCTTTTGTAACAAATTTGAGCCTTGAGGCTTTTCCTCCGTCGATCCAAGACACAATGTCGATCTGGAAAATGACTATTTATTCCCGTCTCGCCTACATCCAAGATGGAAGTTAGTCGTAACACTATCTCACTATGGCTGCGTTTCATTATACTGCCTTCATATAAATCAGCGGGATGAATCCGCCTAGAACCAACAACCCCCATGAGATTCGAGCAGTCGCTTCGACCATGGCTCTCCACTGCAACTGCTCCATTCAATCTATCATGGAGGGTTGTTTTGGGCACTCGGATACTGTCTTTGCCAGTCATTATCTCCGAGACGTGGCTCTTGAAGATGTGCAAGGTGTTCATAGTAGTGGTGGTAGCGAAACAGTCCACTCACTGACCACAGATGATTTTGATTCTGACACCTTAGAAGTGACCATGCGACCTCCCTGATAATAATGACCCCAGACAAGGACGTTTTGGTTTCCGCTTATGCCAGCTGACGCCCCTTTTAATTTTCCTGTTTTTCCATGACTGGATTTCACACCTCCTACTTTTCTTTGTTGTGTGGCTCTATTTGACAGGAAGGCCTGTGATTTCTGCTTTTCCTTCTCAGGCTGATATCTGGTAACCCAGGCTGGTTGGAGGGTTTGTCCTAATGTCCATCTGAAAGGAATGCCCCCCTTAGTTCCATCTGGGTAACCCAGGCTGGTTGGAGGGTTTGTCCTAGCTAATGTCCATCTGCAAGGAATGCCCCCCTTAGTTCCATCTGATAAAGATGCATCAAGGTAGTAATGCAGGATAGGATAAAAAGATTGGTAAAATCTAAATATATTTTTACATTGGGGTACTTATCCTGCAATACTACGTCTAAAGTGACCTCTCATTGCGAAGTTCTTTCAGAGGGTCCATCACTAGCAGTGATGTGATTGTGTGTGACCCTGCCACATCTGGTCTTGTGGTCGCTGTGGGGAGAAGGAAGCCACACCACTAGTGGGTACAACAACTTCTGTAGCCTCTCACAGCTCCCTTCACCTAGGTCAGAAAAATAGCAGGAGAAGCATTAATTTAGTAATGCAGGATAAATATCCATATGTAAAAAATATTTAGATTTTAGTAACACCTGACCCAGGCAGTAGACACACCAACACAAGGTATCGCTAGAACAGATAGAACGGGGGTGACAGTGACGTTGGTTGTGTGCTGGATCCTGTTGACATATAGAATCTCACCCTCGTGTCTTGTGATATTAAATATATCAACACAGTTGATAAAAGTAAAAAAAAAAATCATGAGGGTGAGATTCTATTTATCATCCAACATCAGTCTCCAGACCCATGAAGATTCCGGGGTAGAAGAGGTCTTCAGCAACCCCTGCTTGCCGTAAAAGGTGACTATGCTTGTCGTAAAAGGTGGCTAACAGAATCGGGTGGTGCATGTCATCGATCCCAATTGTGTGGATCGATGCTCATGATATTAATCACTGGATTGTCTGGTCCAGACTCGATTATTTACAGACCGCCGTCATATAGCTGGAATATTGCTGAGTGCGATGTTAAACAACAATCCAATCCAATCCAATCCAGTCCAACTTTTTCAGTTTGTAGACAGTAATAAGCAGTGTCTTAAGTGTTTAAAGTATTGCTAACAGCTTCAGTAGCAGAGCCATTAGTGACGTCATTTGATTGTGACATCATGGTAACCAATGATGTCACAATGGTCTGCAAAGCATTGTGATGTATTTTAATTGCAATGATATCTACAATGTAGATATCGCTTGATCTCACCCATGCGATATCTGCTGTGGGAGCCAGTTTTGGATGATGAAAGTGCTTTGAACCTCCACAGATGACACCGTGGCACCGGACACACACAGCAGAAGCAGGTCCCCCCCTGGATGTGTCGGCAGGCTGACTCGCAAGAGACTCAACTCTACAACCAAACCATGTGCCAAGTCCCTGGGAAAAGTAGACTTCTCTCAGAATCTGTCTCCTATACTCACAGGTTTGTCTTCCTTCATTAATTGACTGTTGCATTCACCTCTAGGATGGTCGGTAATGTTGAGGCATTTGACATTATAAATGAGAACTGGAATACTGTTCAAAGCGGTGTTGACCCATCTCGCTCACTCTCATAAAGATGTTGAACAATATCAACTTCACAGACTGCTTATTTCATGATTAACGCACACAAAACTGTAGACCACCGACCAAATCAGGGACATTGTTCAGTGCAATAATCATAACACAAGCCAGTCAGGAATCAGTAGTTTGTTTGTAGGCATGACCTAATTTTCTTTTTGTTTTATTGAACCATAACCCCCAAAAATACTGCTTGCTTAGCCTTCCATAGAATCACTTGCAGTTTATGTATTCACATACGTTCCTCCAAAGTCAAGATGTACTCAACCCTGTTCCATGCATTTCCACATATTTCCACAATGTACTGATTGTGATTATATAAAATTTAGTGTTGATTCTATCTTTATCCTGTGTACACTAAGAATAATAAAGAGTTCTGATTAAGATCTATAAATGGTTATGGAAATAATGACAGATTCAGTTTTAAGAACATAACTACAATTCAATTAACAGTGTAAATATTTAGGTTATTATGTAAAAAATGTTTTTATTTGAAGTTTGTATGAAAAGGTTTTGTTATTTTACATCATTCATTAAATTGCATTTGGGTCTGAAGCTTGAGAAGTACCGTATTTTCTTGAGTATAGTGAGCACCCCTCTCTAGTGAACTCAGTATTTTGGCCCAAAAACATTTGAAATATTTTGCGCAGAAAAAAACCTACACGTTACCCCTTCAGCTAATTCCGGTAAACAAACGGGTGATAAGAAACTTGGTCAGAACAAATTTTGAAATTTGAGATAAAAAAATCACCAGACATGTTGATTAACCGTTTAAATTGTATTTTTTGCAGGGATTAAGATCACCTCTTGTATTTTCTCGTAAACTAAGCCGGAGACCGCAATCAGCAGTACATGATGTTTTCTTGGAATCTACCGGTGTTTCGGTTAAAACTTGCCCAATGATATAACTTTAAAGGATGTTGATGCAAGGATCAAGAAAAATTGTATCTGAAACAATTTTTTTTATCAGGAATAATATATTCCAATATCATGTTATTTTAGTTGCAGCTTTTACTAAATATATTGAGAATAATAATAACCCTAAGTGAAGCACTTTGGTGCAGCTGATCGCTATTGCTGGTTAATTTTTTTCACATGGAACAATTTGACCAGTCACCATAGAGGCTCCTGCACACATGATTGTGAGAACTACATGTTGACATAGAATCATCAAACTACAACAAATATAACTTATAACGAGTCAAAGTATGGTGTTTATGATATATGTATCCATTCTCTGTCAACTATAGTTAGTTTCAAGGCCTTAATAGCGGTAATTCCGACTATGGTTGCTGTTAATAACACAGTGAGTTGTGTGATCTTCCGATCGCTTCACACACGATTTCGCCAAAATTAGGGGCGGTCGGGTAGCCAAGTGGTTAAAGCGGCGTAAAACCAAACTCACTCACTCACCGAAATTAATTAAAACAATATAAGAAGGAATTTTGAATAAAGTTAATGAAACATGTTACAAAGTCCAGATATACAATGGACACTTTTTATAACCAGACAGTGTAATTACAAGATTACATTGTGTACACCAGTATGGATTTGTTGACATGGTATTTCCGGTGTTACGTGCTCATGGCAATGTCTTTGCTTTGGGGAAGAAAACATCAAAATGATTATAGTGTGTATAATGCGCACCCCTGTTTTTACACAGCTGTGTTTTTGAGGGGAAAAGTGTGCACTATACTCAAGAAAATACTGTACTCACTCACTCACTCACTCACTCACTCCACAGATGGGAGGAACACAAGCGTCACAACTACTAAAACAGTGACAGGCTCCCTGTCCAAGTTCATCGGACGACTCAACCATAAAAGACTAAATTCAACAACAAAAACCTGTGCAAAGTCCCTCGGCAAGATAGACTTCTCCCAGGCTCTGTCTCCAATAATCAAAGGTTCATCTCTTCGTTATAAATCCCTTCTGTAATTATATGGTGCCACTACACGGTGCCACTACACTGTGCCACTACACGGTGCCACTAGACTGTGCCACTACACTGTGCCACTACACTGTGCCACTACACCGTGCCACCACACTGGGCCACTACACTGGGCCACTACACCGTGCCACTACATGGTGCCACTACACTGGGCCACTACACTGTGCCACTACACTGTGCCACTACACGGTGCCACTTCACTGTGCCACTACACCGTGTCACTACACCGTGCCACTACACCGTGCCACTACACGGTGCCACTACACGGTGCCACTACACCGTGCCACTACACCGTGCCACTACACCGTGCCACTACACTGTGCCACTACACGGTGCCACTTCACGGTGCCACTACACCGTGCCGCTACACTGTGCCGCTACACTGTGCCGCTACACTGTGCCACTACACTGTGCCACTACACGGTGCCACTACACTGTGCCAATACACCGTGCCACTACACGGTGCCACTACACTGTGCCACTACACGGTGCCACTTCACCGTGCCACTACACCGTGCCACTACACTGTGCGACTACACGGTGCCACTACACTGTGCCACTACACCGTGCCACGCCACTACACTGTGCCACTTCACGGTGCCACTACACTGTGCCACTACACGTTGCCACTACACGGTGCCACTACACTGTGCCACTACACTGTGCCACTACAAGGTGCCACTACACGGTGCCACTTCACTGTGCCACTACACGGTGCCACTACACTGTGCCACTACACTGTGCCACTACACTGTGCCACTACACTGTGCCACTACACGGTGCCACTACACGGTGCCACTACATGGTGCCACTACACCGTGCCACTACACTGTGCCACTACATGGTGCCACTACACTGTGCCACTACACTGGGCCACTACACTGGGCCACTACACTGTGCCACTACACTGTGCCACTACACTGTGCCACTACATGGTGCCACTACACGGTGCCACTACACTGTGCCACTACACTGTGCCACTACACCGTGCCACTACACTGGGCCACTACACTGGGCCACTACACCGTGCCACTACATGGTGCCACTACACTGGGCCACTACACTGGGCCACTACACTGGGCCACTACACTGGGCCACTACACGGTGCCACTACACGGTGCCACTACACTGGGCCACTACACTGGGCCACTACATGGTGCCACTACACTGGGCCACTACATGGTGCCACTACACTGGGCCACTACACTGGGCCACTACACTGGGCCACTACACGGTGCCACTACATGGTGCCACTACACTGTGCCACTACATGGTGCCACTTACAAGCAGGATAGAAGGATACTTATGATTAAGAAAGGTTTGATCATATACCTCATATAGGAAGATACTTATGATTAAGAAAGGTTTGATCATATGCCTCATATAGAAGGATAATTATGTTTAAGAAAGGTTTGATCATATACCTCATATAGAAGGATACTTATGATTAAAGAAGGTTTGATCATATACCTCATGTAGAAGTATACTTATGATTAAGAAAGGTTTGATCATATACCTCATATAGAAGGATACTTATGATTAAAGAAGGTTTGATCATATACCTCATATAGAAGTATACTTATGATTAAGAAAGGTTTGATCATATACCTCATAAAGAAGGATACTTATGATTAAAGAAGGTTTGATCATATGCCTCATATAGAAGGGTACTTATTAAGAAAAGTTTGATCATATACCTCATATAGAAGGATACTAATGATTAAGAAAGGTTTGATCATATACCTTGTACAGAAGTATACTTATGATTAAAGGGAGGTTTGATCATATACATCATATAAATTCAAAAGAAATTTTTCTGGGATTATTTTTAGCGACAATGTGAACAGCCTGCTGCAGTTCCTGCTTTAGTCAGTGTACAAACATGTTTCCACTTTCATGTATCCAGGCTTCTCGTGTTTCCACGTTCCCATGTTCCCATGTTTCAGTGTTTCCATGTTTCCGTGTTCCTAAGTTTCATGTTTGTATGTTTGTTTATTTGTATGTTTCCGTGTTCCCAATGTTTTCATGTTCCTTGTTCCCATGTTTTTGTGTTTCCATGTTCTTGGGTTCCTGTGTTTCCATGTTTCCATGTTTTCCATGTTCCCATGTTTCCATGTTCTTGGGTTCCTGTGTTTCCATGTTTCCATGTTTCCATGTTTCAATGTTCCCATGTTTTTGTGTTTCCATGTTTTCCATGTTCTTGGGTTCCTGTGTTTCCATGTTTCCATGTTCCCATGTTTCCATGTTCTTGGGTTCCTGTGTTTCCATGTTTCCATGTTTCCATGTTCCCATGTTTCCATGTTCTTGGGTTCCTGTGTTTCCATGTTTCCATGTTTCCATGTTCCCATGTTTCCATGTTCTTGGGTTCCTGTGTTTCCATGTTTCCATGTTTTTGTGTTTCCATGTTTTCCATGTTCTTGGGTTCCTGTGTTTCCATGTTTCCATGTTCCCATGTTTCCATGTTCTTGGGTTCCTGTGTTTCCATGTTTCCATGTTTCCATGTTCCCATGTTTCCATGTTCTTGGGTTCCTGTGTTTCCATGTTTCTGTGTTTCCAAGTTCCCATGTTTCCATGTTCCCATGTTTTTGTGTTTCCCCAGCAGAGGCAGCTGAGAGGAGAAGGTCTGCAGAGGCAACCCCTGTGAAGCTTTGGAAACGTAATTCTCCAAACAAGGAAAAGTAGGTACCAAGATTCTATGGAAATAGTAGAAACTACAGTGACAGTTATCTGTCGACCCCCAAAATCAAATAAATATGTTAATAGTTACTCTTGTTTCAAGATATTTGCAGAGACCAAGCTTTCCAATTTGTAAACTTATACCAGCTCACACTATGCATTTCTTCCTTCTTCTGTGGGGCACGGGTGTCCCAGTCATATAAGGCACCGCGATTCGCTGGGCAGAGTTGCGTCCCTTGGGCACGCTAGAAACCTATGATTGTGGGTTCGAATCCCGGTTTGCAACGATTATGTTTCTAGGTTTGTCAGCACCATACCCATGCTCGTGGGTTTGACCGAAGTGGTAAACGTCTGAGATCACTTTGGACTTTCCTCCTACATTAAACTGACATGCTGTGATATAACTGGAATAATGTTAAAAGCGGCGTTAAAAACCCAACTCACTACCTGGTACCTGTTTGACAACAGGAATTGGGAAGTCGCACAGCATTTAGCTTCAGAAACAGCACCAAGAGGACCAGTAAAAAAAGGAGCACCCTTGACCACCATTCATCCCTTCACAGTGGGACCTCTGTGAGGTTGTTGGATCTAAAAAACAGTTCTTTTCATGGCTGAGGTCATGGTCATCAAGGACAACGTGGTTACTACTCCTCCAACTGGCGTTCTGTCTCCTTCCTGAAACCCTACTTCGAGGGTGACAATTGCTGGGTTTCAATCTCCCGACCAATCTCACTGCGTCAGCATCTTCAGTGGAGGCTGGAGATGTCGAAAATTTGCGCCGGAGTCTCTTTGCGGCTATATACCCCAACCCAACACCTCAACCCTTGGAAGCTCACTTCCACGATCTATACTGAACCAAATTAAAAACTTCACAATCTTTAAATTTTAACATTTTGACCAGTTATCATTGTGGGCCTTTATTGTGTATTTAAACAGTAATGGCCACGAATTGTCTTCAGATAACACCCGTTTTTGTGCAGGTGAATTGATCAAAATCATGTGCACAGCACTATAGTGGCAAAAGTGGTTTTACACGTGCAACTGGTCACGTGGCCATAATACCGCACGTGTTTTCAGCCATACTTGTTAGCAGTCATTAGCAAAAAAAGAAAAACACAAGAAACAAATGTCTTTACGGCCATTTGTCATGCCACGCCTTTCAAATGTGCAACGTGAACGTACCATCGGCATGTAGCAGACGGGAACGTCCGTAGCTGAAGTCGCAAGGACGATGGGTTGTAGTCGACGGACTGTTTATGATTTACAGACGCGTCTACAGCAAACGGGTACCACCGCTGATCACCCTCGGCCAGGTCGACCACGTGTGATGTCACATGCAGAGGATCGTCAGATTGTCTTACGTCACCTCCGTAACCGATTTTTGACGGCTTCATCAACCAGAAATGAACTGTTTAGGGGTTGACTGAGTGCGCAAACTGTTCGAAACCGTCTGAGAACTGCTCACCTTCAAGCACGACGCCAATACTGCGGGCCGATTCTGACTCAATTATACAGACGTCAACGTCAATTGTGGGCACAGCAACCCTTACGATGGACGCAGAGGAATTGGAAATAAGTCGTCTTCAGTGATGAATCCTGATTTAATCTTCGATTTGCTGATGGTAGGGCGAGGGTGTGGAGGCGCCGTCATGAACGTTATGCCCAGTGTTGTGTACAGGAAGTTGACAGATTTCGAGGCGGAAGTGTCATGGTGTGGGGTGCTTTCTGTGGCAATGCACGTTCCAGGCTTCTTGTCGTCCGTGGCAACCTCAACGCTGCTGCTTAACGCAACCAGGTACTGGCACCAGAACTTCTGCCTTTTATGGCAGCACATGGACCCGGTTTGATCTTCCAACACGACAATGCCAGACCCCACACAACAATTTTGACAAGGAATTTCCTTCAGAATGCGGGAGCCAACATCATGGACAGGCCGTCAAGGTCTCCCGACTTCAATCCCATCGAACACGTCTGGGATGCTCTTGGCAGAAGTCTGCGCACTCTCCAGAACCAACCACAGAATTTGCAAGATCTTGGCACCAATGGCGTCGTCTTCCCAATCATGTGTTCACAAGCATCACTAGGTCCATGCGGAGGCGTTGTGTGGCAGTTGTCAATGTACATAGTGGCCATACACGCTACTAAACTTGTGTGCCATCAGATTCTCGTGCTTGGGACTTATGATTTAAACTGTTGATGTTATTACCGAATACCGTAAGTGCTTGGAACAAATTATGGTTACTACTGTTAATTAAAATCCTTCTTTGGACATTAATGATTAAAAATTACCTTCTCTGATACATTTGTCCGTTGTATATCATATATGGGATTACTTTTAAAAATGTGAAGTTTTTAATTTGACTCAGTATACAAGTGGCAGGGTGCTGGTCGATTCAACGAAAAGCAACTCCATATCAACAACCTCGAAGTCAAGGCGGTCATTCTGGTGGTGTCCCACTGGACAGAGCTCTTTGTGTGTCACACCTCATGATCCAGGGCTCCACCACAACGACGTACCTCCTGTCGCTAGAATTCTTCCAGTTGGTCCACTCTCTGAATGTTCAGGTCAAAGTGAGGCATGTTCCTGGATACACAATGTCATAGCCGACCTATTCCGACCAGACCAACCATCACCAACAGAATGGAATTGCCACCCGATGATTTTTCCTTGGATTTGCCAACTTGACCTCTTCGCAACCAGATTCTACCCATCTTTCCCATCCTGAATCCAAAACACTCTGGACATTTTGTGGAAGTACCTCCATGCTTACTCCTTTCCCCCCGACTGGCCTTCTACCTCTGATCATTCAAAAGGTGGCATCCACCAACCAACTTTGACTGCTTTTGATTGCGCCCTAATGGCCAACTCAATGTTGGTTCACAATGTTGGCAAAGATTACAGAAGGAATGTTCCACAATCTTCCACAGCCGGACAATCTTCTCTTGCCTCACTCCCACCTACTTCATCCATCGCCTGAAACCGTACATCTTTACGTATGGCTCATCTCCTAAAGTCACTTGTCGCCAAAGGGTATTTGAAGAGAGTAGCCAAGACCATCACTAAGGCTCACCCTACCTCTGAAAAGGCCTGATGGAAAGTGTTCAAAGCTTACTGCTGTGCTCGGACATCACCAACCCAACCACTGCTTCTCCTCAACAGGTGAGCTTAAGAGCTCCACTTTGGCTACTTATCTTGCTGCGATCAAATCCGTCATTGCCATTAGAACCATGTCTAAGATCTCCATGGTTTCTGAGCTACAGTCACTCATTGGGTCCTGCAAGTTGACTGACCAGTCATCTCCATTCCGGCCACACACTTGGGATCTTACTGTCATCCTCTGCCATTTGACCTTCTACAGAGTGTGAACTTCGGGTTGATCACCCTCAAGACGTTTTGTCTCCTGGCCCTTGAACCTGCTGCTGAGTGAGTGAGATCCATGCTCTTGATGTTAACAGGATCCAGGTTGAGCAAATACAGAATGAGAAGATCTTTCTGAGGCTTCCTGTCATTGGCGGCCATCCTGAGCCCAGATGATCATGAAGACATCTCCTTATGCCCGGCTAGAGCTCTCCGCATCCTCCCGGTATCTACCTCTTCAACATACCTGCAAGAGTCTTCCATACCACTTTTGGCTTTGCTCGACAATCCTTTGGGCCAACACCTTCGCTGGATTGCCTCCTCCTGTGACTTCCAATCCACATGAGACTAGAGCAGTCGCCTCTACCATAGCCTTGCACAGCAATTGAAACCCTGTATGCTATTATGGAGGATTGGTTTTTGGATTTCCAATACTGTCTTCGCTTCCCACAATCTTTGTGATATCTCTATCACCGATGTGCAGGGCCTCCGACAGTTTGGTCCCTTGGTGCTGGCACAACAATTGAAGCCTTCACATCAGCACAGATAGACAACCTACTCCTGCAGCCCAGTACTTCGTATACAGAATGAATATTGGAATTGTCACTCCTAACTATTTGATTTTGTCAATATCCCAGCTCGGTCCGAATGATGGTCTGGTTTTGATAAGTGGAAGCGGAAGTACTTCCGGTGATGTAAAAAGATGGACGGGAATAAAGAAAACGAGATAGGAGACAAATGTTCGATAACTTTGTTTGTTATTGTAAAAGGTTTACAGTGTCACAATAGTACAGATTAACACCTGTGTTTATTGTAATTATTATTCTGGTAGTAGAGGATGAGTTACCTCATCTGTAGAGACAGGTCTTGAAGTTGCTGCAACATGTGTTTGGGCAGTGTCCAAGCCCTTACCTGCTCACCTCTGCTTCAGGCACATGATGTGTCAGTATTGCAAATTTGCCATATTGCTTTGCCTAAATAGATGTGTATGAGTGCCTTGCCCAGTAACTGAGAATTGTAATATACTTATCTTTGTTTTAATTATTAAATCTAGCTTTAAACTTCAGAGATTGTTGTGTGATTCTTGTAATTGTTATTTGTGGTATTAGCGGGAACCCCTGCCGTTCATACCACACGTAACAAAAGTTACAGTCATTTGTGTAATGATATCCTACATGAAAACACATAACACATGTTATACCCAATGTTACGATGTTGTGTCTGATTAGCATACAGGGGCCACATCGCTAGTAAAGGTGTATTTATGCACTCATGGGTTCTTGTCTTTATGACTCTAGGTAGTGTGATAGCTTCTTTATTTGTATCGCTGTGTAGCACTAGGTTCCTGTATATCTCACGATTGTCATCTCTATAGGCTAGGGTATCTGCGCCCCTCCGGCCAACCATGGGATAAATGCAAAGGGGTAAGGATACGTTTAAAATTTGTAAATTTGAACTGTTTAACAGTTAACTGAAGTGCTGGGCGTCAGAAGAGTGGGAATTATTGATATGAAGGTTGAAATCTCCCAATAACACAAAGTCATGAGTAACTCCATCACCTTCCACCTTCCATCAACTCACTCACTCACTCACTGTGGACTGTTGCAGTGTATGTGCTCTCCCCAAGAAGCAGCGACATGTTGGCAGCAATCGGAAGGGCAAAATGGACCCTAAAACATCCACAGCTCTGTTCATATCGGAGATCAACAACTACAGCCTGACTCCAGATTTGTCATCCATCCAAGCGGAAACAGGTGAAATAGATATCTACTGGTGTAGAAACAGGTGAAATAGATATCAACTGGTGTAGAAACTGGTGAAATAGATATCTACTGGTGCAGAAACAGGTGAAATAGATTTCTACTGATGAAGTAAACGGTGAAATAGAAATCTACTAGTGTAGAAACAGGTGAAATAGATATCAACTGGTGTAGAAATAGGTGAAATAGATATCTACTGGTTTAGAAACAGGTGAAATAGATATCTACTGGTGTAGAAACAGGTGAAATAGATATCTACTAGTGTAGAAGCTTGTGAAATAGATATCTTCAAGGGTAGAAACAGGTGAAATAGATTTCTACTAGTGTAGAAATAGGTGAAATAGATATCTTCAAGGGTAGAAACAGGTGCATTAGATATCTACTAGTAAAGAAACAGGAGAAATAGATATGTACTAGTGAAGAAACTTGAGAAATAGATATCTACTAGTGAAGAAACTGGTGAAATAGATATCTTCAAGGGTAGAAACAGGTGAAATAGATATCTACTGGTGCAGAAACAGGTGAAATAGATATCTACTAGTGTAGAAACTGGTGAAATAGATATCTTCAAGGGTAGAAACAGGTGAAATAGATATCTACTAGTGCAGAAACAGGTGAAATAGATATCTACTGGTGTAGAAACTGGTGAAATAGATATCTACTGGTGCAGAAACAGGTGAAATAGATTTCTACTACTGTAGAAATAGGTGAAATAGATATCTACTAGTGTAGAAACTGGTGAAATAGATATCTTCAAGGGTAGAAACAGGTGAAATAGATATCAACTGGTGTAGAAATAGGTGAAATAGATATCTACTGGTTTAGAAACAGGTGAAATAGATATCTACTGGTGTAGAAACAGGTTAAATAGATATCTACTAGTGTAGAAGCTTGTGAAATAGATATCTTCAAGGGTAGAAACAGGTGAAATAGATTTCTACTAGTGTAGAAATAGGTGAAATAGATATCTTCAAGGGTAGAAACAGGTGCATTAGATATCTACTAGTGAAGAAACAGGAGAAATAGATATGTACTTGTGAAGAAACTTGAGAAATAGATATCTACTAGTGAATAAACTGGTGAAATAGATATCTTCAAGGGTAGAAACAGGTGCAATAGATATCTACTAGTGTAGAAACTGGTGAAATAGATATCTACTAGTGTAGAAACAGGTGAAATTGATATCTACTGGTGTAGAAACTGGTGAAATAGATATCTACTAGTGCAGAAACAGGTGAAATAGATATCTACTAGTGCAGAAACAGGTGAAATAGATATCTACTGGTGCAGAAACTGGTGAAATAGATATCAACTGGTGTAGAACTGGTGAAATAGATATCTACTAGTGTAGAAACTGGTGAAATAGATATCTACTGGTGCAGAAACAGGTGAAATAGATTTCTACTGGTGAAGTAAACGGTGAAATAGATATCTACTAGTGTAGAAACAGGTGAAATAGATATCAACTGGTGTAGAAATAGGTGAAATAGATATCTACTGGTTTAGAAACAGGTGAAATAGATATCTACTGGTGTAGAAACAGGTGAAATAGATATCTACTAGTGTAGAAGCTTGTGAAATAGATATCTTCAAGGGTAGAAACAGGTGAAATAGATTTCTACTAGTGTAGAAATAGGTGAAATAGATATCTTCAAGGGTAGAAACAGGTGCATTAGATATCTACTAGTGAAGAAACAGGAGAAATAGATATGTACTTGTGAAGAAACTTGAGAAATAGATATCTACTAGTGAATAAACTGGTGAAATAGATATCTTCAAGGGTAGAAACAGGTGCAATAGATATCTACTAGTGTAGAAACTGGTGAAATAGATATCTACTAGTGTAGAAACAGGTGAAATAGATATCTACTGGTGTAGAAACTGGTGAAATAGATATCTACTAGTGCAGAAACAGGTGAAATAGATATCTACTAGTGCAGAAACAGGTGAAATAGATATCTACTGGTGTAGAAACTGGTGAAATAGATATCTACTAGTGCAGAAACAGGTGCAATAGATATCTACTACTGTAGAAATAGGTGAAATAGATATCTACTAGTGTAGAAACTGGTGAAATAGATATCTACTGGTGCAGAAACAGGTGAAATAGATATCTTCAAGGGTAGAAACATGTGCAATAGATATCTACTAGTGTAGAAACTGGTGAAATAGATATCTTCAAGGGTAGAAACAGGTGCAATAGATATCTACTACTGTAGAAATAGGTGAAATAGATATCTACTAGTGAAGATGCTTGTGAAATAGATATCTACTAGTGTAGAAACTGGTGAAATAGATATCTACTAGTGTAGAAACAGGTGAAATAGATATCTACTAGTGTAGAATCTGGTGAAATAGATATCTACTGGTGCAGAAACTGGTGAAATAGATATCTACTACTGTAGAAATAGGTGAAATAGATATCTACTAGCGTAGAAACTGGTGAAATAGATATCTACTGGTGCAGAAACAGGTGAAATAGATATCTACTAGTGTAGAAATAGGTGAAATAGATATCTACTAGTGTAGAAACTGGTGAAATAGATATCTACTAGTGTAGAAACAGGTGAAATAGATATCTACTAGTGTAGAAACTGGTGAAATAGATATCTACTAGTGTAGAAACAGGTGCAATAGATATCTTCAAGGGTAGAAACAGGTGAAATAGATATCTACTAGTGTAGAAACAGGTGAAATAGATATCTACTAGTGTAGAAACTGGTGAAATAGATATCTACTAGTGCAGAAACAGGTGAAATAGATATCTACTGGTGTAGAAACTGGTGAAATAGGTATCTACTGGTGCAGAAACTGGTGAAATAGATATCTACTGGTGTAGAAATAGGTGAAATAGATATCTACAAGTGAAGAAACTGGTGCAATAGATATCTACTAGTGTAGAAATAGGTGAAATAGATATCTTCTAGTGAAGAAACAGGTGAAATAGATATCTTCAAGGGTAGAAAAAGATGCAATAGATATCTACTGGTGTAGAAGCTTGTGAAATAGATATCTTCAAGGGTAGAAACAGGTGCAATAGATTTCTACAAGGGTAGAAACAGGTGCATTAGATATCTACTAGTGAAGAAACAGGAGAAATAGATATGTACTAGTGAAGAAACTTGAGAAATAGATATCTACTAGTGAAGAAACTTGAGAAATAGATATCTTCAAGGGTAGAAACAGGTGCAATAGATATCTACTTGTGAAGAAACAGGTGCAATAGATATCTACTAGTGTAGAAACAGGTGAAGTAGATATCTACTAGTGTAGAAACAGGTGAAGTAGATATCTACTGGTGTAGAAACAGGTGAAGTAGATATCTACTGGTGTAGAAACAGGTGCAATAGATATCTGCTATGGCATGACAAGTCACTGGCTCTACTGTCACTGTTAGATGTGACATGACAAGTCACTGTCTCTACTGTCACTGTTAGATGTGACATGACAAGTCACTGGTTGTGGGGTTTTAGAAGAGCTAATTATCCATCTTTATCTTGAAGTTGATGCTATGAGATTAAAGGTGAGCTGTTGTTGTAGAGCTGGTCAGCAGGGCTCCAACATGTGACTTCCGCGCAGTGGAACAGGAGGCCATGAAGGAGATGGAGGAGAATCAGGTAGGCTGTGAAGAAAATGGAGGAGAACCAGGGAGGCCATGAAGGAGATGGAGGAGAATCAGGTAGGCATTGGAGGAGATGGAGGAGAACCAGGTAGGTTGTGAAGAAGATGGAGGAGAATCAGGTAGGCTGTGGAGGAGATGGAAGAGAACCAGGTAGGTTGTGAAGAAGATGGAGGAGAATCAGGTAGGCTGTGAAGGAGATGGAGGAGAACCAGGGAGGCCATGAAGGAGATGGAGGAGAATCAGGTAGGCTGTGAAGGAAATGGAGGAGAATCAGGTAGGCCATGGAGGAGATGGAGGAGAATCAGGTAGGCTTTGGAGGAGATGGAGAGGAACCAGGTAGGCTGTGAAGGAGATGGAGAAGAACCAGGTAGGCAATGAAGGAGATCGAGGAGAATCAGGTAGGCTGTGAAGGAAATGGAGGAGAATCAGGTAGGCATTGGAGGAGATGGAAGACAACCAGGTAGGTTGTGAAGAAGATGGAGGAGAATCAGGTAGGCTGTGAAGGAGATGGAGGAGAACCAGGTAGGTTGTGAAGAAGATGGAGGAGAATCAGGTAGGCTGTGAAGGAGATGGAGGAGAACCAGGGAGGCCATGAAGGAGATGGAGGAGAATCAGGTAGGCTGTGAAGGAGATGGAGGAGAACCAGGGAGGCCATGAAGGAGATGGAGGAGAATCAGGTAGGCTGTGAAGGAGATGGAGGAGAATGAGGTAGGCCATGGAGGAGATGGAGGAGAATCAGGTAGGCTTTGGAGGAGATGGAGAAGAACCAGGTAGGCTGTGAAGGAGATGGAGAAGAACCAGGTAGGCAATGAAGGAGATCGAGGAGAATCAGGTAGGCTGTGAAGGAAATGGAGGAGAATCAGGTAGGCATTGGAGGAGATGGAGGAGAACCAGGTAGACTGTGGAGGAGATGGAGGAGAACCAGGTAGGCATTTGAGGAGATGGAGGAGAACCAGGTAGGCTGTGAAGGAGATGGAGGAGAACCAGGTAGGCTGTGGAGGAGATGGAGGAGAATCAGGTAGACTATTGAGGAGATTAAGGTAGGCTGTTTGGGTTTCACTGCTTGTTCAAATGTTGTCATAGGGATTTCAAATAGTTTTGCTACTGGTATTTGGTGGATTAGGGAAACTTAGTTCTCAGGTGTTGTTTAGTATTTGTCAAGATCACACAGACGCATCTTGTAATAACAAAGTTGGAAGTTGAGACCGGATGAGATCCATTATTATCCCCCCGGCATATAATGCTGGGGGATATAGCTATGGGCATGTCTGTCTGTCCGTCCGTCCGTCGGTCTGTCCGTCCGTCTGTCTGAATCGTTTCCGGAGCAGAACTCGAAAACTGTTAAATATTTCTTCATCAAACTTTGCATATATATCACTTACGTGGTTAAGTTGTGCATTTGCTATTTAGTAATTTTAGAATTTCTATTTTTTTACGTTTTCATGGCAACAAGATGGACTTAGGTTCTGTGAGGGTAGGGTTTGTTTCTTGAGCATAACTCATAAACCGTTCAATATTTTTTCATGAAACTTTCCAGGTCTGTCAGTTACATGCTGAGCTGATGCCTTTTGCTATTTAGAAATTTTTATTTTTTACGTTTCCATGGCAACAAGATGGACTTAGGTTCTGTGAGGGTAGGGTTCGTTTCCGGATAATAACTCATAAACCGTTCAATATTTTTATCCCCCCGGCATATAATACAAAATTTCTTCATCAAACTTTGCATTTATATCACTCAAGTGGTGAAGTTGCTTTTTTGCAATTTTTCAATTTTTTCATCTCAAATGTTCATGTAAACATGTTGGACATGTTGGACTGTGTGAGTGTTGTTAGTTTCCGAAGAAGAACTAAAAAAATGTTGAATATTTCTCCATGTTACTTTTCATACATTTAAACTACATACTGAACTGGTGCCTTTTGCTATTTTAGGATTTAATTTTTTTTCTGTTTTCAGTCTCCACGGAAGCCAGTTCGACTTAGGTTCAATTTGGGATAGGGTTCATTTCTTATGTTCTCCACAAAACTTTGCACAAGCATCATCTAGTTTGCATAAAAGAAACCCCACAGAAACACACTTGTTTTACGTTTCATTTCATATGGATGCAACCATGATGGATCTTTTGTGGGTAAACAATGTATGCTTCTTCAAGAACATTCAACTCTAGACTCATTACATACAGAATTGCACATTTACTTGTGGTTACTTTACAGACAGCTGCCGGGGGATATGTCATCTTTCTGATGACTCTTGTTCCATAATGAGGCTGTATTGTCATCAACTGGGGCAACTTAATGCCTTTATGACTTTCTTCGCTTGTAACAAAAATCATGAATAAGATAATTTGCATGTGACTTTTACTTAATTTACTTCACTGTCCTGGTGATATCAATGATTCTATCTTATTGAACAGAATCCTGCAGCAGCTGGACCGGTCATCACCAGTACTCCAGACTCCAGACGTGGCCCCGAACCCTTGCTGCTGGTAGGTCAATGACCCTTGTGTCTCCCTGCTGGAGGTCAATGACCCTTGTGTCTCCCTGCTGGAGGTCAGTGACCCTTGTGTCTCCCTGCTGGAGGTCAATGACCCTTGTGTCTCCCTGCTGGAGGTCAATGACCCTTGTGTCTCCCTGCTGGAGGTCAATGACCCTTGTGTGTCTCCCTGCTGTAGTCAGGGAAGAGTAGGTCCACTGTACCCTCATGGTGGTTCAAGGGTTAAATAGGTCCATAAAATACCATGCTTGTCTGTCGTCTTTATTCAAGGAAAGAATAGGTCCCCAGTGACCTGTGCTTCTCTTCCTGTGAGGATTTCAGGTACATTCCCTATCTATCTTTGCTTATATAACCACTAGGGTGCTAGATGGTTTAAACAACTTTCACACACTCTCATTCTGTGCAGTGACCAGTGATGGCGTGAGGTATATGTCTAAGAGCTTATCGAGTACATACAGACAGACATGATTGATACATTTTGCAGGTGGACCTATCGGCAGTGGCGCCCCCTAGTGTTGGCGAAGACGAACTGCTTCCTCTACGTCTCTCTGGTGATGTTGTCAACAGTGACGAGATTGTGTGTGCCAGCGATATCAGTCTTGAAGTGGACATTCCTGATGTAAAGGTATCTCACTGTATCTTCTCTGTGGTGATTGTCTCCACCTGTGATTGTTGTGAGACACAATGGGGGTGATTGTCTCCTCCCTGTGATTGTTGTGAGACACAATGGGGGTGATTGTCTCCTCCCTGTGATTGTTGTGAGACACAATAGGGGTGATTGTCTCCACCTGTGATTGTTGTGAGACACAATGGGGGTGATTGTCTCCTCCCTGTGATTGTTGTGAGACACAATAGGGGTGATTGTCTCCTCCCTGTGAGTGTTGTGAGACACAATGGGGGTGATTGTCTCCTCCCTGTGATTGTTGTGAGACACAATAGGGGTGATTGTCTCCTCCCTGTGATTGTTGTGAGACACAATGGGGGTGATTGTCTCCACCTGTGATTGTTGTGAGACACAATGGGGGTGATTGTCTCCTCCCTGTGATTGTTGTGAGACACAATGGGGATGATTGTCTCCTCCCTGTGATTGTTGTGAGACACAATAGGGGTGATTGTCTCCTCCCTGTGATTGTTGTGAGACACAATGGGGGTGATTGTCTCCACCTGTGATTGTTGTGAGACACAATAGGGGTGATTGTCTCCTCCCTGTGATTGTTGTGAGACACAATGGGGGTGATTGTCTCCTCCCTGTGATTGTTGTGAGACACAATGGGGGTGATTGTCTCCTCCCTGTGATTGTTGTGAGACACAATGGGGGTGATTGTCTCCTCCCTGTGATTGTTGTGAGACACAATGGGGGTGATTGTCTCCCTGTGATTGTTGTGAGACACAATAGGGGTGATTGTCTCCTCCCTGTGATTGTTGTGAGACACAATGGGGGTGATTGTCTCCTCCCTGTGATTGTTTTGAGACACAATGGGGGTGATTGTCTCCACCTGTGATTGTTGTGAGACACAATGGGGGTGATTGTCTCCTCCCTGTGATTGTTGTGAGACACAATAGGGGTGATTGTCTCCTCCCTGTGATTGTTGTGAGACACAATAGGGGTGATTGTCTCCTCCCTGTGATTGTTGTGAGACACAATGGGGGTGATTGTCTCCTCCCTGTGATTGTTGTGAGACACAATGGGGGTGATTGTCTCCTCCCTGTGATTGTTGTGAGACACAATGGGGGTGATTGTCTCCTCCCTGTGATTGTTGTGAGACACAATGGGGGTGATTGTCTCCTCCCTGTGATTGTTGTGAGACACAATGGGGGTGATTGTCTCCTCTCTGTGATTGTTGTGAGACACAACTGTGTCGATTGTCTCCACCTGTGATTGTTGTGAGACACAACTGTGTCGATTGTCTCCACCTGTAGATTGTTGTGAGACACAACTGGAGTGATTGTCTCCACCTGTGTGCTGAGAGTAGACAGACTACATACAACATACATGACGTCAGATCCGACATAACGGCTGACCGTGGGAACTAGCAAGAGCTGAGGAAAACCCCTAACTATTTATAGTGTACACAAACACTACACCTGTGATTGTTGCAAGGGGCAGCTGAGGACCAGTTTGACCAACTCCCTGTTGCGCTCCATTAGTGGACCCTCTCACCTGAGGGATTCTCATACACAGCAGAGATGTATGTATTTGTTGTATTTATTCCTGTGTTGACAGGCTGCTGATCTTCCTGGAGATGTTCCTGACTCCAGGGAGCCCCATGCCGAAGTAATGCCTCCAGCTTCAGCACCCACAGCAATGCAGCCCACAACTAAACCTCACACCAAAGCAGAACAAGCTGTCATGTTGAAGCCAGGCTCAGCCAGACACCAGAACACGAAGACAGGACAACAGGTTGGTCCGACAGCGAAGAAAAAGAGAACTGTTTCATGCAAGCCAAGTAGCTGTTTGGGCAGGCAACTTTCCCTGGGTACACGGCCATCCAAAGGTGTGAGTGCTTCCCTTGAACACTCAGCAGTTTCAAACACCAAGTCTCCAAAGAGCTGGAGATATTTCCCTAGGAGCAGCAGTGGGAGTAACATCATGGGCAAACCGCATGTAGCTACTGCAAGAGTTGAACACACGCACACCTCTCAGCATCCGCTCTGTTCTCTGGTGGGCGTGGTCAAGAACTGTCAGAGGGCTCGGGCTAATGGCAAGGTCAAGGTCATGTCCAAGTCCAGCAAGCTGATGGTGTCAATAGCACAGGCACCTCCAGGTACATATAGACAGGTAGAACCACAGCACCTCCAGGTACATATAGACAGGTAGAACCACAGCACCTCCAGGTACATATAGACAGGTAGAACCACAGCACCTCCAGGTACATATAGACAGGTAGAACCACAGCACCTCCAGGTATGTAGATAGTTAATTCATAGGCACCTAGACAGTAGTTGCAAAGGCATCACCAGATAAGTATAGACAGTAGATCCACAGGCACCTTCAGGTAAGTAGACACTAGATCCACAGGCACCTTCAGGTAAGTAGACACTAGATCCACAGGCACCTTCAGGAGAGTAGACACTAGATCCATAGGCACCTTCAGGAGAGTAGACACTAGATCCACAGGCACCTCCAGGTACATATAGACAGGTACAGAGACGACATCATGCTTGTATAATGTGTCCCAACACACTGGTGTTACAGTGCTGAAGGTAACAAGCATGACACTGCTTCTCTCTCACTGCAGATGCAATTATGGCCACTGTGAGAAGAGTGACTCAAGTATAGGACTGTGACCAGAGAGACTCAAGTATACCTCTGTGACAAGAGTGACACAAGTATAGCTCTGTGACAGGAGTGACACAAGTATAGCTCTGTGACAAGAGAGACTCAAGTGTAGCTCTGTGACCAGAGAGACTCAAGTGTAGCTCTGTGACGAGAGAGAGACTCAAGTGTAGCTCTGTGACAAGAGAGACTCAAGTGTAGCTCTGTGACAGGAGTGACTCAAGTGTAGCTCTGTGACAGGAGTGACTCAAGTGTAGCTCTGTGACAAGAGAGACTCAAGTGTAGCTCTGTGACAAGAGAGACTCAAGTGTAGCTCTGTGACAGGAGAGACTCAAGTGTAGCTCTGTGACAAGAGTGACTCAAGTGTAGCTCTGTGACAAGAGAGACTCAAGTGTAGCTCTGTGACAAGAGAGACTCAAGTATACCTCTGTGACAGGAGTGACTCAAGTGTAGCTCTGTGACAGGAGTGACTCAAGTATAGCTCTGTGATGATAGAGGTTCAGGTGTAGCTCTGTGATGATAGAGACTCAAGTATATCTCTGTGACGAGAGAGTGACTCAAGTGTAGCTCTGTGACGATAGAGATTCAAGTGTAGCTCTGTGACGAGAGATACTTAAGTGTAGCTCTGTGATGATAGAGACTCAAGTTTATCTCTGTGACGAGAGAGTGACTCAAGTGTAGCTCTGTGACGATAGAGACTCCAGTTTAGCTCTGTGACGAGAGAGACTCAAATGTAGCTCTGTGAGAAGAGACTCAAGTATAGCTCTGTGAGAAGAGTGACTCAAGTGTAGCTTTGTGACAAGAGAGTCTCAAGTGTAGCTCAGTGACCAGAGTGACTCAAGTATAGCCCTGTGTCTAGAGTGACTCAGGTGCAGCTCTGTGAGAAGAGAGACTCAAGTGTAGCCCTGTGACCAGAGTGACTCAAGTATAGCCCTGTGACCAGAGTGACTCAAGTGTAGCGCTGTGACCAGAGTGACCGAAGTATAGCTCTGTGAGAAGAGAGACTCAAGTGTAGCTCTTTGAGAAGAGAGACTCAAGTGTTGCACTGTGAGAAGAGTGACTCAAGTACTAGTACATGTAGCAGTGTATGTATGCTTTAAGTAAACCGCGAGCTATGGTTTGGGGCATATTTTTATAATTCAAAGTTATGACCTTCCAGTATTAGGAAAGTCATCTTCACAACACCACAAGCTCAGACAAATCTTGGTTTAAGACATTTTATTCAGCTTTTCTCAGCACTGTTGATGCTGGCATAACTCAAGTGTGATAGATCAGCCGCATTATTTGGTGTACATGATGTGGTGTCAAATTGTTTGTCAACCTTGTCTTCATTTTGTGACATTTGACGCGGAGTATTTCAGTACAAGATGCGGACTATAACTGATGGTGATTCCAAGACAGGTGCTTGCATAGGATACATCCTTCCTGGGGGATGTGGTTGCATGAAGATGAAACACGTGGTATCAAGCCTGTGATGGACCAGTCTGATTCAGCTAGCTTCCAGTGTCATAGTAGAATTAGTAGTCATCCTAGTGTCATTGATAACTGTGTGTCTTTCATGTGTGCATTTAAAAGCAAAATATTTGGGGCATATATATTCTGCAAGTTGTGAAATTTGTATTGTAAATACTCATGTAATTTTATTTATCAGATGCGAGGTTATGTTCACTAGTAGTGCTGTTGATTGTATTTATTCTTTTATTGTCTGAATATAAAAAAATATGTGATAATGATGTTGAAATATGCAAACTGTAATGAATGTGTACTTTTGTATGCTTAGTGCTGTGATAGTGAGGAGATAGTGTTTCAATAGAGGACACAGAGGTGATATATTAGTGCTGTGATAGTGACAGTGTTTCAATAGAGGACACAGACATGTGATGTATTAGTGCTGTGATAGTGACAGATAGTGTTTCAATAGAGGACACAGAGGTGATATATTAGTGCTGTGATAGTGACAGATAGTTATTCAATAGAGGACACAGACATGTGATGTATTAGTGCTGTGATAGTGACAGATAGTGTTTCAATAGAGGACACAGAGGTGATATATTATTGCTGTGATAGTGACAGATAGTTATTCAATAGAGGACACAGACGTGATATATTATTGCTGTGATAGTGACAGTGTTTCAATAGAGGACACAGAGGTGATGTATTAGTGCTGTGATAGTGACAGATAGTTATTCAATAGAGGACACAGACGTGATGTATTAGTGCTGTGATAGTGACAGATAGTTATTCAATAGAGGACACAGACGTGATATATTATTGCTGTGATAGTGACAGATAGTTATTCAATAGAGGACACAGAGGTGATGTATTAGTGCTGTGATAGTGACAGATAGTTATTCAATAGAGGACACAGACATGTGATGTATTAGTGCTGTGAAAGTGACAGACAGTTATTCAATAGAGGAAATAGACGTGTATAAAAATGACATTTTCAACATCCCCTCTGAAACTTTGAGGCCTGTGATGCTGAAACTTTGCAAGTATTATCCTTGCTAAGGTTTAATTGTTGAACAGTGCTCATTATGTTTGCATAAAATTTTATATGCAGAAAATAGTGTACAAAAATTAAATATGATTATTTTGTTTTTCTGTTGTTGATGTTGCAAAGGCCTTTGACCTTCCTGTACCCATGTGTAGCACAATGTGCATGTAAGCATTGTGTGGTGTGATATTGATGGTGTGCATGTAATAACATGTTAGGTAGCCAGTGTTACAACATTAGGCATGACCGTCAAGGAGTCCTTGCCATAACTGCTTAGAAGTAACCATATACAGGTGCTTCATTCAAATTGTGCAAGAGGAACCACTGAAATGCCCTTTTATTTTTAACATTGGCCAAATGATAAATGGGCATTTTTTTAGTTTGGATTGTGCTAAGACTTGTCATTAGGATATTTCATGCTGCGTTGTCGATACTTCTGTTTGCAGATTCTTGTTTACCCTTTGATTAGCTCCTCAGACTTATTAGTCATTTGAACTTCCGTCCTGGCCTCGTTGCCAGCATCTAGAAACAGCTTCTCAGAAACCGCGGAAGCTGAAGCTTCACATGCTTGTTCCCACAATGATTACACCTGAAGTTGCTCCACAAGTTCCAGTCCACACCCGCTGGGGCTGCCTGTTTAGGGCCATTATTCACCTATTTTCACTTCAAATGTGATGAGACCCAGATTCGATTCCCCACATGGGCACAATGTTCGAAGCCCATTTCTGGTGTTTCCCGCTGGGATATTGCTGGGATATTGCTAAGAGCGGTGTAAAACAAAACCACACTCACTCACTCACTCACTCACTCAAATGTGATGAACATTGGTATGTGTGTAGCTTGTAGTGGGGCTCAACAGATGTTCTGTTTGTCCAAGACCTTTGTACTGCGAGACATATTGAGAACTGAAACTTGTGGCCCTCACAGAGCCGTCTGTGTTCCAGTTTCTGCCCTTTATTTGACCCTGCACTTGAATTCTGTCAAATGTAATTCCTGGCACTGTAAACATCTCATGTAGCACAGCACCCATATTGAAAATTTATTAATGACTTTTTTGTTCAAATCGTAAAGAAATTTGGTATGTTCACGTAGCAGTGGACATCAAAACATTTTTATTTTTTTGCAATACATTCGAACTTTGTTATCTGGAACGTACTGATATCTTAAGCCTATTCTCCGGTACCAACTGCCTTACTATATGATGTTTATGCCTCATTATCTTGAATGTCCGGGTATCTCGAAGTTAAACCTCAGTCCCATCAGGTTCCGGAGGACAAGGTTCGACAGTATGTACATTTTTACCTTTATTGGATCTTTGTGCTTGGACTATGTTGACATTTTAAACTGTGGACTATATATTCTGGTGAGCTAGTGCCATGGCACCATGTTTATGACTTTTATGCCCAATGTTGTAAATAATTCAGGAATATCCCTGTGAGCTACAGGACATTGTTTCTCTGTTTCCTCTCATAACGTGAGAAATGTCTCATCCCATGCCACCATTTGGTCAGATGTTTGATGTGACAAATTCTAGTGGATGTTCCGTGATATCCCCAGTCCCCTGCTTGGATATAGCTGCACTTCTGTTTATATAATTTGAGGACTGTATATTTTGATGAAATGTATATAAAATTTTAGATCATCAAGGCCTGAAAATCATTTTGAATGTAGAGGTGTCATATTTGATGGCCTTGTGTTGCCATGACAATATGTTATGGATTGGTTTTATCAGTATCTTTAGTATCATCAACATAGGGAGAAATGAAAGGTTGGGGAAATGTGGAAGGAGTGGGGACATTCCAACATCAGATCCCGACTCACCGTGGTCCTTCAGGAGTTGGGGGCCTCTCTGGACATGGTTGTTTTAAGCTAAACCTGTACCTGCAGTTCAGAGTTACGGCAGATGTGCTGCAGTAGTGGTAATTTTCTGTAGCAAAGTTGGCATGGTTACGAATCAGTCTCTGTTGTCCTCCCTGGTTAGTTAGATGTTGTCACCACAAATTTAGTCATCTCCAACAATGGACTCACATTACAAGCTCCCTACATAATGAGTTTCCATTACCACCAGAGACCAGGGACAACCCAGCACTAAGCACTGTACTAACTTTGATCCATGCCGAGGCTGTAGTAAAGACTTGTTTACACTCAACGTGCAGTGTTCTGTTATTTGTAGTAACTTGACTCTGGCTACTGACGAGAGTGAGAGTTGGGTAATGCTGACCTATTTCACAGAAACTACCGGTGTTGGTCGTCTAGGTGGAGCAAGGCAAGGAAGGTCAAACCATCAGCAGCGAGCTAATGATCTACACACAATGACCTGATGTTTTTTTCCCTGAGTCTACCTATTTTAAAATATTTTTGGACTAGTTCTTTTTACACTTGTTATTCTCTTACTTATTGTCGTAAGAGGCAACTAACAGGTTGGGTTCGGTTATCGTATCCCAATTGCGTGGATTGATGCTCATGATGTCAATCACTGGATTGTCTGGTCCAGACTCTATTATTTACAGACCACGGTCATATAGCTGGAATACTGCTGAGTGAGGCAATAAACAAACAAATTTAGGACAGTGCTAGATTCAAGTGCTAACTCAGCTCTGTCCCCCTTCAGGGTTGTCCGGAAGCTCTTGTAGAATCTCCATCATGAAGGCAAAAGGAGCCAGGCCACGGCAACACAATCAGAGATCTAAACTTTATTTACATACCAACACATGACAATATTTTGTATACAACTGAAATAAAATACTCAAGAAAATAAATTTGAAAGTTTCCTCCATACACTTCCGTTCACAGACACTGTTGTGCTTCAGTCCACCTATCCCCCCCACACACTGTTGTGCTTCAGTCCACCTATCCCCCCCACACACTGTTGTGCTTCAGTCCACCTATCCCCCCACACACTGTTGTGCTTCAGTCCACCTATCCCCCCCACACACTGTTGTGCTTCAGTCCACCTATCCCCCCACACACTGTTGTGCTTCAGTCCACCTATCCCCCCACACACTGTTGTGCTTCAGTCCACCTATCCCCCCCACACACTGTTGTGCTTCAGTCCACCTATCCCCCCACATACTGTTGTGCTTCAGTCCACCTATCCCCAACACACGGTTGTGCTTCAGTCCACCTATCCCCCCACACACTGTTGTGCTTCAGTCCACCTATCCCCCCACACACTGTTGTGCCACAGTCCACCTATCCCCCCACACACTGTTGTGCCAGTCCACCTAACCCCACACACACTGTTGTGCTTCAGTCCACATATCCCAACCCACACTGTTGTGCTACAGTCCACCTATCCCCACACACACTGTTGTGCCAGTCCACCTAACCCTGCCCACACTGTTGTGCTTCGGTCCACATATCCCAACCCACAGTTGTGCTACAGTCCACCTAACCCTGCCCACACTGTTGAGGTTCAGTCAACATATCCCCTCCCACACTGTTGTGCTACAGTCCATCTAACCCTGCCCACACTGTTGTGACAGTCCACCTAACCCCACACACACTGTTGTGCCCAGTCCACCTACCCCCCCCCCCCCCCCCACACACACACACACACTGTTGTGCTACAGTCCACCTAACCCCCCACACACACTGTTGTGCCACAGTCCACCTAACCCCATTACTGTTCATTTCTTCCTGCCTTTCCCATTCTGTGGCTTGGGGAAGAGGGAGGGGTCAATCTGGTCGTGGGTCAGCCCCTTCACAGAGAACAACCTCTCGGCCCTCTGCTGCACTGTCCCGCCACACTTCAGCCCCCGCTGGGTCAGGGCAAACTTGAGGCGATCCAGCCCAATGTCCTCCAGCTCCCGGGCAGACGAGAACTCGGACAGGTCAACCTGGGGAAGAAATGAAGAATATTAACATTGCCAAAGCTTGAGCACCTACATCAGAGATTTCATTCAAAATCTTCCCAATCTTTTGAATCCCCAAAACACAGATGCCAATGTTTCTATATTAATAAACTTGCAGACTTCTTAAAAAAAAACAAGCTATGAACCACATCAGGAAGTACTTTTGAAAGACACTTGACTCTTGGATATTCTTCCACTTCATGTTCTTTACAGATTTAAGGAATGAGGTTTCATGGGGGGGGGAAAAGGATAAAAATGTATTCAGGTTTAAAAAATATGTGATACTCATGAATTTCATGTTGGTAAACTGATACTTGCCATGTGGATAAAATCATGATACTCGCCACACTACTAAACGGAAAGAACCATGCAGAAATATCATTTAAAGTACAGACACTAGAGACTCACTTAGGTGATATTGACTGTGATTTCAAAGACATCATGAAAGTTGAGGTGCCTTTGAATTTAAATTCATCCTTGATTCACAAGGAATCTCTTAAGGCTGATAAATGATATACTTCAATTCATGCTGTACTTACATCTACAAGTTTGTCTGTTGAGCTCACAGGAGGAGGCAGAGAAGACAAGAGGGTACTGCTTGCTGCAGTTACCTCCCTTTGATCCATCTCTTGGCCTTCCTGCTTGGAGGTAGAGATGGTCTCATTTGACTCAAGGCCGTCCTTGCTGTCTGCACCTGATCTACTGTGACTGGCGGTACTGGGTGAACACGCATCATGTGTCGACACAACTGTTCCAGGACTGTTGTTGCCAGGTGTGTCATCATTAGGTGTGTGGTCATCGGATGACACTTCCGCCCTAGCTCCACCCTCACTGGAGGACTGGCTGTCGTCGTCCGAGCTCTCACTGGACAGGTCATCTGGGTCTACACCGAGCCTAGAACAAACATTGTTACCAGATGCAATCACAGACTGTCTACAAAATAAAATGTATTATTTCACAACAAGCCTACCACACAACTCCTGATAGGGATACAAGAAGTTATTCCTCTGAACATATGGTGGGGTTCCCTACATATGTAATACAGCCGTGCCTCGTTTATACGGACACTTGCGTCATTTCACAATTCGTCCGTATAAACGGATTTCCATATAACTGAAACCAGCTTCAATTATGCAACTCATGACAGATGACAGAGCAAACCGATACATCCACTCAATCTTTATTCAAGACATACACATTTCAAAAAATCTAATAAGTGATAAGTCATTTGAATTTTCCAGGATTTAGCCACTTCTGTTTGTCTTTTAAATTGTCGATAACATGTACAATAAACAAGCTCGTCTCAAACGTAACTCAGTGTCACTTGGTTAATTGACTTCTCACGAATCAAAGGATTACCACCAGCGGAAGGATTACCACCAGCGGAAGTGTATTGTCCGGGTAAGTGAGACAATTTTGTGTGCATTTCAGTGTTTTGTGTAGGAAAATGACCATCCGGTTCCGGAAACTGAATTTCCGTATATACAAGTAAATTTATATAGTAATTATTTCGTTTTATATGAAAATCGTCCGGGAACCGAGGTTTCCGGATATCTGAAGTCTGTATAAGCGGGGCATGACTGTAGTTTCATTTCATTTCAAATTAGTGCAAAAGTTTCTTTTTCAGTACAAACTTGAAATTCGGTCCTTGAGAACAATTTTGGTCAACTGACTTAGTGGAGTGGAGCCTACAGACAAAGTTGGCTGCGACTTCTTTCAGCCTTCATGCGGCTTGGAATGGAGTGTTGACAACTGTTGCAAATTCTTCCACAAGGGCTGGCACTTCTTGTATGACATTGCAGCAGTATCGCTTCCCCTCACTGAAAGATGATGTGCTGTCGGAAAAGGGAATGCATGAAAGATGGCCATGGCTTTGCTTGGTACGGTGCCTTGGTTTGTTGAGACAGTTGAGACAATTCTGATTGTCTTTCCTGCATTCCAGTTATCCAGTGATGGAGCTGTGACATGAGCTTTGCAATTTGTAGGAAAGACTATAGCAGTGTTGTTCATGGTTTCATTTGCAATGACCTGTGCACAGTTTGCAGAAAGAGAACTCATCTTTAGGACGGCCACCTAACTTGCACAGAGGATCTCGTGGTATTCTCTTGTTCTGATGATGAGTTGGGTTCTATGAGGAGCTGACGAAAGAAATACTTTCTACATTGAGGAACAGATGATTGGGAAGTGAACAATCAAACTTGACTGGAGAGTCCTGATCAAGGACAGATTTATGAAGAATCGATGATGCCATCAGTAATGTATGCGTCTCCTCGTCTGGTACATAGAGAATCTCACCCGAGTGCCTTTTGATATCAGAAGACACTCCTGTAAGATTTTATTAAACAGTGTCTTAAATGTAAAAAGTACTGCTAACAGCTTCAGTAGAGAAGCCATTAGTGATGTCATTTGATTGTAACATAATGGTAACCAATGATGTCACAATGGACTGCAAAGCAATCTGATGCAATTCATTGCAGCGATAACTACAATGTAATTTTTTATGATCTTTCAATTGTTTTTTCCCCACCAAAATAATATTCTAATAAGCGTCCCCTATTTCTAATTTTGAGAGAACCCCGGGCACATTACATCCAATATGGTACTTTCTGGAATTATCACTTTTTGTATGACATTTTATGAAAGAATCAAACCAATCACGATATATTTCATATTTTCACTTACTTGCCTTTAAAGTTAATCGTTAGAAAAGACACCAGTATCACCAATAAGGATATATACTAATGTGAAAAAGTTTCAAACATGGCAGTCCCAAAATGTTCAAAAGATAATTCAAAGGATATTTCAACACTAGTTCATTCCCTACCTAATTTTAGCTTCAGATACATGTAACAATAAAAGTTATGTTGTGTAGGGTAAGTATGCCCTTTTAACAAAAACAATTGCAATTCACGGTTTCAGATGCAACTGTTTTGAAAAATGGTAAACAAAAGGACATTTTTTTGTCCAAGTGCTTGACACTCGGACCAATATTGATCTTTTGGACTTTACCGTCAAGTAGAAAAACACAACTTTTGCATCAGTTGGAAATGACTGAGTCAGTGTGCCCACTAATTCACCACATGACCTACAAAGGCGTATCTGAGGCTTCAGGCTTTATGGAGTTTTGGGATGTAAAAGGTGTGCATGCTGTGTCATCGCAGAGTGTGAACACCGGTTTTTATGTTTATAACTCCATCAAAGCAAAAACAAATTGAAGTCAATTCTTACAAAAAATACATACGAATCACTAGTAATTTATTCATCAATAATCTCTGGCAGCCTGGAAAAGGATGAAGGTCTTTCATTATTCCAACATCGAGTGAGTTTTGTAATCGTTGCAGGGAGTCATGAATGACATGAGTCAGTGTGTGAGTGAGTGAGTGAGTATGGTTTTACACCGCTTTTAGCAATATTCCAGCAATATCATGACAGAGGACACCAGAAATGGGCTTCACACATTGTACCCATGTCAGGAATCGAACCTGGGCCTTCAGCAACACTTTAACCATATAGGCTACCCCACCACCCGAGTCAGTGTGTGAGTCTTCAATAGATAATTCTTATACCTATAGTAAAAGTTCTGTAATTTCAATAGTTAATCCTTGTCATGTGACGAAACAATTAATTCCAATGCTGACCTGACCATAGAAAACCTACCTGAAAAGGTTTGAAATCATGTTACTGACAGTGGCCTCGTATACTGACTCGTCATGTGATCACTATTGACCGGTCATGTGATCAATATTGACCATGTCTGCTACAACACAACTTGGTGTCAGCGAATGGCAATACATAGTTTGCTGACAGGTTTTTTAAAAAAAAAAGGTGAAATAAAGTACTTTATAAATGAATTTCGGAATAACAAAACAATTGATTACTCTTGGAGTAATTATTTTCATGCTATTGTCAAGTCATAAGTCACTGTGCAAGTTGGTCAATGTTGGGGTCAATGTTGGGGTCAATGTAGGGGTCGGTGTGGTAGTCAGCCAATAATTACCATCCTCGTCTCTTTGCCTTGCCAAGCGTCTGACTTGCTGCTCTCCGCTTCCTTCTTACATCTGCGCTGGTGACCGTAGCAACTGGCCCCGTCTTGTCCTGGTCGAGAGCTGAAGAATGAAATTCGTGAAGATTGACACAATCAGTCTGGGCCACCTACATCATTGTATACAGTGCTGCAGACAGGGAGACACACCACTACCTTAGAACAACTGCATAATGCACACCTGGATTGTGCTGTGAGAACTCACACCTGGATTGTTTTGTACAACAGCACCCTGGGTTGTGTTGTGTGGTTTTAAACTGCTTTTAACAGTATCCCAGTTACATAACGGTGTCAGCTTAATGTGGGAGGAAAGAGATGCAGGTCTCAGATGCTCATCACTATAGTGAAAGCCACAAGCACAGGTATGGTGCTGACAAACCTAGAAACATAACTGAGGTGAACAGGGATTCAAACCCACTGTCAGAGGTTCCTGGCATGCCCACATGGCCACCTGGTGACAGTCAAATACACCTCACCTGTCACAGACTACAACTGTCTCAGATCTCACGTGTCTCAGATCTCACCTATCACACATCTCACCTGACACACATCTCACCTATCACACTTATCACCTGACACACATCTCACCTATCACACTTATCACCTGACACACATCTCACCTGTCACACATCTCACCTGACACACATCTCACCTGTCACACATCTCACCTGACACACATCTCACCTGACACACATCTCACCTGTCTGTAATGCATCGTCCAGGTCATCAGCAACTTTGCTGCGCTGTGCCACATATTTTGGGTCGTCAAAGTTGTGCTGTGGCCGCGCTCTCTTCCGTGCCAACCTCTCCTGACGCTTCTCTTCCTTCTCTCGCTCCCGATCTGCCTGCTTGCCGAGCCAGTCCTTCAGTCTGTGGACGCGCACAAGTGGCTTACAATTATGGAGTTACATTTAGGCTGGACTAACGAGTCATGCATAGTTCAATTAAATTTGCGTAACAAACCAGACATCAGGTTCATAAACAACATGGATTTCCATAAGCAAATTTTGGTCGACTGCAGGATTTGCAAAGTATGTGTACCACCTACTGGGTGTCGACAGATGCTGGGCAAACATAGAAGGGACATAACTTGTAATAGCCACTGGTGGCACCATGATCGAGCCTGAAAATTCCAGCCTAGTTCAGCAAGGGTGGAAACTGGACTTTTATAGTCAGTTGAAGTCCTTGCCTCGGGAAGATGAGGTATTCATTTGCAGGTGTTCATACAGATGATATGTGAATGTTTATTCTTCTCTGCCTTGACTTTGTGGTTCAAGTCAGGTGGACACTCGAGCCTGCGCAACATACACCTGGCCACTGCATGGTCATGGCGTTACAGTTACTCAAGTGGATATGTGTGTATATGTAGTAGAGGGCCGGGAAGGGGGATGGGGGGGGGTTGGGGGGTTTCCAATGGTTCCAGCAGCTGAGTACATACTTCTTCTCATTGTTGACGTCTCTCATCCGACGCCCACTCAGATCCCGACATGCTTCTCTGCTCGTTGTCTTTTCAATCTGAGCTCCGATTGCTCGCAGCATAGACCCAAAACCTGGAACATAGAACTGTCATTACTAATAGATGTATCATTGATCTGGGTGTGAGAAATAATGCAATACCATGACATTGCCAGTTAACATGTATCTCATAAGAGCGTGATACACACACATCTGCAAAAATAATCAGGTTTATAACAAAACCATGCAAAAGTTTCTTTAGCATGAAATGAAATGTGATTCAATACATTTTGTGTATAAAATGACAATAATGGCATTGCCAGTGAAAGAAAACATATGTTTCCTGATGTATATTTACTTATCACTGAGGATCAATCAGAAACTCCATAGGGCAAGGGTCCTAAATTGAGCCTTTGTATACACTTCAGTAGCCATGTCACAGTTACCTCCCTTCCCTGCCAGCAGTCGTGGGACACAGTGATAAACTTGGCCTTCAGTCACATCCTCCTGATCCTGCGAGATGCGACCGTTACATGTCACATAGAAACCCGTCTCTTGAAATAACTGCAACATCACAGAAAACACTCATGTTCAGTAATCATGAAGGCAAAACAAAGATTCAGAGGTCATACTTCTAGATCAATCTGAATGAGAGCAAGTAGTTTTGTATTGAATATTTGTGTGTACTTTAATCATAAGTAGTTTATTTCACATAAAGTAGATAGGGTAACTAGAAATCAATAGTACTCTGTATCCTATGTAAATGGTAAGTTATTGTTTTTCACTTTTCTCCATCTTATTGGTTTTTAGTTGCTTAAGAAATATTCATAGTTTTCTCTCTAATCTCGAGAAAACTGTAAAACATCCCTAAATGCCTGACATGCTACTTGCAACACCAAACACGAGGCAAATTGCGCCTCTACAATGACATCCCAACAATGCATTCATAACGCTCCTTCTGGGCGCCATCTTTACTCGGAATGTACCCTCGTTACACTTTGATGTACGCAAATTTACTGAGTGTTGCATGTTCACATCACTATGTACCATGGTTCATGGCTATTAGCTGCTATTCCGCAATTTCATGGCTAAAATGATTGAGCCAGTACAAAGACTTTTCCCAATAAACGCTGAATTGATGAGGATAAGTCACAGTTCATGGGATACTATCATACGACTATCCTCATAACACCGATGTTATTGTGATATATGTTATGACATGTTATTTTCATACAAAGTAGTTTTTGAAAACATTTGTGACCACAGCTACACAAGCCAAGAAAGACAGGAATCATACATCTTTGCTGGTGAAAATAAGATAAGGTACCTTTGAAAGTAACACATCTTTCACGTCAGATATCTTGTGCAAATGAGAAGAGATCACAAAAGTTTGTCGTGGAAAGGAATGAATAACTAAGAGTGGCGAAGACATTGTGATGTCGCAGTTGACTTCGACGAGTCGCCTTCTGACCGTCGCAGTAATAAACCGGAAGTAAGATAAACACAAGTAGAGCCTCGATGTGGAGATGGTAACGTAAGACACGAGTCAATCACTTCCGCTCAAAGTGAGAAGAGCGCGGGGTTCAAAAATGTGAACGACATTACACAGATTTTGCTCTTTCTTACGATGGCGGTTCTTCCGATCTTTTTATTCTTTAACTTTGTGATTTGTCTGATTACCTGCACGACCCCGGACAAGGAACAGACAAGCAACTCGTGTTTCACTGCAAGAGCGTCTGTTAACATTATGCAACATCGAAAGAAAGCGTTTGATGAGTACCAAGAAGTGGGGAAAGTGTTGATCAGTGTCATTCCTACCAAATTTGAGGATATCCACACTTATGTGAGGAAACTATATTTCAGGAGTTTTGGCGAGACGTTTCATCTTATTCTAAGGAGATATTCAATATTTCATAGAGACATGCAGTTGCTGGCGGGTAGCGAGCAACCAATAGAAGTAAATGCCATGAAGAATTACTTGCCGATAATATATGTAGGCCTATCTTCACATGCTGACACTTCCCCAGCATATATATCACTTGGAAAACTTGTTGGCAAGGAATTTGAATTATTCATTCACACAGGAAATATGTCTTACTCTCTCGAGTGTTATCTTAAAGACAATGACAATATCTTGTATTCTACATATGGATTTATGCAACATACTATGGATAAATGTCGCGTTTATCGATGGCACAACCCTAAAATGTCCAAGGTTATGAGAGGAGTTGACAGTTGTGACTTGAAATCAAGAAAGTTTAAAGATTTTAGGTACAAGACTATGCCAGAAAACACAGAGTATGCCCCACAAAAGGGTCTGCATGGCGGACAGGCTGAAAGAAGTTCAACACCTCCAACAGGAAACTGTGTAATTAAGCTTGTGGCGGATCACCTGTACTTCAAACATGTTGGTAAAGGTGACGTCAGAAAAACCATTGCAGAAATGGCTGTGAGTTTGGCTGAGGCTGACATGATGTTTCGGCAGACTGACTTTGATGGTGATGGAGTTGGGGACAATATAGGCTTCAAAGTAGGAAATATCACTATTTACAAAGAATACCAGGAGTACAGCTTGAAGGATGAAAATATGGATGTGTACACCTACCTGGACAGATTCTCTGAATATGACTTCAGTGATTATTGTTTAGGAGTGGCGTATACTTACAGAGACTTTGAGGATAATATTGTAGGACTTGCATGGATTGGTAGTTCCAATGCAAATGGAGCTGCAGGTGGAATATGCCAAAGAAGAATTTGGTATCGACCTGACAAGAAATACTATAGCTTTAACACAGCACTGGTCACACAACTTAATAATGGCAATATGATTTCGTCTTACTCAGCAGGTTTGATCCTTGCTCATGAATTTGGACATAGTTTTGGCAGCAGCCATGATCCTAAAGGAAATTCATCTTGTTCCCCTGGTGGTCATTTTGGCAACTACTTAATGTACCCCTACACAAGTGATGGTAATCTGGCCAACCATCGACGCTTGTCTTTCTGCAGCATCAACAGCATTTTCCCTGTGCTGGTGAAGAAGAGCGTGGGTTGTTTCAAGGCCGATTTGGGTCCAGTTTGTGGCAACTCCCTTGTAGAGGACTCGGAGGAGTGTGACTGTGGAGTGTCGGATGATGTTTGTCAGGACATTGATCCATGCTGTACTCCCCAGCACCCTTCCATCTCCACATCTGACCCCCCCTGCAGAGTGCGGAACTCCTGGGGCTATCAGTGTTCCCCCAAGGTCTCTCCCTGCTGCACCGCAAACTGCAAGTATGTCAGTTCCCAGGGTAGCACTGTGTGTCAACATGCCACGGAGTGTCAACTGGCCGCCACTTGTCAGCCTGGAAATGGTACCTGCCCGTCCCCGACACATCAGCCCGATGGAACGCTGTGCGACGCAGGACGGAGGCTGTGCAGGGGAGGGAGATGCCAGGACAGCGTGTGTGTGTCTCTCGGTCTCCAGGAATGTCAATGTTCCAGATCATTGCGAGATGCGTGCTTCGTCTGCTGCATCGCAACCAACATCAGCAGCTGCGACTGCTCCCCCATCAGCACCTATCAGAGTGACAAAACTCACCTATTTCGGCATAAAGGTGATCCGTGTTTTAAATATGAAGGATTCTGTGATGAAGCTGGTCAGTGCATTCTGAGTAGTAGGAGTATCTATGATGACCTTAATAAACTGTTTGCTGAGGAAACTGTAGTAAATGTTGGCATCTGGTTCGGTAAATATTGGTATTACATAATCATGGGCATTCTCATAGCTACAGCTCTTGCAGTCATTGTATCACTGTTTTTCAAACAGAAACCAGATGAACACACCGAGGCAATGAGAATTGGCAAACTAACATCTGCACTGGCTCATGTAGAGCAAATGAAAACCATGTTCGAAGAAAAGCTGGAGGACTGTGAAGAAATATTTGAGAGTGTATCTAGTCAGTTGCCATGGCAGCAGATGTCTCTGACGGAGGCTGTTGCCAGGCTGACGGTATTATTCCCTACAGCCCCACTCTCCCTACTCATCAAGACAGCCAAGTCCAGCTCCTCAGAAGATTTTGCTGTCAAAATGTTGCTTGTGAGGAATTTCCCTGTGCAAAGGTTTAGTGTAACTTGGCCTTCAGAGGAGGCCAAATCTCTCACATTGATCAGGTCAAAACATGCAGTGTCTGCCTGAAAGATTACCTTCTTAAAAGCAAAACAACACTGTAGTTCTCAGGGGTTTCCGAGTAACTATTCAGAGTTGGGGCCTGGAGGAGGAAGCAGTGTAAGGAGGGCCCTGATCCAGCATTCTTGGTGCTACATCAGGGACGTAATGCGAAGATGACTTTGTGCAAGGTCACTCATGAAGAAGACATGACACACTGGAATGGCAAAAATGTGTATAATTTCTGCAGAGCATTGGATGGATAAACGATTGGTTCAGATGACGAGTTAAATGGAATATTGGCATGAATGTGGTTTGTTCCTGTGCTAGCCATGGCTGTGTCTTAGTTCAGAAATTTGTTTGGTATTGTGTTGTTTGTTTTGTAAATCATAAACTAAATGTCTCAACTCCTTGTATCAAGAATGTCAGTGACATGGTCAAGTCCCCAGTCCCAAAAGCGCATGGCTAGACCTCAGTATCCTGGATACCTGCTGCCATTTTGATGAGGGATGGGTGCAAGCTCCTGCCTTAGTAGAGTTTTTTTTAAAGTTGGTCAGCTGCCACTTGTAGCCGTTCCACTTAATTGATGCTGGACTTGCCTCCAAAACAAGTCCACGTAATAAAAGCTTTCAAAAGTATTAAAATGTTATTTTGAGTTAACAAAGTTACTGACTATGTTTGTTGAAATGTGACTGATGCATGTTACTATTATAGAAATCATATTCTTTCATGTTGTCTTTTGTTTTGTTTATGAGGACCTGAGAAGATTCAGGGTAGAATAGGTCATCAGCAACCCAGGCTTGCTGTAAAAGGTGACTATGCTTGTCGTAAGAGGCGACTCACAGGATCGTGTGGTCATGCTCGTTGACATGGTTGATGCATGTCATCGTATCCATTTGCGTTGATCGATGCTCATGAAATCAATCACTGGACTGTCTGGTCCAGACTTGATAATTTACAGACCGCCTCCATATAGTTGGATTATTGCTGAGTGCGGCATTAAACAACAAACAACATTGAGACTGTCAGAATTAGTTGACTTGCATTGAGATACCATGGTTTGTTGTTTGATCTCTCACACTGAGACTACATGCCAGTGGACACCACACTGAGACACCACACTGAGACACCATGTCAGTGTACACCACACTGAGACACCATGCAAGGGGACACCACACTGAGACACCATGTCAGTGGACACCACACTGAGACAACCTGTCAGTGGACACCACACTGAGACACCCTGTCAGTGGACACCACACTGAGACAACCTGTCAGTGGACACCACACTGAGACAACCTGTCAGTGGACACCACACTGAGACACCGTCAGTGGACACCACACTGAGACAACCTGTCAGTGGACACCACACTGAGACACTGTCAGTGGACACCACACTGAGACAACCTGTCAGTGGACACCACACTGAGACACCGTGTCAGTGGACACCACACTGAGACACCGTCAGTGGACACCACACTGAGACACCGTCAGTGGACACCACACTGTCAGTACTTGGAACAGTCTGAATGTGGGATTAATGTGTCACAGACTTCCATGTCTTTCCAATCAATGCAAATTATGAAATGTACTTTGAGAAAAAAAGTCTAAGGCACTAAAATTTTTATTCATCATAAAAGGACAATCAAATGATTTAAAAATACATTTCCGTGAATGGCCAAGGTGAAGTAGTAGTATTTACACATGGAGCAGATCAACGAGCAGAACCACTAAAAATACAAATAAACAGTAAAATTATGGATATTACATATATCATCCATGTTTTCAGATTACATTCCCAGATCTCTGTGACCATTACACAGTCAGACAACCTAAAATCATGGACAATAAAACCGTTGGACTAAAACAAATATATATATATATATATATATTAATTATGCGTGCCTACATATAAACGGTAAATAGCACTGTCCAGAAGGGAGGCCTGTGCACTGGTAACAACTGCAGGACAATAGCCGCTTAAAATCAAATGCACTTGACTTTAATATCATATGAACTCTGAATTATTTACAAGAATATTCATGGTTGTAAAACACTGTCTGATTCTGCTGTTGATGAACATGAATTAATTTTTCATAAATCCATAATCAGTAGCAGATCTGTATACTGAATAAGATTCATAATGTACAAATAAAACACAATCCATTCATTTTCATTCAAGCATCATCAAGAAAAGACTGAGTAACACACCATTAAGTGTATACATGTGTTGGATCTATCGCCATTCAATCTGGCCGATAGATCCGTGCTGCCTTGACACCGTGCCATTCAAGCTGGCCGATAGATCCGTGCTGCCTTGACACCGTGCCATTCAAGCTGGCCGATAGATCCGTGCTGCCTTGACACCGTGACACACTGTGAGATGGGGGGAGGGAGTACCTTGTGACTGGGTGGAGGGGCTTAGGGAAGGGAGAGTGATTGTTGGGGGGGGGGGGTAGGTAGGTTGTGATGAGGATGAGGGGTGATGAGGATAAGGGTGTGGTTGAGGTCTCATGGTAGTGATGGGGGAATATGGTGAATGGTTAGGATGACAGTTGAGTCTTGTGATTCAGTGCGTGACAATCTGCCTCGTTCCATCAAGCCTTCCCTCCCTTCTGGCTGGCCTCCAGCTCCTCCCTTACTGGCAGGAAGGGGATGCAGAGGCTGAACAGATCGTTGAAGAATGTGCCGTCGTTGTCTCCTCCCCCGAAGATGATGACCTCGTCCTCCTCCTGGTTCTCATGGCTGTACGGCAGACAGATGGAGAGGTGGCCAGCCCTGGCAGTGGGCGCACCGTCAACACGGATACAGCTCCAGCTCCTCTCCACTGAAAGCAGAAGTCAGCTGATATAAGTGGTGGGACAATACACCGATGCATCGGTGGACCGCGATATCTTACTAGTTACTAGTTAAAAATATTGATTCATACCTTAAATGTTTACTTTAATGCCTGTTACACCAAACACTAATTATTAGTGAAAATTATTAGTGAAAATTAAATATTGTCATCCATTGCCCCATACTTGATACTGCCTGTCAGTGTGCCAGGTATTTGACTATCCTGAAGATGTAATCATGACACAGCCCCAAACGCTTGGCTCCACATGCGAGATACTTTTGCATGTGTTGATGTACCAGACACACACCCTCCCCTTCCCATATGGTTGGACTGTATTGATGTCTTACCTAGGTTGAAGATGTGGGTGTCGTCCAGTGCGTTGTTGCCGTCATACCCGCCATGGATGAGGATGCGGTTGTTGCTGAGAGCGCAGGAAGCATGCCAACTGAAACAAGACCATTTGTAAAGCGAGACGATAGATTTGTGGAGACCACATCAATTGAAACAAAATCCATGTCAGAATCTACAAAATGATGAAGCCAGTCCTGCCCCATGAAGATCCAGGGTAGAATCTGTCTTTAGCAAACATGCTTGTCGTAAGAGGCGACTCAAGGGATCAGGGGTGGGGTGTCAGGGGTGGGGTGTCAGGGGTGGGGTGTCAGGGGTGGGGTGTCAGGCACGCAGACTTGGTTTGCTGCACGTCATTGTATCCCAATTTATGTGGATTAATGCTCATGATATCAATCACTGGGTTGTCTGGTCCAGACTTATAGAGCTGGAATATTGCGGTGGCGTTAAAAAAACAACAAACAAAAACTTGTACAGCTGGAATATTGCTGAGAGCAGCGTTAAACAAGAAGCAAACAAACAAACAAGCAAACAGTGTAACTTCCATTGTATGAGCATAACCATAACATCTGAAACTGTAGCTTCCGGTCAGGTTCATCCTATAGCCTCACCTTCGTGCTTTTGGTGGCATCCCCTTGACCTCTGGCTTGGACCAATCAACAGTACCTGAAAACAAGGTCAAATGTCAGTTTGGGGGGTCAAGGCTGTTTTACAGCAGCAGGGGTCACATAGTTTCACAATAAAATATTTCGGATATTATATCAACCGTCCTTCAGCTCAGGTCGACTGTCACTAGACACCAGTGGATCACAAGATGGCCTCACCCAAATCAAGGATGTTTAGATCTACTCACCCAAAACAAGGATGTTAAGATCCACTCACCCGAATCAAGGATGTTAAGATCCACTCACCCAAATCAAGGATGTTTAGATCCACTCTCCCAAATCAAGGATGTTAAGATCCACTCTCCCAAATCAAGGATGTTTAGATCCACTCTCCCAAATCAAGGATGTTAAGATCCACTCACCCAAATCAAGGATGTTAAGATCCACTCACCCAAATCAAGGATGTTAAGATCCACTCACCCAAATCAAGGATGTTTAGATCCACTCTCCCAAATCAAGGATGTTAAGATCCACCCACCCAAATCAAGGATGTTAAGATCCACTCTCCCAAATCAAGGATGTTTAGATCCACTCTCCCAAATCAAGGATGTTAAGATCCACTCTCCCAAATCAAGGATGTTTAGATCCACTCACCCAAATCAAGGATGTTAAGATCCACTCTCCCAAATCAAGGATGTTAAGATCCACTCACCCAAATCAAGGATGTTAAGATCCACTCTCCCAAATCAAGGATGTTAAGATCCACTCTCCCAAATCAAGGATGTTAAGATCCACTCTCCCAAATCAAGGATGTTAAGATCCACTCTCCCAGATCAAGGATGTTAAGATCCACTCTCCCAAATCAAGGATGTTAAGATCCACTCTCCCAAATCAAGGATGTTAAGATCCACTCTCCCAAATCAAGGATGTTAAGATCCACTCTCCCAAATCAAGGATGTTAAGATCCACTCTCCCAAATCAAGGATGTTTAGATCCACTCACCCAAATCAAGGATGTTAAGATCCACTCTCCCAAATCAAGGATGTTAAGATCCACTCACCCAAATCAAGGATGTTAAGATCCACTCTCCCAAATCAAGGATGTTAAGATCCACTCTCCCAAATCAAGGATGTTAAGATCCACTCTCCCAAATCAAGGATGTTAAGATCCACTCTCCCAAATCAAGGATGTTAAGATCCACTCTCCCAGATCAAGGATGTTAAGATCCACTCTCCCAAATCAAGGATGTTAAGATCCACTCTCCCAAATCAAGGATGTTTAGATCCACTCACCCAGATCAAGGATGTTAAGATCCACTCTCCCAAATCAAGGATGTTAAGATCCACTCTCCCAAATCAAGGATGTTAAGATCCACTCTCCCAAATCAAGGATGTTTAGATCCACTCACCCAAATCAAGGATGTTAAGATCCACTCTCCCAAATCAAGGATGTTAAGATCCACTCACCCATATCAAAGATTTTCAGATCAACTCACCCATATCCAGAATGTATAAGTCGTTGAAGCAGATCGGGGCGTCCCATCCTCCAAACACAACCAACTGGTCCTTGATGAGCGTGGCGGAATGTCTGCAGACAAGATGGGTACACAGGACATCAGGAATGTGGTCACAAAATAATCACTTGAAATTAGAGCCATTCTTCAGTATATCAATATAATTTTCCTCCGATAAACAAAAACAAGTTAGCAGACGAGGGAGCAACTGTTTTAGGCTGTAACACTACTTTACTGTAGAGATTGGGAGTATCTTGAACCACCCCTTCCCAATACCTGACTGACGGATGGACTTCTCACTAAGTCACCACTCCAATCCATAAAAAAAAACCTCACCGCAAACACTTCATCAACACAACACTGACATGCGTTGTCACGTACCCGGAGCGAGGTGCAGGTTTATCCCCGGTGACGATGGGGCAGTACCAGTTCTCCATGACTGGGCTGAAGATGTGGATCTCATTACTGCAACCATCGGGGTTTGGGTCAGGTCGGGGATACACCCCCCCAAATATCCACAGCTCATGGCGGTACAGTGTCGCGCTGTGGTAGGATCTCGTTGGGGCTTTGCCGTTAACCTGAGTGAGGAAGAGAAGAGTTACACCGGCGTCTCATCTGGAGACAATGTTAGACTACTCGTCACACAACATATTGTCAAATACTATACTCAGTAGGGATTGTCCTGGGACAGAGGTTAGACTGGGTGAGACCTCAGCTTAACGCCTGAATTGTCTGCCTGTATAACAGTATCAGTATGATAGGCTGATTGTGTCACGTTTTGTCACCACGGGAACTGTGCAAGATTTCTAAGGCTGGCTGACTTTTTAACGATTATCAAAATGAAAATTGTCATTGATTATACTTTACCTAACATAAACTTTTGTGACATCAAAGTTGTAATGTACCGAAAACAGACCTGTTATTGTCAATTGCCTGAGACAGAAGCAATCTGCTGATCACAAGAAACTGAGTGATGACACTACTTGCTATTCATGTACTATTTTCCTAACTCATACTCTTAGTAAAGCTAAATACTGAAAATAGAATTCCTTAATTGAGATTTACGAATTGGTTAACAATTCCCTGAGCAAAAGAATCTCAAACCATGCCGACATCTGCCTTCAGTCCTGTATGTGATTACAGCTGGCAACTGCTAAATGATGCTTTGGCATTCATATTCGGAAATGAAGCCATAAAAATACAATATAAACTTGTCTATCGATGATTGACAGATATTAGGTGAACAATTATCCATCTGTATAATCTATATAGCCAGCCATAACGATGTCAGAGCTTCGACTGTTAACTTTCTGACATCTTCAGTGGTAGAAACTAACAGTTTTAGTCCACTTGTCCTTTTAATAACATGACCGCAAACCCCCCAAACTGGCAAATTTCTCTTTGTCCTTCTGATATCTTGACTAGTGAGCAATTTGGCAAGGACTACAGGACGAGTGCCAATTTCTTATGCTGATCTTAATAATGCAACATTATCGTCTGTCCCCCCACCCCTCAGTGAAGGTGGAGACATTATCGTCTGTCCCCCCAACCCTCAGTGAAGGCGGAGACATTATCGTCTGTCCTCCCACCCCCCAGTGAAGGCGGAGACATTATCGTCTGTCCCCCCACCCCCCAGTGAAGGCAGAGACATTATCGTCTGTCCCCCCACCCCTCAGTGAAGGCGGAGACATTATCGTCTGTCCCCCCACCCCCCAGTGAAGGCAGAGACATTATCGTCTGTCCCCCCACCCCTCAGTGAAGGCGGAGACATTATCGTCTGTCCCCCCACCCCCCAGTGAAGGCAGAGACATTATCGTCTGTCCCCCCACCCCTCAGTGAAGGCGGAGACATTATCGTCTGTCCTCCCACCCCCCAGTGAAGGCAGAGACATTATCGTCTGTCCCCCCACCCCCCAGTGAAGGCAGAGACATTATCGTCTGTCCCCCCACCCCTCAGTGAAGGCGGAGACATTATCGTCTGTCCCCCCACCCCCCAGTGAAGGCAGAGACATTATCGTCTGTCCCCCCACCCCCCAGTGATGGCGGAGACATTATCTAACTCTGGTCAATCACCTTGATGAGCTGCCACTTCCACTCGTCCACATCCAACATATGCACGTCATGGAACCACTTCAGGTTTTTAGATCCCCCATATACATATATACACCGCGCCGTGGGGTCGTAGGTGGCGCTGTGTCCCATGCGGTACTCAGTCTTCTGACCTTCCACTGTCAACTCTGGCGACCTCCATCGCCGGGTGTCTGCAAAACAACACAAGCTACACAAAACAACCCAACACAACCTGTCACGACACAACCCGAAACAACACAACCCAAGCTTAACAAACCGGGCTAAGGGGCGCTGCAATATTGAAGCATGTTTCAGAAATACCTGGTGACAGTCACCTATTGAAGCAAGGCTGACTATGTATACGTAAACTACGGTTGGATGATTGAACATTTTCATAGACCAAATTTGTGAACGGCAAAACAAACACACAAACTCCTATTGCCGCCATGACCATAACATGAGATGCTCAGTAAAACACTGTGCATGAAAAGGGAAGTAACTGCGCACTACATTGGATCACATTTTTTAAAGTTTTGTAGAATTTCACTGCCAGGGTCATGTGTTTGAGATGCTGAATATTTAAGAATTTAAAAAAAAAAAAAAATGAAAATAAAAATAAAAAACATGCGGCAGACTTTGATGTGGGCTGTGCCTGAGAACCAAGACTATCAGCTAGTGATGTCAAGAGATAAATGTGGGGGGTCTGCCTTTATCAAGGGGGTGCAATATCCGTAGCACTGAGTACCTGGGTCGAGCGTCCACACTGCGTCGCGGCTCAGTTGCTGCCGATCACCCTGGCCACCGACCAAGACTGCGCGGTTGTTGTGGATCATGCACATGGACGACCCCCATCGGCTGCTGGGACTCGGAGCTGAAGACACAACACACACATACAAACAACCTAGAACATTGTGCATACAAAACTTACATACAGAAGTCTCATCCTGATGTCACGTCATGAGAGTTAGCAATAGGGCGGGGACGGTACACCAACTGTGTGATCCGATACATAGCACGATACTTGCATGTGCTCTTATCTGTGCTGAGTAAGCATCTTTTCCATCTTTTTAACCTGGACAGTGATGGTTTACAGTTGTCAGTGTCAAGTCAGGCACAGTGGAATATCACAATGCTTCAGTGTCCGGTAAGGCACAATGGAATATCGCAATGCTTCAGTGTCAAGTCAGGCACAATGGAATATCACAATGCTTCAGTGTCAAGTCAGGCACAATGGAATATCACAATGCTTCAGTGTCAAGTCAGGCACAATGGAATATCACAATGCTTCAGTGTCAAGTCAGGCACAATGGAATATCACAATGCTTCAGTGTCAAGTCAGGCACAATGGAATATCACAATGCTTCAGTGTCAAGTCAGGCACAATGGAATATCACAATGCTTCAGTGTCAAGTCAGGCACAGTGGAATATCACAATGCTTCAGTGTCAAGTCAGGCACAGTGGAATATCACAATGCTTCAGTGTCAAGTCAGGCACAATGGAATATCACAATGCTTCAGTGTCAAGTCAGGCACAATGGAATATCACAATGCTTCAGTGTCAAGTCAGGCACAATGGAATATCGCAATGCTTCAGTGTCAAGTCAGGCACAATGGAATATCGCAATGCTTCAGTGTCAAGTCAGGCACAATGGAATATCGCAATGCTTCAGTGTCAAGTCAGGCACAATGGAATATCGCAATGCTTCAGTGTCAAGTCAGGCACAGTGGAATATCGCAATGCTTCAGTGTCAAGTCAGGCACAATGGAATATCACAATGCTTCAGTGTCAAGTCAGGCACAATGGAATATCACAATGCTTCAGTGTCAAGTCAGGCACAATGGAATATCACAATGCTTCAGTGTCAAGTCAGGCACAATGGAATATCGCAATGCTTCAGTGTCCAGTCAGGCACAATGGAATATCGCAATGCTTCAGTGTCAAGTCAGGCACAGTGGAATATCACAATGCTTCAGTGTCAAGTCAGGCACAGTGGAATATCGCAATGCTTCAGTGTCAAGTCAGGCACAGTGGAATATCGCAATGCTTCAGTGTCAAGTCAGGCACAATGGAATATCGCAATGCTTCAGTGTCAAGTCAGGCACAATGGAATATCGCAATGCTTCAGTGTCAAGTCAGGCACAATGGAATATCACAATGCTTCAGTGTCAAGTCAGGCACAGTGGAATATCGCAATGCTTCAGTGTCAAGTCAGGCACAATGGAATATCACAATGCTTCAGTGTCAAGTCAGGCACAATGGAAAATCGCAATGCTTCAGTGTCAAGTAAGGCACAGTGGAATATCGCAATGCTTCAGTGTCAAGTCAGGCACAGTGGAATATCACAATGCTTCAGTGTCAAGTAAGGCACAGTGGAATATCGCAAAGCTTCAGTGTCAAGTCAGGCACAATGGAATATCACAATGCTTCAGTGTCAAGTCAGGCACAATGGAATATCACAATGCTTCAGTGTCAAGTCAGGCACAATGGAATATCGCAATGCTTCAGTGTCAAGTCAGGCACAATGGAATATCGCAATGCTTCAGTGTCAAGTCAGGCACAATGGAATATCACAATGCTTCAGTGTCAAGTAAGGCACAATGGAATATCGCAATGCTTCAGTGTCAAGTCAGGCACAGTGGAATATTGCAATGCTTCAGTGTCAAGTCAGGCACAGTGGAATATCGCAATGCTTCAGTGTCAAGTAAGGCACAATGGAATATCACAATGCTTCAGTGTCAAGTCAGGCACAACGGAATATCGCAATGCTTCAGTGTCAAGTAAGGCACAATGGAATATCGCAATGCTTCAGTGTCAAGTCAGGCACAGTGGAATATCGCAATGCTTCAGTGTCAAGTAAGGCACAATGGAATATCGCAATGCTTCAGTGTCAAGTAAGGCACAATGGAATATCGCAATGCTTCAGTGTATCGCCCCACTAATAGTGAGTCACAAACTTACCAGTGATGAGCAGCTGTAACCCACGCCATCTTGTCACCCATTGAATGAAACAAGGAATGAATCTTGGCTATATTTAGGGTGGTCGGGTAGCCCAGTGGTCAAAGCGTTCGCTCGTCATGTCGAAGACCTGGGTTCTATTCCTGACATGGTTACAATGTGTGAAGCCCATTTCTGGTGTCCCCCGCCTTGCTATTACTGGAATATTGCTAAAAGCGGCGTAAAACCAAACTCCCTCACTCACCTATATTGAATGTAAAGACCGAGTTGATCTTGTCGCCATAGCAACAGATCCTTGTATCTTTGAGTCAATATCTCCAGATAAATCTGTGGCCACATGGGAATTCTCAAAATAAAATACCATAAATCTTCCAAGTTAAAGAGAGCGTGAATTAAATGTGAAAAAATTGAGGTCTTTGCGCGCATTAATTAACTTTGCATTTATTTCTCCAAAATGACTACCAACAATAAGACGGCCTCACTGCACACGTTGGATAGTGGATATACCAACTTGAATATAAACACAAACACGGTTTATTTAGCAGCAGTTGTAACAAGTATATAACAATGTCATTCAAAGAATAGGAATTACACAATGGGCATCCGGTGAGTTATCACTGCTTGGGTCAAGAGTTCTACCCACTTGCGTCAAGCTTGTTGACACCTTCTCCGCATACCAATCAGTGAACTGTTGTTGGTTCCATTGTTTTAGTACTTCCTCAATGCCAGTCAACAGAGTAAACCAATCTCATTACAATCAGATCTTAGTTCTCGCTGCCGCTAAACAAAGATCTGAGGACATCCCATTAGGGGTCATGTCAGAATGACCTTTCATCCGACCAATCAAAGCGTCGCTTACCAGATCATGAAAGTGACAGTCGGAATGGGATTTCTAATCATGCATCCTCAAAACCTTTATCACAGGGTATTCTGAACTATTGTTACGGGCTTAACGACTATTAGCCATTCTAGAATGTTCTTTTGTTCAGGTTTCAAACTTTTAATTGAGAATTTGTCAAAACATGTTTTGAAGCGAAGTCGCCGAGAGAGAGACACATTGATATTGAGTCGCTAGACTAGGGGTCAGCAGTTGTATAAATTTGGAAACGCATTAATTTCAAGATTTACAGTACTCGGCCGGATAACAGGAAGACATCTGACCTCCATGACCATGAACGCTATGTTTCAAAACCTGGACACTTAATTCACTCTAGAGCTGAAACTCGTCTAAATGTGAACATACCCCTGATTGAGACATCTTTACACCGTGAGAGTCTTGGACCAGTCTTGGGCAGTATGGCAGAATTGTTGACTCGGAGTACAGGTGTTCCTACAGTTTCAGAATTCTTCTTGCCATATTTCTTTGGAGTTTTGAATTCATTCTTCAGAGCCCTCATCCTAGTGTTCAGTTTCTGTTTGCGTGCGCTGGGAGCCTCCGGAGTCTCGTCTGTGCTCTCACGGCCGCGCTTCTTCTGTTTCCGTGGCAACGGCGAGGGTGTGGACAGCTGCAACAAGACCTGGAGTCTAGATACATGTACACAATGTACTGTCTGAATGTAGGAACATCACCTGCAGACAGCCTACACTTCAAGACCTGGAGTCTAGATACATGTACACAATGTACTGTCTGAATGTAGGAACATCACCTGCAGACAGCCTACACTTCAAGACCGGGAGTCTAGACACATGTACACAATGTATTGTCTGAATGTAGGAACATCACCTGCAGACAGCCTACACTTCAAGACCTGGAGTCTAGATACATGTACACAATGTATTGTCTGAATGTAGGAACATCACCTGCAGACAGCCTACACTTCAAGACCGGGAGTCTAGATACATGTACACAATGTACTGTCTGAATGTAGGAACATCACCTGCAGACAGCCTACACTTCAAGACCTGGAGTCTAGATACATGTACACAATGTACTGTCTGAATGTAGGAACATCACCTGCAGACAGCCTACACTTCAAGACCTGGAGTCTAGATACATGTACACAATGTATTGTCTGAATGTAGGAACATCACCTGCAGACAGCCTACACTTCAAGACCGGGAGTCTAGATACATGTACACAATGTACTGTCTGAATGTAGGAACATCACCTGCAGACAGCCTACACTTCAAGACCGGGAGTCTAGATACATGTACACAATGTACTGTCTGAATGTAGGAACATCACCTGCAGACAGCCTACACTTCAAGACCTGGAGTCTAGATACATGTACACAATGTACTGTCTGAATGTAGGAACATCACCTGCAGACAGCCTACACTTCAAGACCTGGAGTCTAGATACATGTACACAATGTACTGTCTGAATGTAGGAACATCACCTGCAGACAGCCTACACTTCAAGACCTGGAGTCTAGATACATGTACACAATGTACTGTCTGAATGTAGGAACATCACCTGCAGACAGCCTACACTTCAAGACCTGGAGTCTAGATACATGTACACAATGTACTGTCTGAATGTAGGAACATCACCTGCAGACAGCCTACACTTCAAGACCTGGAGTCTAGATACATGTACACAATGTACTGTCTGAATGTAGGAACATCACCTGCAGACAGCCTACACTTCAAGACCTGGAGTCTAGATACATGTACACAATGTACTGTCTGAATGTAGGAACATCACCTGCAGACAGCCTACACTTCAAGACCTGGAGTCTAGATACATGTACACAATGTATTGTCTGAATGTAGGAACATCACCTGCAGACAGCCTACACTTCAAGACCTGGAGTCTAGATACATGTACACAATGTACTGTCTGAATGTAGGAACATCACCTGCAGACAGCCTACACTTCAAGACCTGGAGTCTAGATACATGTACACAATGTACTGTCTGAATGTCTGAATATCACCTGCAGACAGCCTACACTTCAAGACCTGGAGTCTAGATACATGTACACAATGTACTGTCTGAATGTAGGAACATCACCTGCAGACAGCCTACACTTCAAGACCTGGAGTCTAGATACATGTACACAATGTACTGTCTGAATGTAGGAACATCACCTGCAGACAGCCTACACTTCAAGACCTGGAGTCTAGATACATGTACACAATGTACTGTCTGAATGTAGGAACATCACCTGCAGACAGCCTACACTTCAAGACCTGGAGTCTAGATACATGTACACAATGTACTGTCTGAATGTCTGAATATCACCTGCAGACAGCCTACACTTCAAGACCTGGAGTCTAGATACATGTACACAATGTACTGTCTGAATGTAGGAACATCACCTGCAGACAGCCTACACTTCAAGACCTGGAGTCTAGATACATGTACACAATGTACTGTCTGAATGTAGGAACATCACCTGCAGACAGCCTACACTTCAAGACCTGGAGTCTAGATACATGTACACAATGTACTGTCTGAATGTAGGAACATCACCTGCAGACAGCCTACACTTCAAGACCTGGAGTCTAGATACATGTACACAATGTACTGTCTGAATGTAGGAACATCACCTGCAGACAGCCTACACTTCAAGACCTGGAGTCTAGATACATGTACACAATGTACTGTCTGAATGTCTGAATGTCTGAACATCACCTGCAGACAGCCTACACTTCAAGACCTGGAGTCTAGATACATGTACACAATGTACTGTCTGAATGTAGGAACATCACCTGCAGACAGCCTACACTTCAAGACCGGGAGTCTAGATACATGTACACAATGTACTGTCTGAATGTAGGAACATCACCTGCAGACAGCCTACACTTCAAGACCTGGAGTCTAGATACATGTACACAATGTACTGTCTGAATGTCTGAACATCACCTGCAGACAGCCTACACTTCAAGACCTGGAGTCTAGATACGTGTACACAATGTACTGTCTGAATGTAGGAACATCACCTGCAGACAGCCTACACTTCAAGACCTGGAGTCTAGATACATGTACACAATGTACTGTCTGAATGTAGGAACATCACCTGCAGACAGCCTACACTTCAAGACCTGGAGTCTAGATACATGTACACAATGTACTGTCTGAATGTAGGAACATCACCTGCAGACAGCCTACACTTCAAGACCTGGAGTCTAGATACATGTACACAATGTACTGTCTGAATGTCTGAACATCACCTGCAGACAGCCTACACTTCAAGACCTGGAGTCTAGATACATGTACACAATGTACTGTCTGAATGTAGGAACATCACCTGCAGACAGCCTACACTTCAAGACCTGGAGTCTAGATACATGTACACAATGTACTGTCTGAATGTCTGAACATCACCTGCAGACAGCCTACACTTCAAGACCTGGAGTCTAGATACATGTACACAATGTACTGTCTGAATGTAGGAACATCACCTGCAGACAGCCTACACTTCAAGACCTGGAGTCTAGATACATGTACACAATGTACTGTCTGAATGTAGGAACATCACCTGCAGACAGCCTACACTTCAAGACCTGGAGTCTAGATACATGTACACAATGTACTGTCTGAATGTAGGAACATCACCTGCAGACAGCCTACACTTCAAGACCTGGAGTCTAGATACATGTACACAATGTACTGTCTGAATGTAGGAACATCACCTGCAGACAGCCTACACTTCAAGACCTGGAGTCTAGATACATGTACACAATGTACTGTCTGAATGTAGGAACATCACCTGCAGACAGCCTACACTTCAAGACCTGGAGTCTAGATACATGTACACAATGTACTGTCTGAATGTAGGAACATCACCTGCAGACAGCCTACACTTCAAGACCTGGAGTCTAGATACATGTACACAATGTACTGTCTGAATGTAGGAACATCACCTGCAGACAGCCTACACTTCAAGACCGGGAGTCTAGACACATGTACACAATGTATTGTCTGAATGTAGGAACATCACCTGCAGACAGCCTACACTTCAAGACCTGGAGTCTAGATACATGTACACAATGTACTGTCTGAATGTAGGAACATCACCTGCAGACAGCCTACACTTCAAGACCTGGAGTCTAGATACATGTACACAATGTACTGTCTGAATGTAGGAACATCACCTGCAGACAGCCTACACTTCAAGACCGGGAGTCTAGACACATGTACACAATGTATTGTCTGAATGTAGGAACATCACCTGCAGACAGCCTACACTTCAAGACCTGGAGTCTAGATACATGTACACAATGTACTGTCTGAATGTAGGAACATCACCTGCAGACAGCCTACACTTCAAGACCTGGAGTCTAGATACATGTACACAATGTACTGTCTGAATGTAGGAACATCACCTGCAGACAGCCTACACTTCAAGACCTGGAGTCTAGATACATGTACACAATGTACTGTCTGAATGTAGGAACATCACCTGCAGACAGCCTACACTTCAAGACCTGGAGTCTAGATACATGTACACAATGTACTGTCTGAATGTAGGAACATCACCTGCAGACAGCCTACACTTCAAGACCGGGAGTCTAGACACATGTACACAATGTATTGTCTGAATGTAGGAACATCACCTGCAGACAGCCTACACTTCAAGACCTGGAGTCTAGATACATGTACACAATGTACTGTCTGAATGTAGGAACATCACCTGCAGACAGCCTACACTTCAAGACCTGGAGTCTAGATACATGTACACAATGTACTGTCTGAATGTAGGAACATCACCTGCAGACAGCCTACACTTCAAGACCGGGAGTCTAGACACATGTACACAATGTATTGTCTGAATGTAGGAACATCACCTGCAGACAGCCTACACTTCAAGACCTGGAGTCTAGATACATGTACACAATGTACTGTCTGAATGTAGGAACATCACCTGCAGACAGCCTACACTTCAAGACCTGGAGTCTAGATACATGTACACAATGTACTGTCTGAATGTAGGAACATCACCTGCAGACAGCCTACACTTCAAGACCGGGAGTCTAGACACATGTACACAATGTATTGTCTGAATGTAGGAACATCACCTGCAGACAGCCTACACTTCAAGACCTGGAGTCTAGATACATGTACACAATGTACTGTCTGAATGTAGGAACATCACCTGCAGACAGCCTACACTTCAAGACCTGGAGTCTAGATACATGTACACAATGTACTGTCTGAATGTAGGAACATCACCTGCAGACAGCCTACACTTCAAGACCGGGAGTCTAGACACATGTACACAATGTATTGTCTGAATGTAGGAACATCACCTGCAGACAGCCTACACTTCAAGACCTGGAGTCTAGATACATGTACACAATGTACTGTCTGAATGTAGGAACATCACCTGCAGACAGCCTACACTTCAAGACCTGGAGTCTAGATACATGTACACAATGTACTGTCTGAATGTAGGAACATCACCTGCAGACAGCCTACACTTCAAGACCTGGAGTCTAGATACATGTACACAATGTACTGTCTGAATGTCTGAATGTCTGAACATCACCTGCAGACAGCCTACACTTCAAGACCTGGAGTCTAGATACATGTACACAATGTACTGTCTGAATGTCTGAATGTCTGAACATCACCTGCAGACAGCCTACACTTCAAGACCTGGAGTCTAGATACATGTACACAATGTACTGTCTGAATGTAGGAACATCACCTGCAGACAGCCTACACTTCAAGACCTGGAGTCTAGATACATGTACACAATGTATTGTCTGAATGTAGGAACATCACCTGCAGACAGCCTACACTTCAAGACCTGGAGTCTAGATACATGTACACAATGTACTGTCTGAATGTAGGAACATCACCTGCAGACAGCCTACACTTCAAGACCTGGAGTCTAGATACATGTACACAATGTATTGTCTGAATGTAGGAACATCACCTGCAGACAGCCTACACTTCAAGACCGGGAGTCTAGATACATGTATACAATGTATTGTCTGAATGTAGGAACATCACCTGCAGACAGCCTACACTTCAAGACCTGGAGTCTAGATACATGTACACAATGTACTGTCTGAATGTAGGAACATCACCTGCAGACAGCCTACACTTCAAGACCTGGAGTCTAGATACATGTACACAATGTACTGTCTGAATGTAGGAACATCACCTGCAGACAGCCTACACTTCAAGACCTGGAGTCTAGATACATGTACACAATGTACTGTCTGAATGTAGGAACATCACCTGCAGACAGCCTACACTTCAAGACCTGGAGTCTAGATACATGTACACAATGTACTGTCTGAATGTCTGAACATCACCTGCAGACAGCCTACACTTCAAGACCTGGAGTCTAGATACATGTACACAATGTACTGTCTGAATGTAGGAACATCACCTGCAGACAGCCTACACTTCAAGACCTGGAGTCTAGATACATGTACACAATGTACTGTCTGAATGTAGGAACATCACCTGCAGACAGCCTACACTTCAAGACCGGGAGTCTAGATACATGTATACAATGTATTGTCTGAATGTAGGAACATCACCTGCAGACAGCCTACACTTCAAGACCTGGAGTCTAGATACATGTACACAATGTATTGTCTGAATGTAGGAACATCACCTGCAGACAGCCTACACTTCAAGACCTGGAGTCTAGATACATGTACACAATGTACTGTCTGAATGTAGGAACATCACCTGCAGACAGCCTACACTTCAAGACCTGGAGTCTAGATACATGTACACAATGTACTGTCTGAATGTAGGAACATCACCTGCAGACAGCCTACACTTCAAGACCGGGAGTCTAGATACATGTATACAATGTATTGTCTGAATGTAGGAACATCACCTGCAGACAGCCTACACTTCAAGACCTGGAGTCTAGATACATGTACACAATGTACTGTCTGAATGTAGGAACATCACCTGCAGACAGCCTACACTTCAAGACCTGGAGTCTAGATACATGTACACAATGTACTGTCTGAATGTAGGAACATCACCTGCAGACAGCCTACACTTCAAGACCGGGAGTCTAGATACATGTACACAATGTACTGTCTGAATGTCTGAACATCACCTGCAGACAGCCTACACTTCAAGACCTGGAGTCTAGATACATGTACACAATGTATTGTCTGAATGTAGGAACATCACCTGCAGACAGCCTACACTTCAAGACCTGGAGTCTAGATACATGTACACAATGTACTGTCTGAATGTAGGAACATCACCTGCAGACAGCCTACACTTCAAGACCTGGAGTCTAGATACATGTACACAATGTACTGTCTGAATGTCTGAACATCACCTGCAGACAGCCTACACTTCAAGACCTGGAGTCTAGATACATGTACACAATGTACTGTCTGAATGTAGGAACATCACCTGCAGACAGCCTACACTTCAAGACCTGGAGTCTAGATACATGTACACAATGTACTGTCTGAATGTAGGAACATCACCTGCAGACAGCCTACACTTCAAGACCTGGAGTCTAGATACGTGTACACAATGTACTGTCTGAATGTCTGAACATCACCTGCAGACAGCCTACACTTCAAGACACAATGGAATGTTCAGCTCAGCACTCGACAGGGGTGTGGGTCTGACATGGCATCATGAGCAGCACGGCAAGGGGGCCAATGGCTGGCTGAGGGAGATCCATGTCAAAATAACAATTCCGGTTTAGATAAGCCTTGAAGTTATAACTAAGCAGCAGTCGGTACCAGCCTCTGGCTTTCTGTTCAACATGTTGTAGAATCAGACATAAACCTTGTAGACTCAGCGCAGTGGCTGAAGTAGCAGGCTTATTTTTATTTTGTTAGTTTGTTGTTTAATGCCGCACTCAACATTAATCCAGCTGTATGACGGCGGTCTGGACCAGACAATCCAGAGACATGATGAACATCAATCCACGCAGTTGGGATACAATTACACGCATCAAGCAAGTCAGCGAGTCTGACCACCTGATCCTGTTAGTCGCCTCTTACGTCAAACAGTCGCCTCTTACGGCAAGCATAGGTTGCTGAAGACCTATTCTACCCCGGATCTTCAAACTTAAACCTTTTCCCACATTCCCCAGACAATGTATTATTCCCCAACTGTTGCCGTCTGCCAGCTGACCTGTGGGGTGTTTTCGTTTTCCTCCTGTATGTTCTCCTGCTTCTTGACCACTTCTTCCTCCGTGGTCGGTGTTGCGAGGCTGCTGTCGTAGCTGTGGTCACCCCCCTGCACCTCCACACACAGCTTGGCCAGCGACACAGCGCTGTTGCTGTGTTCCAGCTTTGCTGTGTCCTTGGTCTTCTCCCACAGAATACATCTGCACAAAACGATGCAATCATAAATTATTATTTTCCAAATGTCATCAAAGCCAAAAAAACTGCAAGTAATTCTTCACCTGACTTAGAAAACTAAATGGTCCATTGAGTTTCCAATTTATGAAAATTAGTGTTGTCACTCCAGGATGTGTCCTGATTTGTCTGGACCGGCTCCGAGGCTACTCCTGTTACCATGGTTACGGCCGAGGGTGACCTGTCTACCACAGATAACGGGGTGGACACAACAAAAAGTGAGCAGGCCTCACTAATACCCCGACCTTGACTCCAACATGAGATGAAGAACAATATTGATAATGGAGATATACAGATGCCTTAACATTTCAGCCAGTTTCTCTTAAAAAGCACAATGACACAATCTAGTAATGGCATCATTTAAAGATGCACTGTCATGGTCATCATAGGTACGGGGTCGAAAGATATATCTCTTAATTCAAATCATGAAAAAAAGCAATATCTTCTCAGAAAATTCACTTATCGAAGTGAAACTTTGCACTGCACCTCTCAATTACCAAAGAATCCATGAAGAAGTTTTCAAGTTATAGGTCGCTCAAATGTTGATGTAAAAAAAATGAAAAATAGCTGTTTTTTTTCAGAAAAAATCTGTAATTTGTCCTGCTTTCTCTATAGGTGTGACATCGTCAAACTGTGGGTACTTCAAGATTATGTGCATATGTTCCTATTACATTTTACAGCAATGCGTCAATAATTTATGTGGCAGCAGAATGGCCTGTTTCAACTTTCCAAATTTTATTGAACCAAGAAACAACCTGGTTTTGATTGGCGCAACTTGATTTTCATGTGAACCTGATTGTCCCCCCACCTCCCTCCTGTCAATAACCTAGTGTATAAAGTGTCCCCCACCCCACTCTGTCAATGACCTAGTGTATAAAGTGTCCCCCACCCCACTCTGTACATGACCTAGTGTATAAAGTGTCCCCCACCCCACTGTCAATGACCTAGTGTATAAAGTGTCCCCCACCCCACTCTGTACATGACCTAGTGTATAAAATGTCCCCCACCCCACTGTCAAGAACCTAGTGTATAAAGTGTCCCCCACCCCACTCTGTACATGACCTAGTGTATAAAGTGTCCCCCACCCCACTGTCAATGACCTAGTGTATAAAGTGTCCCCCACCCCACTCTGTACATGACCTAGTGTATAAAGTGTCCCCCACCCCACTGTCAATAACCTAGTGTATAAAGTGTCCCCCACCCCACTCTGTCAATGACCTAGTGTATAAAGTGTCCCCCAGGCCACTCAGGACGATCTCTCGGTCCGCAATATGAATTTTTTTTAAATAAATCTCTAAATGTCATTTCACAATGAGCTTGATGACAGGCAGTGGTAGTTTAGAAACCTGTGCACTCTCTCTTCATCTTGGTGTTCATTGAGATTGATGATACCCTTCCAGAATTATGTATTGAATTATTCTGTCAGTGAAGGTGTTTAGAGGTGTATTCCACAGTCACAGAATATTTTGCAGAAATGTCCACCGGTTGCAGAAATCTACCTGTCTTGCAGAAAATCACACTTTGTGCAGAACTTGTCAAATTTAAAAAGTGAGTCGAAGGCTGCATGTTCTAAACGTGTAAATGGATATTTATTTCATTTTATACTTTTGAATTATTGCTGACCGAAAGTGCACAGAGCTGCAGGTATTATTTTGAGCAATTGAATTTCTACTCGACGGTTTCTATTTTAATTGGTTTATTCCATTTTTCATTTGGTAACCAATATTTTTCACTCATCTATTCATCACTCAATTGGGTTAATCCCAAAATGAGTAAACATTTTGAGATTTAAAAAATAATATGAAATAATGCTTTAGATGTACATAACAATTCTAAATATAGGCTTGACTCAGAAAGTAAATTAACTCGTAATTATGTTTGGGAATTAGCTCCGTTGTGCGTATGTTGAAAAAGCTTCATTGGGTGTTTACGTGTGAGGTTTTTAATACATTGGAGTTTTTCATTTAAATCATGTGTTTCTGTACGCAAGTTAATTGAAAGTAACTGGGTTTTGAATATTTTGGGGGGTATTTTATGCAAATACGCAGCTTATCTGTAACTCTGTGTACACTAGTGATGTGATTCACTTCAATACACTTTTCTTGACGTGAGTTTTATATTTATCATAAAAAATGTCTGCCACAATTCAAACAGTGTATAACGAGGAAATTCACAAAAACTGAGCTTAAAAGTTTGCAGTTATCAAATTTTGTTGCAGAATTTACACAAATTGACCACAGAACCTTTTGTATTTGGCTGACTGAAGCAATCTTCTACACCTAGCAAGTTGAGTTTCTAGGGTCTTGTACTGGACCAAAACGGGTGGAATAAAACACGACCAGCAAACACTTTAATAGATCGGCTACATGGTCGCCCTCGACGTACTGCAGCATCGCCCTCAAACCCAGTATCCCCACGTTACAGACTAGTACTAGGTTCTGTGGTAATACTGCGATGGGTTCAGCACATACCTCGTGTGTTTGTCGAGTGAACCAAACTGTATCCTGTCGTCCCCGAGGGTGATGCTCACATCAAGTGTTGTGCCAGTCTTCTTGGATTCTTTGTTGCTGGGAAACTTTCCCAGTGAGAAAAGCACCACGGAGTCTGGGAGTGGCACCGGTAGCCTGCTGTAGAAAAACAGACTGCCGTCGGACCTGGAACATCAACACAAACAAGGTCAAGGTCATATTTGGTCTTGCTGAAACCAATTTCAGCCAAGGCACAAGTGCATTCATATTGACTTGTCAGACATGTTGGAGCATCGTTCCGATCCAGCTTGTGATTGTTCACACGTACGCCAGATCACAGGACATCACATCCCCAAGTTGACTTGTCCCAAACTAGAGGCCCTGATGTTAATTTCAAGGCAGTTCGTAGACACTGCTAACTCGTAGACACAATTTCCAGTGAATTCAAAGAAAAACCGAGAGTAAATTTCAGACACTTTTTATATTTATAATTAGATCTAGATCTATATATTATACCCGTGTTATCAGACGCTTTCAAAACATTCATAGTTTTCTCTCTAATCGCACAAATAACTGTAAAGCATCTCATTCACTCACTTATACAAGACAACTTCCTCTTAAAAACAAGCTACATCTGAGTTTTGATACCCCCCGTTAAAGCACGAGTAATCACGATAAACATTGTCATCCGAAAACGTATGATCATACGACGATAACTTAAGTGTTCATTTCATTTATAATTTTTCAAGTCTATTTTGCAATTTTATTTGTTTTGTCTACGAACTGGAAGTTTCTACGAATCTCCATGGCGACAAATTATTTTTTTGATTACGAGTTAACAAGCTAGACCTATGCAGCGTAATTTCAAACCCTGAGTATGAATTCCTAGATCCATATTTCAATACTTTCACTGGGATACACCCGACTCGCCTAAAATCCGACTCGCCTAAAAAAATCGGTTTTTGTATTTTAGAATAAGTATGTAACTATCAGAAATACTTAGTAATGCATTTTATACACATAATGTACCTAAATGTTAGTGTTGTAGTCTCGGTCCCAATAGCGTAACCGACTGGCCTCTGACTCACTGACTCAACATGAAGCGCAGCGCGTTTAGCATGGTATGGATGATACGGGTTTTTTAATATTATTTCCATACTTGTGTATGAATATACTAGTAATTGTGATCATTAGGCCTAACCTAAGTTGTATTTGCCAAACGCATACCAAAATATGATATATATTTTTTAGGGAGTCGGGTCAGATTTTTTTAGGCTAGTCGGGTGCAACTCCTTTCAATCCTGGTGTGTTGTTTCCCTTCAAATATACTTGGTTAAATTGATTATTGTGTACGAAATAACATTTTTTATCGTGTACAAGACTGTTTGTGTACGGGATCGCGTCCGTCAACACTGTTCAACACAATTAAATGAATTATTACCCCCTGGATTTTACAACAAGCAAACGAACTGAACATATTTACCGTGTAAGTTCCACAGGAGGCGACTGAATGTCTGATAACAGATATAGTTTTAAACCGTTCATGTCTTCAGTTTTCTCAACATTCAGGCAGCACTTGATTCTCCCGATTTCATCCGCCGACAACAACCACAATGAAATTTGGCGCGTGTTTTGGCTTCGGTCTGTTTCCAAAACGAGAGTTATTTCCCTTTGACAGACATTTATAGTCCGTTTCCAAAGAATGGTGTATAGATTTTGTTTTAGAGTTGCACTTATAAAATGGCCTGGTCAGCTATTATAGACTTAGGGTAGAGGGTGGTAGGGTGGGGATGGGATTGGTCTAAGGACTGTATTATATTTTTCCGCACCCCAACCCACCATTTTATGTAACATTTTTTCAAGCCCCCTCCCTACCCCCTACCCCCCTACCCCCGGCCCCACACACACACAATACCGGCGTCCCTGACACTGACAGAGGGACCTGCACAGTAGACCAAAAACTGAGACTACCAAGATTACTTAGAGACAAGGATAGAAATATTGTCATTGGTGGGCCTGATGTGTCTGATAGTCGTACATCCAACAAGGAAGATCTTTTCCCATCCGAGGATATCCTAAATATCCATGTCAACTGCGGATGACGTCATTTGCTCTGTTCTTCCTCGTCAGTCGCCGAGGCGCCACAACGATCAGCGGGCTGATTGCTGCTTTGACAGGAGAACTCCCTCGATGTCCTATACATAGATATAATTTGATAATTTGATAGTTTACACGGTTCACTACCAACTAATTAATGCGCTGCTCCCAACTGTGGGCAGAGTTCGCTACTCCAACTCGTGATGCAGATTAACCAGATTATGATTGTGTTCAGAAGTTGCGTTTGATCTGTGTCGGGTTGCAAGTGTTTTATTAGCAAAGATTTAGAGAAGTTTTTCCAATGATATAGAATGTAGGAAACTCAGTGAAGATTAAGCATCAATGTTAAATACAATGTTAGGTAGAATAAGAACACATTAAATAGATTAAACTTCTCCATAACCGGAGTCTAATCTCACAGGTACTATAGGTACCGTACTATATTACATGAAGTCTAAGTCAGTAAGGTATTACGAAAATAGAAATCATATCAATACAAAAAAAGAAATTATGTGAATACCAAACTCACAATAGATATGTGTACCCTACTCACACACAGGAGTCCCAAAGAGGGACAGGTCAGCCGAAATTGCTTAGGCAGAAGGCGACCTCTAAAAAACCTAATGCAACAACAACAACAACAACAACAACAACAACAACAACAACAACAGTAAGGTATCACCACCATGGCTGGTCTACGCAGAGTTGAGTACATAGAGTCTCAGAGAGGAACCCCACAAGTATTCCTCGATGGGTTCACTTACTTTAATAATCAAACCAGAGGCCAGACCACACACAGGAGATGTTATTCTTTTGCAACAATGTAATGAATACTTAAAAAAGAGTGATATCTGGTATGATTTGATGATTAAAAGTACATAAGAAACCTATCCTGTAAATTCCTTAAAATGAGTGTTTTTTTGGTCTGTTCCACTTTAATGAAAGGTAAACAGGTAACTATTGCTTGACTTACCAACCTTGACTAGTCCTGGTATAAGCTGTCTGACAAATGGGAGGTTACCGTTTATACGATATACGGCTTTTCCATTGGACGAGAGGTCGGTCACGTTCATAAGTGTATGAATGACAATTTCGCGGTCATACGTTCTTCAGGAGACCGTGTTCTTGAAATGACTGACTGACTACTTCCACATTCCGGGGACAACCCTTGGGAATTCCCAAGCACGAATACATACAGAAGCGTTTTTTTCTTATCATTTAGACCCTTAAATCTTGAACACAGCGTTTCAGTATACATTGAGCAGCGTCAGAGAGTTTGACTGCAGGATCGTTCACGGATATCCTCGCTACGACCGAACCTATAGTGACCTAAACGAAGAAATGCACATCCAAACTATCGAAGTATTGACTCGATCCGTGTCAAGGCTGACAGTGACAGTCTCCAGCAATCTATGAATTTACCTTAGTGTCTGATTGACACATCTTGAATCACCTTTCAATAATCGGCCAGTTGATCAATGATGACTAAAACATGTAACCGCCACAGGTTCGTTAACAACTTCCGAAATACATTGTAGATATCTCCTTTTATAAATCACTGATTTGTTTGCGCGTATTTCGATTTAAGAATGATATTGGATGATAAATACAATCACCCTCGTGTCTTTTGATATCAAATATACTCCTAAAACAGAAACGCAATACGGATATGGTTGGCCATTAAATCATAATTAGCGGACCAAGAGGTGCAAAATCAAGAGGTTTAATGTGTTATAGTGTCAGTGACAAATTTACTATTCGGAAAAACTCACCCAGTGTATTAACAAAATTAACAAAAATAGTGCAGCAGCACTATGAACATTATTAAAGTGCAGGTTTTTTGATTGCCTGCCTTCTGCGTCAATCTAACAGTGACAGTTCAACAACATGCCAAGATTAACAGAAGTGCAAAGAAACAACGCTAGGCCGCTTGCAGGCAGTGGGGTCCCGATCAGCTGTAGCCAGGGATTTCAATGTAGCGCCCAGCACCATCACAAGGCTATGGGCTCGGTTTCAACAGCATGGGTCAACACGTGATCGGCCAAGGTCGGGACGACCAAGAGTAACCACCCCCGCCCAAGATCGCAACATCCGACTGCGCCACCTACGTGAAAGGACGGCCACAGCCACCTCAACCGCATCCCAAATACCCGGACTGCGCAGAATCTCCGACCAGACCGTACGAATCCGTTTAAGAGAAGCGGTCTACGAGCAAGACTCCTGTTCGAAGCGTTATATTTTGTCGACAACATCGCCAACAACGACTGCATTGGTGTCGTCAACGCAGGGTATGGCCTCAGTTGCGATGGAGAGATGTCTGGTTCAGCGACGAATCCTCCGTCGAGGGGATAGAAGAACACGGGTCTACAGACGTCGGAGAGAACGTTACGTCGGAAAACTGCGCACAGGAACTGGACAGGTTTGGTGGGGGTAGCGTTATGATGTGGGCGGGTATCTTTCATCATGGCAGGACAGGTTTGGTCCATATCCAGGGCAATCTTACGGCTCAACGATACATCAACGACATTCTCCTACCACACGTCCACCCTATTGCAGCCAACGGCAACGGTGTATTCCAGCAGGACAACGCTCGACCACATACAGCACGGATCACAAGAGTCTGTCTACATAACAACAACGTTGATGTTCTCCCCTGGCCCTCCAGATCCCCGAATTTGAACCCGATAGAGCACATATGGGATGAATTTGCCGTGATGAGGCACACTGCAGGGGTCTGGTCATGGGCTCTTGGTCCTAAGCCAAACCACATGTGCTGTTGTCTATATTGAAGGGCATTAAAATTAGCACAGGGTAGAACCGCGCTTCTTATGACAAGACGAGTAACATGCCCTTGTTTGCACGGTTGGTTGCACATCTGTGTGCATGAAGCGCCAAGTGAGCCATGGCACAAATAGTTGGACATGGATAGACGGCTACGCCGACGTCAACCACAACCCCAGACGTTGCAGCAGTTGGCTTTTGCGTTGCAGGCCGGATGGGCTACTATTCCCCAGAATGTGATTCGCATACTCGTCTCTTCCATGGGCAAGAGATGTCAGGCCGCTATCGATTCCAACGGGGGAAATACGCGTTATTAATGGTAGCTGACCTTCACCTTGGACTTTCCTATGTACCGATAACTGAGATGACTACAATCAACAAGTGTTCTCTCCACAACGTTTTGGCTCAATACCTGGTACGGCTCCTCGTATGAATGTATTTTCCAACCTCACACAAATCTGGCTTTGCGTTTCATCTTTTTATATCACAAGACACAAGGGTGAGTTTCTACGCCACTCGTGAAACTATCTCCTTTTCCCCAGTCACGAGATGAGAGAGAAACATGATATTTCACTCTACTCATGGAATATCCTATTTATTATATACTTTTTATGTGGTTGTCTCCTGGAAAATTAAATTATTTCATTACATATGTGAAACCTTGAAACGTAAATTCTCCCTACCTAACACACAGGGACTGTTCACCACCCCTTGTACTTAGCGACTAAAAAAGTAGTTTTGCGTTTGCAAAATCTTAAAAAAAAAAATCGTCGGACGTGTGCACCTTCACTTAACATTTCCATTACCTGGGCAGTCAACAAGAAAACAGCTCCAGCTGACTGGCCGCCAGAATGAACCACTCAGAAACCTTAACACTACATACTTAAACCAGAGGCCATATTTTATATGGTCTCTGCTAAAACTAATAAAATGAGCTACTGTCCGCTAGGTTTGCCATTCTGCCTCCATACCTTATGCCTCGACCATAGCGGCCATAGCCCCTAGTAACTCCTTAGTGCAGATCTCATGGTCTCGCCTACAAAAAGTGTTACTGTTCAAACTTTAAAAAAGAAATGTTTCATTCAGGGTTTAATTTCTGGAACGTCTTATACTGGTTATCTAGAGGCCTACATCTTGTAATTCACAGAGTAGCATTGTTTCGTTTCTTTGTCACGTGATGTCAGGCAAAGTACAGCGCCACCTAATCTTCCAACACAGTGGGAATGAATTTGTCGAACAGTATTCCAGCAGCTCCACATTTCACAACTTTTGAGGTGCAATCGAGCATGCTCTTTCTGCGAAGATTCCAAAGTTATTTCATCAAAGTTAAAACATTCAAGGCCTCAGAAAAGCTTCCCAAACGTTTTAGAATAGACACGTGGAGGACATTCCTTCCTGAGTTGACGCATAGGTGACGAACATGATGTCCGATGCAGTTCCCTATAAACACTATAAACACCTGCATGTGATACAGTCGAACTCGTACAACAGACGCTGTTTTCAGCAGAGATTCTCTTATAATTATGAAGGGTTTATTAACTTTTAATTACAATGTTCCACCAAAATGGTAGAAGTATGCACCACAAACAATCAAATCTGATTGATGACATCCCAGATTTAGTCAGTATTCTGTGAGATATTCAAATAATTATTCATTAAGAATGTACAATGTATACAATGTACATGCACTCTTAAAAAAAAGAAACGCACAGGTAGATTTGTAGTAAATTTATTGTAAGTCAATATATTTAATTTAATATCATAGATACAAATATTAA